GGCACCTCTTGTCTGAGAATACTAGGCTAGGTTGGACCAGTGGTCTGAGCTGATACAAGCCAGGAGTGGGGAAACTCTGGTTCTAAGATGCTGCTACACTACAACTTCCACCAACTCTGACCATTGACCATGTTGGCTGGAGCTGATGGGAAACCAGCTACACATGGAAGGCCTGTTATAAGGCAACTTCACAGGTTCATGAGTTGCTCAGGAGGAGTGGGAAACCACTGAGGCCAGCTAGCTCCCAGCAGCTCCTGCTCCACACCTTTGTATAGCTTGAAGCAGTGCAGTCTGGGAAAACCATCCAAGAGTCATGTGAAACCTTAGAAACATCCAAGAGTCATGTGAAACCTTAGAAATAAGGGGAAGCTGCCTTATACCAAGTCAACCCATCGGTCTATCTAGCTCACTATTCTCTACAATCTCTGACGGTGGATATCAAGACTTTCACACAGTGACTTTTCTCAACTGTATCTGGAGATGCAACACATCTGGTCCACCACAAGCTATTGTCCCACTCCACAATACCTTAAAGACTGGTTCAGTTATTGTGGTCTAAGCTTTCATAGGCTAGAGCCTACTTGTTCAGATGCATAAAAATCAGGAGGGGGAAAAATCCACCAGAAAAGAAGAGAAGAGAAGAGAAGAGAAGAGAAGAGAAGAGAAGAGAAGAAAAGAGAAGAGAAGAAAAGAGAAGAAAAGAAAAGAAAAGAAAAGAAAAGAAAAGAAAAGAAAAGAAAAGAAAAGAAAAGAAAAGAAAAGAAAAGAAAAGAAAAGAAAACTGGTCCAGGAATGTCACCCAATTGTGCTGACTTTATAAACTGGCCCTTCCTGGCTGCAATTAAAAGGTTACTGTATAAATTATAAGCCTGGAAACAATAATGACCTCTGAGCGTCTAAAAATGCTCCTGAGCTGAGGACACGGCAGCTCTCTCCCGTGGGATTTGCCTCTCCAGCAGCTTGCTGCAGAAATCTGATGATGAATGGAGGCTCTGTGCTCAGCAAAGCAATCACCTGCTGAATACACCTGTAACTTCCCAATGGCTGTTGCTCCTCTCTCTAACTCTCCCTCAATGATGTCAGCCACACAAAGCGAGAGACGTTCGCCCATGCACTATTGACACTCTAGAAAGACCCCTCTCTAAGGTCCTGAATGTGGTCTAGATCCCCCTTTCAGTCCATTAACAGTAGCTCTCTGTGTGATTTACCTCTATTTCCCAGGGCAACGTGTCTGCCTTGTTTCCAAACTGCCTTTATTTCTCAAAGAGAGAAATTGTGTAGAGGTACCTCCTCTATTACCCCAGGAAAACGTCTCCTACAATTAAGCAGAAGGGCGGTGGTGGTGGTGGTGGGGGAAGAGCCCCCTCAGTAGCATTTCACCTTTGTGCCATTCCACAGCTTCTCAGCAGTGGGGTTACCGAACACATCTATTAAGTTGTGCAATAATTGCACAGCTACCTTGAAATTTCAGGCTCTGCATACATAAAAAGAGAAAATAGAGAGGCAGGGAACCTGCGCTCCATTATTTGCCAGGGAAAGCTAGGAAAGGAAAGCAAGAGGAGGCTGGGGCAGGGGAGAGCTGCAAGTTGGAGGGTGCTCTCACCAAAGGGTCCTCCGCTGAGCCCCCTCCTATTGGCTTGCATAGAGTGGCTTACATCACAGTGGCAAGTAATTGCCCTCTGATCAGCACCAAGTGTTCAGTCATCCTTTTAATTCCTTGCAATGCCCTCAGACTGCTGCTTTGCGGAAAGCCAAGAGTGCTGATTTTGCTGCTGGTTTTGCTGCTGTTGGGCCTCCACCAGTTGCCAAAGGATTATTGCCTGTTGTTGACCCCAAGCCCTGAAATGAGCCAGGACTCTGTGTTTGCCCAACCACCTGAGACCCGTTTCACTTCTACAGCAACAAAGGGCTTGTTTTGGAAGCCCGGATGATTCACTGTCCCTGCAGTCCTGCATGGGCCACTGATCTGAGCATGCTCCCTTGCAGACCTGGAGATAATGGGAACTGTAAACCATAACGTCTGGGCAGCAGGTGTGGATAGCCATGTGGCTATGCCTATTCGAAACCAAGAGCCAATGTGGTTCAAGTCTGCCTGGAGGCCATCCTTTTGGACATGGGAGCCCAGCACACCAAAGCTCTCATCTGTGGAGGCTGGTTGTATGACTCGCTGTTAAGAGGAAATAATTCCACATATGTAGCAACTTTGGTTTATAATTTGTCCCGAGACTGAGACTTGCACTGATGTCAAGCAGTGAGCCTGTGTCCTTGTGTTCTTTGTTCATTTTCACCTCTGAGCTGCAAGTTGCATCATCTGTGATTCAAATGCACTGCAATCTCTGCATTAGCCTATGGTATATGGGCGTGTTATGTGGTTTATTATGTTTCTATGTGGTAAGCCGCTCTGCAGCCTTTTGACAAAGGGCAGTGATTTATGGAATAATAATTATAATAAAAATGTGACCTTTGATTGCAAAATGTGGCTCTCATCTGCTTTCTAGCTTGCATCATTTATACCCCACCCATTTGTCTGGGTTTCCCCAGCCACTCTGGGCAGCTCCCAGCAGAATAGTAAAAACACGATAAAACATCAAAAATTAAAAACTTCCCTAAGCAGGGCTGCTTTCAGATGACTTCTAAAAGTCAGATAGGTGTTTATCTTCTTGACATCTGGTGGGAGGGCGTTCCACAGGGAGGGCGCCACTACCGAGAAGGCCCTCTACCTGGTTTCCTGTAACTTCGCTTCTCGCAGTGAGGGAACCAGCAGAAGACCCTCGGAAGAGGACCTCAGTGTCTGGGCTGAATGATTGCGGGGGCGGGAGGAGACGCTCCTTCAGATATACTGCACCAAGGCTGTTTAGAGCAGGCACCCCCAAACTCAGCCCTCCAGATGTTTTGGGACTGCAATCCCCATCATCCCTGACTACTGGTCCTGTTATCCAGGGATGATGGGAGTTGTAGTCCCAAAAGGGCCGAGTTTGGCGGTGCCTGGTTTAGAGCTTTAAGGCATCCCCAAAGCACCATCACTTTGAATTGTGCAGCATGGGATGGGCTCAGTGGTGCTTTTAGCAATGTGTGAATATGCACATAATCTTTTCCTGGGCTCTGGTCCTTTTGCCTTTAACAACCTGAGGACTGTCTCCCAGATGGTGCGACTGCAGAGTCCTTACTACGTATATCCTTCACACCCTGCAGCTGCAGTCTATCTCCACTTCCCAATAAGTGTATTTGCACAAGACATGCACTTGCAGAAAGGTGTTGGCCACATTCAGAAGTTAAGGATTGCTCATTCACTTTATTAAGAGCTTAATACTTTTACTTTTGCTGAATGCAGTGCCTTTTTGTTTGCTGCCTGCCTATTTTAAAGTATGACTTGCTTTATATTTTGATCACATCTTATTATTAGCACCAGGTTTAGAGGGAGGGAGGGAGGGAGAGATAGATAGATAGATGATAGATAGATAGATAGATGGATGATAGAGAGAGAGTGCTAAGAAGAAGGGATATGAAGCTTGTTAAGCAATCAATCAACCAACCAACCAACCAACCAACCAACCAACCCACATAGGGTTGGGTCCGGACAAAGTCAGTTATACCTAAGTAACTTTGAAAGAAGTGTCATGACTGACAAGTCCTGTTACTTTCAGTGGGGGATAAAACACCCAATCCTATACACGTCTACTCAGACATACATCCCATGGGGCTGTATCCAATACTAGCCCTACTCAGAGCAGAGCTCTTGCAATTCATGAGCGTGACTGTTTTCCGCCCATTTATTTCAGTGGGTCCGAGTGAAATGCCATTGGCTACAGCTCATTTTCAATGGGACTTAGTCCCAGGAAAGGGGAACTAGGATCGCAGTCCCATTGAGCTAAAAGGGGCTTACTTCTGAGGAGGCATGGGTAGGTCTGCACGATCACACTGCAACTGGCCAAGTCTGGATCCAAGCCCAGAATGTGTGAAGGTGGCTCAGAATTTTGAAAAGAAAGCAGGTGACATTCTCTCCAACTTGCCCCAATTAATTAGTTTCCAGGCCACGGAAAGTTTCCCTTGCTTAGTTTCTGTCTGCTAAGAGACACAGCAGCAGTCCCAGAATTAAATGGTGGCAACCTTAGCTACATCTTTGTCCAGTGGCTTCATTCCCAAAGACCAGAAGACTGCTACGCCTTGGCAAAGCGACGGAAGGGAGTCCCCGGTGCCTGGATTTTTGCACATCATCTGTCTCCCCCTCCCTCCAAATCCCCTTCCTCCAGCTCGCAGCTTATTTAAAGAAGAGGAGCAGAATGGGCGGGGCCACATCTGGGGTGGGCGGGACCAGAGGATGTAGAGAATGAGTGAGTGAGACCGCGGACACCAAGAGAGCAGGTCGGGAGACGGCAGCCGACGAGTTCCAGTTTTTTTCCAGACAAGGTGGGTGGATGAGAAGAGAGAGGGCGGGCGGGCGCTTCTCCGTCTGCGCTCAGAGGCAAGCGCTGGGAAGGGCGCTGAGCAATTGAGGCAGGCGCGCGGTTGAAGGAGGTGGGAGACTCTTCGCCGGCGACGGCTGGCTCGCACAAACCCCACCGCCAACTCTTCTCTGGGGCTGGAAACATCCCAGGAGATGAAGCCCAGCCCAGCCCGGCTTGGCTTTGCGTTGGGCGAGGAAGGAAGATGGTGATGGAGGAGGAAGGCGCGCACGCCACCCCTCCCACTCCCGGTGATGTCAAGCAGTTAGGACGCCGGGGGCCTGCTTTGTCGTGGGGGAGACAGCCTTAAAGAGGATACGACCCATAACCGAAGATATACACAAACACAGAGTCAGGTCCCCCTCACCCCAGGCTCCAAGATCCATAATCTCTCCAATACTTTGAGTCTCATTTTCTGGGGAGTGGGGTTGGGATTAGAAGAGTGTCAAGAAAAGGGGTCCTGCTCCCCTCCCCCTCCCCCTCCGTGCTCCTCCCCCTTCTGAATCCTGATGGCTGTTAACTCTCTCCTTTAAGGCAGGGAGACTGGCAAGACCAAGTGCCTTCTGTAGCGCTCTCATCTTCGGCTTCAGGCAAGCCCATCTTCCCAGTGTCTGCGAAAAGAGCAAAGGAGCGTGGCGCACTGGCGGGTGCGACCAGTTGGTTCCCAGACGATCCCACGCGCGACCGGGAGATTCCTTTGCATCCTTGGGCCACGCCTCTCTCTCTCACACACAATCTTCCCCCTCCCCTCCCCCAATTATTCATTCATTCCACTCCTTCCCCCGGCAAACGGCAGCCTTTCAGATAAAGGATCCAGAGGCAGGCGCACACCTGTCTCCACAGAAGACCCAGACTGCCTGCCTTTTACTCCAGCGAGGAGGAGGAGGAAGAAGAGGAGGAGGAGGAGAAAAGCGAGCGAGCGCGCCCCTGCCCTGAGTCCGACTATGAGACCCCAAAGCCGCAAGCTGACGTCTGAGACCGTCTCCTTCTTACCCCGGCTGGTCTTCCAGATCTTCTCCTTCAGCATCGTCTATCTGTTCCAGCGACAATCGCCCTGCCCCCAAACGGTGGGCTCTTCTTCTCCCTCTTCCCCTCCAAAAGCAATCTCCCTTCCGAAACAGTAACAGAAAGGGTCTGGCTGCATTAAGAGACCTCCCCCCTGCGACCCCTCCCCAGCCAAATCGCAACTGACCCTAAAGAAAGCTGGATTTCGCGAACTTCGCCGCCTCCTCCTGCCCCGTCTCCCCGCAGCCACGCTGGTGGCTGCAAAGCAAAGGCTGTGCGCGCTTTGTATGATCCTCGTGGCGACTCCTGGAACGATCTGCCTCAAGATTGCTGCTGATCATACTTGAAGGCTTTGCTCGAAGGAAGCAGCAGCCTGCAGAAGTGTGTGTGTGTATGTTCGTGTGTGCCTGTGCGCGTGCCTGGTGAAAATTTGCATCATTTGGGGGTGGGGGAGAGCCGCCCTGGCGCTTGCAAGCTGGTCAGTTTCCTTCCCCACTTACCGGAAGTTCTTCCTCCGTTCCAAAGAGGCAGCGCCCCAAAAAGAAGTCTTCTTGGGACGTGGCTGATGCTGTGCCGGCATCCTACCGGCGCACACCTGGACCGGCCACATCTGGAGACGGGACCCGCTGGCCTCTCCCGGGAGGGACAGCCCAGTCGCACATGGATTGGAAGGGGCGTGCCGCCGTCCCGCCGCCCCTCTGATGGGACCCCTCTTCGCGTCCTTAGCCCGCTCCCCCCGGGGCTCGACAAGTGCGGAATAAACCCCAACCCGAGCGGGGAAGGGCGATTGCGGGGAGACAGGTGGCGGGGCGGGCAAGATCCGCTCTCCCCGACGGACTCGACTTCCCTCTTGGCTTTCCCTTGCTAAGAGGGCGGGGAGGGAGTTTTTGGGAGTTTGGGAAAACTGTGGGCGGCGGCGTGGAGGGGGGGACCTGCCTCTGGTCCTCGGGCTGAGCCTCCTTTCGACTCCTCGGGTGGGCAAGATCTGGTTTCCTGAAGAGGTGCCCTTGATGGCCCTGCGCGCCGGGACAGCTTGGTTTGGACAGGTCTTGCGCAGAGTTTGCCGGCTGCAAGGTCCGTGGTCGAGACGCTCCAGCAGCCTTCTGTGCCTGTCCGCCTCACAGGAGCCCGATCCGCGAGGCGGAGAGCAGCAGCAGCAGCCAGAGCAGCAGCAGCGGCGGCAGCAGCCCGAACAACCGCCGCCACCGCGCTTTCAGCACCAAGGACAGCAACTTCCCCGAGGAAGCCCACCGAGCCCCGCCAGGCGCCGCTTGCAGCTCGCCTCGCTCGGCGGCTGCCTCTGTTGCACCCTGTCGGATCTCCGGGCGGCCAGGGGGGGACATGGTCCCCTCCGTGGGCCCTTCCTGGCGGCCATGAAGAGGCAGAACGTGCGGACCCTCTCCCTGATCATCTGCACGTTCACTTACCTGCTGGTGGGGGCGGCCGTCTTCGATGCCCTGGAGTCCGACCACGAAATGCGCGAGGACGAGCAGCTGAAAGCCGAGGAGACCCGGCTCAAGGGGAAGTACAACATCACCAACGACGACTACCAGCAGCTGGAGGAGATTATCATGCAGTTGGAGCCCCACCGGGCAGGGGTCCAGTGGAAATTCGCAGGGTCTTTCTACTTTGCCATCACAGTTATCACCACCATAGGTAAGTCCCCCGCGCGATGCCGGATGGGTGCAAGGGGAAGGTCTGAGGGCGCCAAGAGTTGAAAAGCTGTGAGATGCCAAGGAGAGGGACGTCGGAAGGGAAGCTTCCTAAACTTTGGGTGCTGTTCGGTGCTGAACTGCTAACACGGAAAATGAAATATATCTGTGCGTAAAAGCATGAGTAAATGTGATCAGACTGCTCCAAAGGTTGAGGAGTTATGCAAAATGAAAGCGGGTTACCCAGGGAAAGATGTCTACTGGGAGGTGGGTGAACTGAGGATTTGGGGAGCTGGGCAACTGTGGGATTTGCAGGGTGAAACAAGAATGGTTTTAGGAAGCTGTGCAGTGGGGATTGGTTCCAAAATTTGGAGAGCAAATGACCCTCCCTTTCCTACTCTATTAATTTATTTGAATGTTTCAATTCACACTTGTTGGACATTAGGTCTCTCTGTCTCTCTGCCCCCATCAGTGGCGTAGCGTGGGTTGTCAGCACCCGGGGCAAGGCAAGTAATTTGCGCCCCCTAACCCGTGGAGCCAGGTAGGGGCAGAGAGCTGCGAGTGCGAGCGCACCCCCCCCAGATGTTGCGCCCGGTGCGGCCGGCCCCCCCTGCACCCCCCACGCTACGTCACTGGCCCCCATCCCCAGATTCCAGACTAAACCGTAGTAGAATTGGGTGGAGTGACTGGGAACTTCTGAAGGTAGAATTTAGCACCACTAGAAGTTCTTCCCAACTCATGACAGGGAAGCAACAAAATGAAGCAAGTTTTCGCGCAATGATATTTGGAAGGTGATGCCAATAAATTAAGATTTAAAAGTAATTGAAGCTCCAATCCCAGGCACACATAACTGGGAACAAGTTCCAGTGAGCTCAGTTGGACATACGTTTGAGAAAATGTATTGGCTTGGCTTGCAAGTCTTTTTTGAAGCATGTTTTCACTCTAGGGAGAAAAAATAGACAAGGTTTGTAAACTGGCATTGCCATGTACTCTGAAATAGTTCGATTGTGCTACTTGGGAATCTTCACATTAATAGTTTGAGCACTGTAACCCAAGCCTTGGATTGCCATGATTCAGGGAACTAATGGACCAGATCTTTCCATCCGATCCTTTGCTTTGGGAAGGGAGAGGCCAATTTGCCCCAGAGGTTTTCTTCTACAACAGTAGTAGTAGTAACAGGTCCTTGTCTGCGTGCCTCTCTTCTTGTCTACTTGCAATCTCCTCCCCCTCATTTTAGAAGGCGGAGTAGACAGTCCAATGTGCAAAATAGTAGGAATCAGAGAACTTGCCCAGTGCTGAACATAACATGACTTTTTAGACGACTGTTTTGTTGACAAGGCAGAGTTGTTTTTCTAGCAGCGTACCATACTCTTGGGAAAAGTGCAGAATCCCCCAAAGAAAGTTTTCCTCTCCTAAAATAAAATAAAATATTGCTTGACAGGATGAAAAAAAATCAGTGTATTTCATCCCTCAGGCCTTGATGAGGTATCAAGAGATAGGTCCTGGACCCTGGACTTTATTTTGTGCTTGCTCTATTTGTTGCCTATTTGTATATTCAGATGCACGTCATGAGAAAATGAAGATGTTCTCTCAACATACACCACTAGCAGGTCACTTGAACACAATAGTTGGTTAATAATGCATGCACTATGTTCTGTTGGACAGGACACGAAGAACAGAACAACGTTATTAATTGAGACAGACACTATCATTAGCGCCAGTGTAAACATTAACACACGAAGGAGCTCTCAGTTTTCAGCAGAATGTCCATTCCACCTTCTTATAAGCTGTCAGGTGGGGAAGGTGTGCACTTCACAGCAGTAAATTGCTTGCTTGAGAGGTAATCTGACACTGGGAGAGATTTTATAGATTATGTCTTCCTAACTTTGTTTAAAAAGAATGTTTCTTTTGGGGGCCAAAACGGAGACTTATTTTGCTGAGTCTCCCCTTCACTTCAATCTCCCCACCACCCTGTCATAAAGGGTGGAAATCAAAACCTGAATGCTTTGGAACAATCTTTGTGAAGTTGGGTTTTTTTTGGGGGGGGGATCAGGGAGGGAAACACAGCAGAGTATTAACCCCCACCCCTGTGCTTTAATTCTGATATGTTTCCACTTGCTGAATTTGTTCTGCTTCTCCAAGTGCTTTTATCTTTCTATATAGTAAATTTTTATCAGTTTTCAATCACAGTGCAATAATAGCCTCATTGTAACAATACCAATTTATAATACAATTATTAATACCCATCGTTCAAATATCAAATTATATAATTTAGATAAAGTGGGGCCCCCAACATGCAATATTTGATGGTTTTCTTCATTTCTGCGTTCCAAAATTCTCCAAGTGCTTTTAGAGAATTAATTTGACCCAGTGTTAAAAATTAGTTCCATATTTTATAATGTTATAATGTTTTAATGATTGTATTGAACACTGTCGTGATAGTTTGTTGAATGGGTTGGTGGTTTAGTTTAGTTTAGCTGGACCCAATGACATAACTTCCTTTCGTGAGTTTCGTTACATCTGCTGTCTCTTAACTTGTGTATGTATTTAAAATTGTGAGTATATAATTGAAATACTTTGTAATATGTTGCAGAAGGATGAATATATATATATATATTTAATGCTCTCAGTATACATGTTTGCCTGCCTGCATATTAACTAAAAATATTGGATATTTAGATCAAAAGCTTTCTTATAAGAGCACAAGGAATAATTGGAAGAAGCCTGGTGGAAAGAGAACTCTGAATTTAACCATGGGCATGACCTATTCAAAGGCAAACACTTTCTTGTCCCATTGATTTCAATGGGAGAGGTAAGTGTTAACTTTGACTGGCTTATACCCCAAATGTGATTCGCATCTCCATTGCTTAATTTGTGAAACAACAGGTGCCAAGTTTCAAACCAACTTGGATGCCATGGGCTAAGTCAATGTGTCTGAATGTGCTCTTTTTGTGATTACTCAGGACTGAGAAAAAGCGCTCTGTACATGCTCAAAGGCACTCTCCCCTCCATCCAGCCTGTAGGCATAGATTAAAAAAAATAAGCCAGATAGTTTTGAGTGCTCTTCAAGCTGGGGTATATAGGACCATTATCACTGAAAATCCACTAACAGTGCAATTCTATGCATGCCTGCTCAGAAGTAAGGCCCTTTCAGTTGAATGGGACTTATTCCCGGGTAAGTATGTAAAGGGTTGCAGTCTCAGTAAGCTGCTGTCCTGCTGAAATCAATGGGACAAGTTGGCCTTGACTTAATTTCAGACCCATTTATTTCAATAAATATCAAGTTCTATCAACCCATGAGGACAAATTAACAATTTCTCACGTGTGGTTAATTTATATCTTTAAAAAGTGCTTCTGTTTTCTTTATTCCACTTCAGCAGTTTTAGGCCTTTAGAGAAAACACTTTTTTTAAAAAAAGTTATTTTAGAATAATCTGCAGTGACATCAAGTGTGCCGCTCGGCTGGTTTTTTTTTTAAGTTTCTATTTTTAAACTAACCTTGAAGACGTCGCTTTGCACACACTTTGTTCTCTCTCTGAAACCACCTAAGTACAACTCAGGAAGAAAAAGCACATTTTATGCATTAATGAGAAGGCACCAAGTGCCTCCGTAGGGTACAGCTAGTGGGCTTTTACTAGCAAATGCAATCTGAAATTTCCATATTTTGCATAATGTCAATAAATACAACAGTTGGTTGTGTTTTCTGGATTGGCTTCTTATCAAAGGCAAGAAAATAAGAGTGTCCCAGAGGTGAGCTTACCCAGGTGCAGAATCTGACATCTGGCACTGAGCAAGTTGGTCGAGGTTTAGCGATTATGGTGTGTCTGTTCAAAATATTTCAACACCGCCGCCCCATTGAAAACGGCAAATATTTAAATCAGGCACAGGCAAACTCGACACTCCAGATGTTTTGGGACTACAACTCCCATCATCCCTGACCACTGGTCCTGTTAGCTAGGGATGATGGGAGTTGTAGTCCCAAAACATCTGGAGGGCCGAGTTTGCCTTATGCCTGTTTAAATTGTTCCAAAGTGCTGCCTATGTTCAGAAATCCTTAGTGTGCCACCTTTTAGAGTTTCACTGTCATCATTTTTATTTGCAGAAACCCCGTCAGTGTATATGATGCTCTACAGCATAAACCAGTGTCCGTGCCCCTAGGAACATACAGTTCCAAGTCTGACAGGGAATAGAGGCACATAAGAGAGAGGAGAGGGCAAGGATAACAAAGAGTCAATGTGAGCAAACACTGTTAATGCCTATCAGCTGTGTACACATCTGAATCACATTTTGAACCCCCCCAAAGAATCATGGGAATTGTAGTTCAAGGGTGCTGGGAACTGTAGCTCTATGAACTACAGTTCCCAGGATTATTGGGAGTGGCTGTGTGCTTTGAATGCATAGTGTGTACTCAGCCACTGTGACCTCGCTGTAGTTGAGGACCAGCACAGGCCTTTGCTGTTATACCTGGGGACCAAGAAGTGAAGTGACGGTTTCGTGAAAGAGAATCTTCACCAGCTTTCCCAAGACCATCACACATGAAGGATCATCGCTGGTTCTCCACATGGACCAATAAGCAGGTTGTATTATCTCTTCTATCCTTGCTGCCAGCCCAGACCTGGGTTTCCTCAGTGAGGCCCCATCTACAGTATACATTTAAAATACTGTTTTAAACAGTGATGGCTCCCCAGCGCCAAGAAACCTGGGAACTGTAGGTTTTTTTAATGGCATGGAGAGCTTTTAGGAGAACCCTATTCCCTTCACAGAGCTCCCTGGGAAGACAGATTGAGAATTAAACCACTCTGGGACTAGTAGCCCTGCGAAGCGAATTGTTGTTGTTGTTTAGTCGTTTAGTCGTGTCCGACTCTTCGTGACCCCATGGACCAGAGCACACCAGGCACTCCTGTCTTCCACTGCCTCCCGCAGTTTGGTCAGATTCATGTTTGTAGCTTCAAGAACACTGTCCAACCATCTTGTCCTCTGTCGTCCCCTTCTCCTTGTGCCCTCCATCTTTCCCAACATCAGGGTCTTTTCCAGGGAGTCTTCTCTTCTCATGAGGTGGCCAAAGTATTAGAGCCTCAGCTTCACAATCTGTCCTTCCAGTGAGCACTCAGGGCTGATTTCCTTCAGAATGGATACGTTTGATCTTCTTGCAGTCCATGGGAGCGAATAGGGGTCACATTATGACTCTCAGCACCCAGCTATAGTTCCCAGTTCTTTCAAGGAAGCCACAGTTCTTTAAAGAGATATGATACTGTTTTAAATAGACAGTGCAGATGGGACCCGACAGACCACAAATTGAGACACTGTTTCGATGAAGACGTTAGGAGGACTAGGTCTCTGTAATTTTTAAAGAGATGCAGCAGGAACTACTTCTTCTATTTGGTTTTTGACTGGGAAAAGGGCTTTCTGTGGCTACTTTAAATCTGCAGTGGTGTGCTGATGTTGTGATTTCTCCCCTTTTTTTCTTTTGAAGGTGCTTTTAATTAATTAATTAATTTTAAAATGTAAACCACTTGAAACTGCTGGGAAAGCAGTACGGAAAGGTTTTAATAAATAAACCTTAATTAAATAATAAATCAATCATTTCCAAGGAGGGATTTGAAGGAAGAGAGAGTGAGAAAGATGTAAGACCACATAAGGGTGCTTCCAAATCCTTATTTTCATGTCCCTCAAAGGTATTTTCGCATTTCACATATTGGCTTTTTCGCTGAGCGTGCCCTCACTCTTTCACTCTGACTAGTGTATGTATGTTTTTAAATGTTTGCATTTTGAGGGGTACGTTGAAAAGCAAGTGCAATGTTTGAAGAGGCTCCACACTCGCTCTCATACCAGTTCTTGAGGCAAGGCATTAATACTCCCAATTTACAGAGAACGGAGGGACGTGGGTTGCGCTGTGGTCTAAACCACTGAGCCTTGGGCTTGCCGATCGGAAGGCTGGCTGTTCGAATCTCCGCAATGCAGTGAGCTCCTGTTGCTTGGTCCCATCTCCTGTCAACCTAGCAGTTTGAAAGCATGTTGAAGTGCAAGTAGATAAATAGGTACCACTCCAGCGGGAAGGTAAACGGTGTGTCTGTGCGCTGCTCTGGTTCGCCAGAAGCGGCTTAGTCATGCTGGCCACATGACACGGAAGCTGTCTGCAGACAAATGCTGGCTCCCTTGGCCAGTAAAGCGAGATGAGCACCACAACCCCAGAGTCGTCCGCGACTGGACTTAACTGTCAGGTGTCCTTTACCTGTGCAGGCTCACTGAGTTAGATGGACCAATGGACTGACTCAGTATAAGGCAACTGGCTAAATTCATAATTTGCTCTTTCTCTGTCTGCACATGAGTTGCAAAGATAAAAATAAGTGGGCAATGAAAAGGCTAGATGTCCTTTAGCCCCTCTGCCTCCTCTCCCATCCAAATAACCCCCTCCCATTGCTGCTTTTCCACAGAGAAGCAGCACCTGGGAAATTTGGATTCATGAGTTCACTGCTCACATGCAGTTTTTGACTGAGAGTTAATTGCAGGTTCGAGATACATCCTGGTGCAGCTGGGATTTAAGCCACAAGTTCCTGTCTGGCATGCTGTCCGCACTTCGCTCGCTGACCTTGCTTTGTGACCCTGACTGGTCTTGACTCCTTTTGGCTGGCTAGAATGTGTCCTCAAACTCTGATATTGCTTGCCTGGATTATGGATAGAGGAGAGAGAGAGAGAGGAATACAGTGCACTCTACAAATGCAAATTTGCAACCACGATGAACAAGGGTCTGGACAACAAGCCTTATGAGGAACGGTTGAAGGAGCTGGGTATGTTTAGCCTAGAAAAGAGGAGACTGAGAGGAGATTTGATAGCCATCTTCAAAAATCTTAAGGGATGTCTTCCTTGGGGGTTTTTAAGCAGAGGTTGGATGGCCATCTGTCATGGATGCTTTAAGTGAGTTTCCTGCATTGCAGGGGGTTGGACTAGATGACCCTGGGGTCACTTCCAACTCTACATTTTGACAATTTTACATTTGTGGCTCTGCCTCTTTTTCCTCTGGCTTGATCCATGTATGTATGAATGTGAACTGTGGAAAGCTGTCCAGAAGGGAAGCAAGCCATGGGGCTGTAAATGTTTTCTCTGTCCTTATTTTAACTGGAGATGCCATGGGACCTTCTGTATGGAAGCTGCTGCTTCATCACTAAGTTACGACTTCTCATATGATGCTGCAGTCATGTGCCTTGGGCCCCATTCCATCTTCTGTCAACGGATGGTTTTTCCATCGCATTTATATGCCATCTTTTTCCTACAATGAACTCATGGTGGCATCCAAGGTTCTCCTCCTCCACCACCTCCCCATTTAAACCTCACAGCAACTCTGTGAGGTAGGTTAGGCTGAGAGGCTGTGACCGGTCTGAGGTCACTGGGTGAGCTTCATGGCCAAGTAGGGATTCGAATCCTGGCCTCCCAGGTCCTAGTCCCACATTCTAACCACTACACCACACTGGCTCTCCAGTTAGGGAGCATTTGGTTAAGAAACCATGCCAGTGAAATGGAAAGGTTGGAAAGATTACTCTTCTTTCTGGAGACCCATTTTGCACCACCAGCGTACAAGAAGTAATGGTGCTAGACTGGTTGAACTGGTCAGTTCCTTGCTGCAGCTGCTCACTGTTAAGGAAACCAAATGCTCTCCTAAATGCTGAGTGGTTGTTGCTAATTACTCACAAATGATGACAAGAGAGGCGGTAGAATTGGGAAGCTTCCAAGCTCCATTGCACTAATAACACTTGGCCAATTTTTGTTAATTCCATCCGATGAAGCCCACCCTTCCCTTCATTAACCAGTGATAGGTTTCTTCCCCCTCTGGGAGGTGAGAGGTCTAGCTAATTTGTCAGCTCCAGTATTAGCAGAGGCTCAAAATATTTATTCCGTTCCTTGGAGGATATTGTCTGACTCCCAATTGCCATACTCTTTGAATTTTTATTTTTTGGTAAAAAAAGTTTTCTACAGGCTGCCATCAAATCCTGCCCCCTCACACCCAATCACTGTGCAGAAAATATATCACTGTGTTCCACTGGGAGCGTTGAAGTGACTTCTCATGAAATTTTCATGACTCGGTGGTTCAAAAAAGTTTCTGCAGGGGATTAAAGGAATTTACTTATTACTGTACAGGTTTTTTGGAGAATGATTTCTGAGCATTGAGAACAATTCGATTGTTTATTTCTGTACCCGAGCAAAATGTCTGCTCCTTCTCTATGTCAACCCCATTCACCTTCATCTACTTTTCAGATTCTATTTTCTGATTCAAAGTTCAACAGTGCATAAGAATGGTGTTGCTCGGCTAGATAAAAATCTTTTAGCCTAGCATGCTGTTTCCAGCAGTGGCAAGTCCAGTGTTTCTGGGTGCTTACAAACATAAGGACCCCCTATGGGCTGTCTGGAGCTCAAAGGTATATCAACTCTGCATATGCCAGCTCCACTGAAATAACTTTGCTGATAGTCCTTGATGTGTGTTGATTGCTCTCTCTCTCTCCTTGAGCTAAACTGAGCTCCTTCAGCCTTTTCTCATTCATTGCATCTTTTGAGCATTTAAATCCTCCTCAGGATTTGGTGATCATGCCAGGACAGGATCACAGTGAACTCAGATTAGTTATCAGCATCACCCAGTTTCGTCTGTTCTGACTGGCTCTCTAGGTCCTATGGCAGAGACCTTTCCTATCACCTGGTGTCCTAATAACCCAGGGGTGGGGAATCACAGATCTGGGGGCCAGAAGTGGTCCTCAGGACTCCCCTCAGGCCACACACCCTCCCCAGCCTCCTTTACTCAGGCCGCTTCCTTCACTGGTCCAGCATTGCACACTCCTTGAGTGTGTTTGTCTTGTTGTCATGTGTTCCTTGCTGCCTGGATGGAAGAGCGAGGTGTGTGTGTGTGTGTTGGAACCTGCCTACTTAGAAACCTAAACGTTGCATGGGTTTCCTTGCTCATTTTTGCCCCTGGGCCTGCCCACCACTTGCATGCGATTGTCCAGAAGGGAATGAAGTCTTTGGGCAGAAAATTGTCCCATGTCCCTGTTTTAACTGGAGATGCCAGGGATTGGATATGAAAGCAAAGTGGGTTAGGCTTCCCCATATGGTGTTGCAATTAGGGTTGGCAGAAGCCTTCACGTCTGCCTCACCCCCTGTAGGTGGCAAGTGGAGGTATTGAATCTCAAGTCGGGCAGCCTTTAACACCACCACCACCACCACCACTTGCAAGCTTCAGCCTGGCAGAGCTGGCTGCAATTTACACCATGGACACTCGGGGAGAGTCTTCCACTCTCTGCTCCAATTAACCTCTGTCTCCAGGGCTTACCCCACGACATTATTAGGGGCTGCTCTCTGATGTCACCAGGGCCCACCCCAGGATCTCAGGTTTGGGCCCTGAAATCTCAGGGTTTGGGATCCTCCTGCAGCCCTGATTGCAACAACATTAGACCATGTGATGCTGTGCAATGCAGGCAAAGTCCTCTGATGTTACTCAGGCAGGTTGCTTCAGCAGGGGCAATTGTTTACAGTGGCTGCATGCATTGTCCACTGCCCCCCACCCCCAGTCACTCAACAAGAGCCCATATAGATTAATGGTGAAGAGTATAAATGGAAGGCTGCAGTTCCAAAGATTCTCAGGCATGAAATTGCTATGTGGCCTTAAGAAGAAGAAGAAGAAGAGGAGGAGGAGGAGGAAGAAGAAGAATTTGGATTTGATATCCCGCTTTATCACTACCCTAAGGAGTCTCAAAGCAGCTAACAATCTCCTTTTCCCTTCCTCCCCCACCACAAACACTCTGTGAGGTGAGTGAGGCTGAGAGACTTCAGAGAAGTGTGACTAGCCCAAGGTCACCCAGAAGCTGCATGTGGAGGAGCGGAGACGTGAACCTGGTTCACCAGATTACGAGTCTACAGCTCTTAACCACTACACCACACTGGCAAACCTCTCTCACCTTCTTTTAACAACCCCCACCCAAAAGGTGATAACAAGAGTGGTATACCTTCCAGAGCAATTGTAAAAATAACTAAGAAAACATATATGGAGTTCTCTGAACATTAAAGTCGTAAACAGAAACTCCTTTTCCTCCTCTTATTCTTCTGATGTGCAATAGAATGTCTATCCTCAGCTGCTAAGGGAAGTGTTCCTTTTCAGGGCTCCAGAGACTGTAGAATAAGACCTTTGTGGTGCTATTTGAGTTCTTCTTCCTTGGTGATCACTTGTAGCCAAGTAAGATTATCTTCCATGAACATGGTCTTAACAGTGAGTCCGTAAGTGACTGTGGAGGCCAATTCTGGATCCACATGTCCTTCCACAGGGGGGACATGGGTTTCTGGGTGGGAGTTGATCATGATGAGGGTTTGCCAAGTGTGCCTTCCTCTTAGCTCATTTCTCCTTTTTTATCCTGTGTTTGTGCTTCTTCAAAGTCCATGGGACCCTTGGTAAAGGCTATTCTCCAGTTGGAGCACTCATGTGCGAGCTATTTGAGTAAAATATGAAGAAAACACACCCTTGGATGGTTTAGTCCAGTCAAAGGCGACTATGGGGTTGTGGTGCTCATCTCGCTTTCAGGCTGAGGAAGCCAGCGTTTGTCCATAGACAGCTTTCCAGGTCAAGTGGCTAGCTGGACTAAACTGCTTCTGGTGCAATGGAACACCATGAAGGAAACCAGAGCGCATGGAAACGTTGTTTACCTTCCCGCCGCAGTGGTACCTATTTATCTACTTGCACGGGCGTGCTTTCGAACTGCTAGGTTGGCAGGAGCTGGGTCATGTGGACAGCATGACTAAACTCTTTCTGGTGCAACCGAACACCGTGACAGAAATCAGAGTGCACGGAAACACCATTTACCTTCATACTGCAGCGGTACCTAACTATTTACTTTCAATAGGAGCTTGCCCCGTCGCACAGATTTGAACTGCCTACCTTCTGATCAGCAAGCCCAAGAGGCTCAGTATCATGGGAGTGGAGTGAGTTTCAGGGAAGGGAAAGGGAGGGGAAAGGGGCACATTTCCCCCCTGTTCTTTACAAACTTTCCACCTTTTCATGCCGTGCTACACAGCAGTAGTGACTTCTCTCCAAAACCTGAGCATCTTTAAAACTAGCCATGATGGTTGTGTTCCATGTCTTCTGGTGGAATCAGTATGCCTCTGAATAAGTGCTGTTGGGAATCATAAGAGGGAATAGTGTGGCTGATCTCAGGTCCTGCTCATGAGTTGCTTCATTGCCCACCCATTAAGAGTTTTTCAAAACACATTTTCCCTTTAATTTACAAACTCATATGTACAACTAGGAAGGTAGAAACCACCCTCTTATTGTGTGTGTGTGTGTGTGTGTGTGTGTGTCCCTTCATTTCCCAGCTGATAGGCTGCTCAACTTCCTGAGTTTGCTTTTAGAGGGATTGACTGTATTCTCCCATTCATAACCCCGAAATAACATGAATGGGCACACAAGCGTTGCTCTTAATTCTCACACAGACCTTTCCAGTAAAAAAAAAGAAAGAAAGGAAGGAAGAGAAGAAAAATTGAAGACCTGATGCACACTGGGGTTCAAATTGGCTCCAGGGTCTCCTGAGGGCTGCTGATTTAGACAATTTGCTTAATGTTCTTATTTCCATAATGTATTCTGATTGCAACATCTGTGGGCTTATATAGATGCCCACAAGATTTGGCTTCCTCTGTCGGGGAATCAGAAGTATTTTGGGAATATAGTCTACAGCAATCCATTTATAGCTGCAAGGAAACTGGGTATTCTCCCTCTCCCTCTCCCTCCCCCTTTCAAAGTGAGCAAGTTCCCACTATGGATAACACTCGATCATTTCTCAGGCTTTTAGAGGTGATAGCCATACTTGATTTAACGCCACAGAACTGTAGTAAACACTGGCTATTTCTGGAGGCTCGTGTGGGGAATGCAAAGAAAAGAAAGCCATCTTTTCTCTCTCATTCCAAAACCAGCAGAAGCAACCAATGGATAACAGAAACATACGGCTAACCCTGATCTTTCACCAAAGGTTCATGGCCACAGTGTGCCCAGGGACATAGCTCAGTGCATGTGCTTTGTATGCAGAAGGTCCTGATTTTAATTCCCCGGCATCTCAAGGTAGGACTGGGATAAGTCCCAGACTGAAGCCTTGCAGAACTGCTACCAGGCACTGTAGGCCATACTGAGGCATTCTCTCTCCCACCAGCTTCATTATTGTTATTTTATTTTAACAAAGTAATAAAATATAAAATATAAAATATGCACCCCACCCCCAAGACCATTCCATTATAACTATCCAACCTCCCAAAATTTCAACACCTCTTCCAATGGTTTGACCCCTTTCCGTTTTAACAGTACAAATTCTCCAAATACCTTCCATATCTCCTAAAAATAATTTCTCCTGCACATTCCCTGTCTTACCTTAACAACACCTGTTAATTCATCATTAATAGCTATACCCGCAACCTCTTTGTTCCATTCTTCCATTTTATATTCACCTTGCACCTTCCACTTCCTAGCTATAATAACTCGTACAGCTGTCAATAAATTTGTGAGCATGTCCTCCATAGCCTGCAAACCTTCCACCCCATCCCCCCACCACATGTAAACGTAAGTCCCAGTTTCCTGGCATCTCCTCCAACATAACACCAAACATTTCTTGTTCATTTGATTTAATCTTACTGGTGTTAAATACAGAGTGAGTGGGATCAAATTGGTAGCACAGGAAGAATATTCTACTGTCTTCCTGCACCATCAGTTTGTTTGGCTTCCTTGCCGAATGCTGAGAAAGTGGATTGCAAGTCAGCTCACATCATTCCTTTGGATGTTACAGACCCTCCAAGTTGTCCCTATTTTCCAGGGACGTCCCTGATTTAGAGATGCCATCCCAGTTACTGATTTGATCCCAGAATGTCTCACTTTTCCTTAGGATGTCCCTATCTTCATTGGAGAAATATTGGATGGTATGATGTTATCAGATCCCATAATGAGGTGGCTCTTCTACAAAATGCTTTCCATCTTCCACTTTGTCACAGCCATCTAGGAGCAGTGCCAAAGGGCAGAGTCAAATGCCTTTCCCCCGCTTTATGTTCATCCAATCAACTGAGAAAACCATATGTTCCTCTTAACAAAGGTTTGCCTTTTTTGCTGTAATATCACCATCACCGTTATCTCAGTAAAGCAAGCAGCCCACCCCCAGCCCTGAGAAAGGATTCTGAGCCAATAGCCCTTTGGCCAATTTAATGTTGCATAACCTTCTTATGGCAAACTTCCAGACATGAATAGAAGTTTATGTAATGGTGGGAAAAGAGAGGGGTAGGAAAAGAAAAAATTCAAGATTCTGGGAGGTGCTTTCTTTGCTTAGGAAATGGATTTGAAGGACTCTTTAAAGATATCTTACTGTATCTCCCAGTATCATAGAACCATAGAACTGTAGAGTGGAAGGGACCCCAAGAATCCTCTAGTCCAACCCCCTGCAATGCAGAAATCTCAATGAAAGCATCCATGACAGATGACCATTCAGCCTCTGCTTAAAAACCTCCAAGGAAGGAGAGTCCACAACCTCCTGAATTGAAGTGGCCGTACTGAAGTGAGCGTCATAAGACAAGACAAAGGAAGGGTGAAATAATATATGGAGGGTTTTTTTTAATGTACCGTATTTTTCGCTCTGTTGGACGCAGTTTTTCCCCTCCAAAAATTGAGGGGAAATGTGTGTGCGTCTTATGGAGCGAATGCAGGCTTGTGCCATAGCCGCGCGCAACCCCTCCGGCAGGGAGAGGCTGCACGGGGCTATGGCTTCTTTAGTCCTGCACAGCGTCTCCCGGCAAGGAGAGGCTGCACGGGGCTAAAGGGGAAGCCAAAACAGCGAGCGGGATGGATCCCGCTCGCTGCCTTGCCTTCTTCCATAGCTGCGCGCAACCCCTCCGCAAGGAGAGGCTGCACGGGGCTATGGCTTCTTTAGCCCCACGCAGCCTCTCCCAGGAGGTAGAGGCTGCACGGGGCTAAAGGGGAAGCCAAAACAGCGAGCGAGATCCATCCCGCTCGCTGCCTTGGCTTGTTCCATAGCTGCGCGCAACCGCTCTGGCAACCGCTGCTCTTTGGGGCTGGGGGGGGAAAATATTTTTTTTCTTGATTTCCCCCCCTAAAAACTGGGTGCGCCCTATGGTCCGGTGCGCCCTATGGTGCGAAAAATACGGTAATAATAGAGTTGGGGTACTTTCCAACTCTAAGTTCTATGATTCTAAGTGACTGTGGTCCTCAGACTGAAAAACGTCCCCATCGTTGTGCTACACACCCACTTTATCACACTGCCATCCCATCCTCGTTTTTTGTTTTTATAAAAAAAATCATTATCACGCTTAACCTTTACAGAAACAGATTTCTGTTCAATGACATAAACATGCACTGCTTATTCCAGTATGTGATAAATGGCGACCACTTACCTATCACCAAAATTGGCACAAGGGGTCTATTTCTTCTTGGGATAAAGACATTTCTGTAATTTTTCTGTAGTTTGTTAAGGGTGCTGGGAAATGTTTGCAGGCCCCTATTCCCCTCACTAAGCTACCATTCCCAGAGTTCCTTGGGGAGAGGGGTTGATTGTTAAACCACTCTGGAAACTATAGCTCTGAAAGAAGTAGGGAATCTCCTAACACCTCTCAGCACCCTTAACAAACTACAGTGGTACCTCGGGTTACAGATGCTTCAGGTTACAGACTCCACTAACCCAGAAATAGTACCTTGGGTTAAGAACTTTGCTTCAAGATGAGAACAGAAATTGTGCGGCAGCAGCGCGGTGGCAGCGGGAGGCCCCATTAGCTAAAGTGGTGCTTCAGGTTAAGAACAGTTTCAGGTTAAGAATGGACCTCCAGAACAAATTAAGTTCTTAACCAGAGGTACCACTGTACACTTCCCAGGAGTCTTTGGGGAAAGCTGTGAATGTTTAAAGTGGTATGATGCATCCTTAAATGCATAGTGCAGATGGGGCCTCAGTTACAGATGATAGTGCTACCAGTCCAAGGTATTTTGCTTCCTCACTGGGACCTACTTTGTGTGTGTCCCCCCAGCCAAGGGGGCCAGCACTGAAACAAATATTGTTGCATCAGTCAGGCACTAATTGCTGCCTTCCTCTGTCCTTCACCATCAACCATGCCTCCAGAAGTACATCATGTCACCCTCCAACATGTCGCCATGGAAAACAGGATGTGCTTCTTCCGGGACATGGTCCCACACAAGTCATGTGATCTGCATGAGATCCTAGCACCCAAAAAGCATGTTTTGGGGCATTGTGCTCTTGAGAGCACAACCCCCCAAAACGGGACCTCCCAATTTAATTGGGGCAGTTGAGTGGTATGATGATTCATGTCAGGGACTGGACCCATATGGCAGACGCTGTTTTCTGAACTTTACTTTGGTGTTTGATTCAGGGTTATGCTAGCTAGGGGATGTTTTGCTGCTCTTGGGGGCTGTCTCCTTGCTTCCAGCTGATGTTGGAGTGCACACAGTGCTGTGACCCTCTCTGCAAATGACAGTGTCCCCACATTATCTCTTTCTCACCATGTCTCGTCTTACGCTTCTGCACTACTGAGCAGTTGCTATGGTTAAAATGAGATAAATCTAGTTCCAGGCAACAAATAGTTGAAACACAGAGCTCTCTCTCATTCTGCTTTCCCTCCTCCTCCCTCTCCTATTCCATTTTTGCAAGGGACACATTTCAGCTTCAACTTCATGCCCAAGAGCTGCATGCAAACAACTGAGAGTAACAATTTGCCGCTAACACTTGGCTTGACCTTGTTCCACATGGTTGGTTCTTGTATTGGGGAAATCAGAGGACTGTCTGCTGAGAGAGGCGGAGGAATACTGTTCCATTGTGCAGACTGGTGCCCCTGGGCTTGTGGGGTGGTGATAGCCAGTTGTTAAGAACATTTTATGGTCACCTACTGGGGCCTCGGGACGCGGGTGGCGCTGTGGTCTAAACCACTGAGCCTCTTGGGCTTGCCGAACAGAAGGTCGGCAGTTCAAATCCCCGTGACAGGGTGAGCTCCTGTTGCTCGGTCCCTGCTCCTGGCAACCTAGCAGTTCGAAAGCACATCAAAGTCCAAGTAGATAAATAGGTACCACTCCGGAGGGAAGGTAAACAGTGTTTCTGTCACTGCTCTGGTTCTCCAGAAGCAGCTTAGTCATGCTGGCCACATGACCCAGAAGCTGTATGCCGTCTCCCTTGGCCTATAAAGCGAGATGAACACCACAACCCCAGAGTCACCCGCAATTGGACCTATTGGTCACGGGTCCCTTTACCTTTACTGGGGCCTCAAGGCTGGGTGACCAACACAAACCCAGTATTAATGGATCTGTGGCTCCAGTCCACAGTATATGGAGATGGTGGGTTGATATGGAGCCTATATCCTCCAAGTGTCCAGATTTTCCGGGCACAGTCTCAGAATTACAAAAGCCTTCCCAGTTTCTGATTTGATCCTGGATATCTCTATTTCCCCCACCAGTGCAGCTGCTGCCAAGCTTGGGGAAGAAGATGAGCCAGGACTTGTCCTTGAGAGGTGGTGGCAGCTGTGAGGAACCACCCTGTTGCCTCTCCATGGCCTCTCCATGGCCACTGCCTCTGGCTTACTCCCTTGGGCAGCTTGCAGCAACTGCTGGAGACCAGGCAAGGAGGAGGAGAGGTTGCGGCCGCCGGGGCCCAACCCTGTGTGACACACTGGCTCTGAATGGCAGGTAAAGGGCGGGGACACCCTGGGGCAGGAGAAAGTGGGAGTGGAGCGGAGCACAAAGGAGTCTTGATTAAAAACAAACACTTTGTCAGTTAGTGACCCTTATTCTGATTGCCCCTGCTATGAACCTAGCAACCTTTGCTCTTATCTGCTCATTTTGATCTGATAGAAGAAAGGACATTGTGGCAGTGGTTGAGCGCCCTGGGATGGTTAGTATGAGTGGGGTGATGATCTCGTTCCTCAGATCTTTGTGGAAAGTGCAAGACAGGAGGACGTGTGCCACTGTTTCGGTGCTACCGTCTCCACAGGGGCAAAAACGTTTCTCAGGTGGGATCTTTTGGAATCGACCCTCAAGTACCGCAGATGGCAAAACATCCAGTCTTGCAAGTGTAAAAGCACATCTGTATTTTGGGATAATACGTTTGTGCAGATATGGGGCCAGAGAATCAAAATGGAAAGGTGGGAAATGAACATACCAAGGGCAGAATTTCCTTATAGTGGCCAGGTTGTTCTGATGCTCGATATCTCAATGGCTTCTGTTATCAGGCTTGTTGAGAGACTGCCAAACACATGGGCTGGTGTTGTAGATCGCCATTTTCATTTGCATTCCTGGAGCTCCAAGGGGTTTTACAGACAGCAGTAGGCACTGCTTTGTATACGCAGATCAAAAGCTTTGGAACCCCAGAAAAGGGTTCTCAAACATTTGTCAGTGCTAAAAGGTACTCCAGTATTTTGGGGGACTGATAAAGAAAGGGTCGGAGGTAGTTTCTTATTCCCAAAGCATTGCTCTACCTCTAAACCAGCTTTGTGACATCAGCACAAAACCAGCCTTCTAATTGGCCATGTCACATCACTATGTGATCGCTGATTAGCTAGGATCATGCTAGGAGTGTGCTAGATAGAAAGAAAATAAATGGTGCAAAGCAGCAGTGGGACTGCAGCAGGAGGCCATGAAGGAACAGGCAAAGAGCAGTATTCATTGGCATGACCTTACTTTATACTTTAATAAGCCTACTAGTGTAGGCTTATTCAAAGCTGGTATTTTTAGGTGGAGTGTATGGCTGGATGCCAGGATCTTCCTACCTCCTGTTGGTTAAACAGTGGGGCTGAGTGGGAATCTGTTGGCCTCCAAGATAGCAGAAGCAGTTGTTGGCTGGTTGTGCATGGCTATTTATTAGTGGATATCTGGCAATGGATACCTGGTCTCATTTGGAGTGCCACTGTACAGGCCTACACCATAGGCTGCCAGTGTGCAACCTAGAGATCTGCATGACATCTTTAAATTGCCCGATGTTAAGTGGGAAATGCTGGGTGAGGCTCATCCTGCCTGGCTATGGTCTTCCTCACCTGGTTCAAGGCACAAAAGAACCACCCTGCTGGATCAAGCCAATGGGAATCGAGTCCAGCATCCTGTTCTCACAGTGGCCAACTGGATGCCTATGTTGTTGTTGTTGTTTAGTCGTTTAGTCATGTCCGAATCTTCGTGACCCCATGGACCAGAGAATGCCAGGCACTCCTGTCTTCCACTGCCTCCCGCAGTTTGGTCAGACTCATGTTTGTAGTTTCGAGAACACTGTCCAACCATCTCGACCTCTGTCGTCTCCTTCTTCTTGTGCCCTCCATCTTTCCCAACATCAGGGTCTTTTCCAGGGAGTCTTCTCTTCTCATGAGGTGGCCAAAGTCTTGGAGCCTCAACTTCAGGATCTGTCCTTCCAGTGAGCACTTAGGGCTGATTTCCTTCAGAATGGATAGGTTTGATCTTCTTGCAGTCCATGGGACTCTCAAGAGTCTCCTCCAGCACCAGAATTCAAAAGCATCCATTCTTCGGCGATCAGCCTTCTTTATGGTCCAGCTCTCACTTCCATACATCACTACTGGGAAAACCATGGCTTTAACTATATGGACCTTTGTTGGCAAGGTGATGTCTCTGCCTATAGGATGCCTATAGGAGGCCCCAAAGCATGACCTCACCATAATAGCACTCTGTCCACTTGTGATTCCTAGCTACTGGTGTATGCTGCCTTCGACAGTCAAAGTGGAACATTGCTATTGTGTTTAGCAACCACTGACAGCAGCATCCTCCATGAATTTTTCTCACCCTCCTTTATGTAGGGATTTGCATAGATGCTAGGAGATAATATGTTTATTAGATGTTATCCTTCCTTCCTCAAGTTTGTGAGTACAGCACAGTGCCATCCCCTTGCAGCTTAAAAGGGAAGCTTAGAAAGGCTAGTTTAAGCCTTTTAAAAAAGCCTTTTAGTTTAAGTAATCCAGGACGCTTCAAGGAGGAAAGGATTCTACTGGTATTTCCCCTCTTTTCTGCCCTTTAAACAATAACCACATAAACAGTCTTGTAAGAGGTAAAAATAACATTTACAGTGGACCCTCTGGATACGAATTTAATTCGTTCCGGGGGTCCATCTGCAACCTGAAAAGTCTGTGGGCAGAGGCACTGCTTCTGTGCACACGCATGGCACGATTGAGCGGTTCTGCGCATGTGCGTGTGGTAAAACCCAGAAGTATACACTTCCAGGTTTGTGGCATTTGTAACCCAAAAGTTACATATCCAGAACGGTACGTAACTAGATGGTCCACAGAACTCACTCAGAGCTTCTGTTGCAGAATATAAAATACAGTCGCTTTAGTTCAGGTGAACTTAAAATGGTAATTCAGTTACACAGACCTACTTAAGTCTAGTTTAAAATGGTGCCTGAGCAATGGAGCTCAGACATGCAGATTGTTCTCACATTTCTGGCTTGGGGATGAGATGAAAAAGTAAGAGTGAAGAGAGAGCAAAGAGGAAGTGCCCAACCAGGTGAGGAAATTATATACAATCTCCCCACCAGGAGTTCTCTCTAGAAAACTTACAGGAAAACTCTATGAGCTTCAGCTCCTACCATCTAGCAAACATGCATTGTTGGTTTGATTGCATTATAAATATCTCACACTTTAAAGCTATCCATGTTGTTGGCCATTACTGTTAGGATTCCTGCTTTCTGCAGCAGAGGAGGGTGAGGCTAGAGGAGTCCTGGCTGCCATTTCTCACTGTACTGGAGAATTCAAAGGCTCTGTTGGGGTTGCTACCTGCTGCTTTCCCTTCAGCCAAACAGGAAAATATTCCACAGGTGAAGCTTTTCCAGATAACTGGCGGGGAAAAGCTTCAGCTGGTGTGCCAGACTGTTGTTAATAAGAAAGGTGGCTATCAGGTTGCAACCTGATAACCCTCTTAGCTAGTTTCCCATTGGGATGCCAGGATGCCTGGGAGCTCTACAGTTTTTCATGCAAGCCCTCTGAGTAATTCAGGGTTGCAATGAACCTGGCTTCTAGCCCTGTGTCTTTCCTATCCTGACACCTGGGTGATCTGTGCTGGAGAGATCTTGCCAGCAGCACTCAGAATGAGGAATGGCTTGTTCTTAAGGCAGGCTACAAGTGATAGTCGAAAGGCTCGCTGAAAGAGCAATTCCAGCAACTGCAGCTCCTGCAACAGCAGGGTATTCCTTTTATTTGTATGAAACCCAAACATATGTCTGTATCTGTAGGGCAAAAAGCGGCAAATGAGCTGCATTGGCAGCAGCTGAACAAAAACCAAATAGCTTTTAAAAACAACCACCACCGAACCAGCTTGATTTCTAATCAGATATGCTTTAGTTCATCTTCTCTGCAAATGGATGCAAACCTCCCCAAGGCCTAGTTCGTGATCTAGAAGCTCATTCTTGAAGGCTGCAGCATGCACTGAGGACTTGCATGTATCAATGGCCCATTGATCACATCAATATAAACAACATGGGCCACCTCTTTTGCAAGGCCTTTTCAGACAAAAGTCTTTTTGAACCTGGCTACTATGATCCTTTTTACAGGAGATGCTGGAGCTTGAACCTGATACCTCCCCTGTGCAAAGCAGATGCTTGACCACTGAATTCTGGCTCCTCCCTCTGCTGTTCCATGGTGCTTCAGATTGTAGCCATATATTTCTTGCCCCAGACAAAACTTCAGTAAACTGAGGGGCTGGTATATTGCCCAGTTTGTTATGATTCTTGTAGGGTTTGTTTTATTGTTAGGTGAGCCAACATAGGCTCAGAACTCGAGTGAGTCCACTTTATAATTCTGATTCGCTGGAATAAATCCAAGACCACCAGCAAATCTATTTATGTTAGCAGTACTTTGGCACTGATTAAGTGGCTCTGTGCATGCGGCCTTGCAAGTGTCAGCGTGTGCCCTGCACCAGGAAGCGGTAGTCTGCAAAATAAATTATTGCAGACTTGAAAAGCAATTGGGGAAACCCTGAATGTAATGTTAGCCAATTTGGAGAATGGGAGTCTATGCATTGACTATGGAAGGATTAAAAAAAATGGATAGGCTGGGCTTCCAGGAAGGAGGAGAGGCATGCCAATCATGGAGACATGTAATGAAGAGATGGGGAGCTGAGTTCAGGAGCAGATTATATTGCAGCTGTTCCAGAAGTCCCAGTGCAGTTGTGATAAGCAGGATGACAATGCTGGAGACTACCAGAATCAAGGCTGAGCTGAGATCAGGAGCCAGACAGCCTACCCAAGAACCTGGTAGTAGGAACTTGGATGTATAGATGATAGGCTGAGGAATGCAGAGCAGGACCTTGAACTGCAGACCAATTAGAAGCAATCTCAGGCAATGGCTGCAAGCGCTTGCCAGCTGAGTCCCTATTTCACAGTCCCCATCACTTTTTTATGAACCAAATGGATTATTTTTCCAGTGCAAACTGAGACACAAGGCAAAGGGTTCTCCAGTGCTTCTCCCTTCTGCTCAGCTGATGTGAACAGCTTTGACAGAGTTCATATACAATACAGCTGAGGGTTGGCTCCTGCAAGGGAGAGTGGGAAAGGGAAGGATTTTCCAAACTGTCTATTGAAGTTTACATTGGAGGAGAGGGGATTAAAGAGCCCTTTGCCCATGACTCGGCTTGCAGAGGCCTCATGATTTGATGACATGCATCCTATTTGGTTGGAGATGTTGTGCCTTCAGCCATTACAGCTGCCAAGGATAGATAGGTGCATAAAACCTTTCATGGAGTGGACAGAAAGGTTTATCTTCTTCTCTTGTAATACTGAAACTCAGGGCCACCCAAAGAAGCTGAAATTCAGGACAAACAAAATCAAGTACTTTTTCATGCAGTGCTTAGTTAAACTATGGCATTTGCAAGAAGGAGTGATGACCATCAACTTGAATGGCTTTAAAAGAAGATTATAAATTTTCATTGGCTACTAGCCATTATGACTATTTTATTTCCCCTGTTGGAGTCGGTATAGTTGCTGAGAATCACAGGTGGGGAGAGTGCTGTTGTGCTAATATCCTGTTCGTGAAAAAAGCACACCAAGAACTCAGGCCAATGTAAGTTGCAATAGTGGGAGTGGTCCCTACTCGCAAATCAATAGTCAATAGTAACAAAAACTAATCCATTCAAAAGTATGTATTCTGACAAGGATTACAAACTCAAATAGAGATTACAAACTCTAACAGAGATTATAAACTCAAACTCATAAAGATATGTATAACACAATAATTCGTTACAGAATTAGAAATAAGAGTTTATGAGTTAAGTTCATGTTAGTCCATAGTCAGATTCAACGTGAAGAGTTTCAATTATTGAGCAGAAGTCAGAAGTCAATTATGGATCAGAGACCAGGACAGGGCCCTGTTTCGATGTATTCATCTTCATCAGATAGTTTTTAAAGGGTTGTGTAAGTTTGAAGACTTTCGGATAAATATATCCTGTTATTTTCTACATTTCTCAGGGATAACAACTATGTGTGGGTAGATCAACGTGTATCTTGAGCTTTTCTGTGTGTTTCCCACATGCGTTTCCCAACCAACTGATCCAGCAGGGCTTTCTGTATGTTCTGTGTCCAAATTTTATTTGTGTTTGCTGAGTCAGCTTACCAAAAGTTCCATAGAACTCATTATTAGTTCTAGCTCCTTTTGATGGCATAGTTGGGTTGTCTAGGAGAAACTAATCCTGATGAGGAATGGTTGAGGGAGCTGGGTATGTTGAGCCTAGAGAAGAGAAGACTGAGAGGTGGCATGATAGCTATATTCAAAGATCTGAAGGACTTGTTTTCTCCTGTTCCAGAGGGAAGGACTCACAGCCAATATGGCTCCTGTGCTCTTTAGCAGCCTCAGCCTTTGTAATTGGAGTCAGTCAGGGACCTGCCCTCCCAGGCCAGGTGCAAAAGTCCTGCAAGGCAAGGAGCAGGTCCCCCAAGACTCACAGCTAAGATGGTCTTACAAGAAAGGAGATTCTGATTAAACATTAGAAATGGCTTTCTGATGGTAAGAACTATTTGACAGTGGAATGGACTAGCTCAGAAGGTGGTGGACGCCCCTTCACTGGAGATTTTTAAACAGATGACCATCTGACAGGGTTTCTTTAGTTGTGATTCCCACATTGCTGAGGGTTGAACTGCATGACCACTGGGGTCCCTTCCAACTCTACAATTCTATGGACACAGTGCTGATTTTGGGGTGTTTCTGTGCCAGTTCTTGGCGTGGGTTCAGTTCCCAGGGTTGGCAGAAAGGGATGAAACACAGTAACTCACATACATCCACTCAAGTCAAGATCCAAAGGGAATATGTAATAGGCACAAAAATCAGAATGAGAGGGGTTGAGTCCCACTGCAGGAGCTCCTAGACTTGGGCTTTCAATTCGTCCAGATGTCTGATACATGCTGTACTTCAAAGGTAGCGCAGCTTCTCTGCAGGACACCTAAGCTCTACTCAACGATGGTGGTGATTTCTTCCCTAACTTACCCTGTGGTTATTGGCATATGCCCTGAAGCATGGGATTTGATTATCCTTCTCATTATCTTAGCTACAAATGTTATTAGTAGCCATAAAATTGCTCATTAAAGCAAGAGGGATTACTTGCCTGTGCCACCAAGGGAGATAATAGATAATTTACTAAACAGGTTCAGCTGAAATCCTGTCTGGTTTCCCCACCCTCCTGCTCCTCTTCCTTTTTTTGAAAGAGAGGGAGTCAGAGAAAGAGAACCACCCCCATTGCAGCATCTTGTACTCTCCAAATGAGTTCCAGGGACATCTATATCCTTGATGAACTTCTGATAATTGTAGGGCTATACACTTAAGGCCAGTTAATCTCTCTCCCCCTCCCCCGTTTCCCCAAAGTGATTTCTGTGCCTAGTGATACATGCATCTTGCTTCACAGGATCATAAATACACTTAACATTATTTTTAGATATGCTTTTCAGAGTGCACAGAGCACACTTCACAGACATGTCTGGTTGTAAAGTCTCCTACAGCAAGCCTGGTAGGTAGATCAGTATTGTGTGCCCCTCGCCCCCATTTTGCAAATGGGAGCAGGAGCTGGTGTGTGTGTGTGTGTGTGTGTGTGTGCATACCCTCCAACATTTCTCCGATGTAAATAGGAATGTCCCATTCCATAATGGTAATTTATTGAATACCCCACACATCTTACTGGGTTGCCCCAGCCACTCTGGGAAGCTTCCAACAGATATGAAACCATAATAAACATTTTTAAAAGCTTCCCTATACAGGATTACCTTCAGATGGCTCGGGGGTTGGATTGTTGGTTTCTGCTTTCCTTCACTGTGCAGCTCTGCTTGTCACGAGACAGGTGTTTACATTCCACAGTCTGTACTGTTGGAGTTTCTCACGGGAAAGGGAGACTGGATGTGACGTACACTGGTTTCCTGTTTTTCACTGTGTGATTCTCTCCGAGCTGTTGAGGAGAGAGGATGCATTTTTCTGCTCCGGCAGAGGCAAGATGTCTTTCTGTAATATACCAGCTTTGAACTGTAAATAAAGCAATATAGAGTATGTAGCACGTATTCCTCATCCTTCCGCTGGGCACGAGACTCTGCTTTAAATCAACACGTGGTTATGGGCCCAGAGGTCGAATCGGAGTGCCGGCAAAGGATCGGAATGCAGAGGGATGGATCGGAACGGAATCTGCTCTGCGCGTAGAGGTGATTGATGAGGTATGTGCTACTGCTCCAGGCAGCCTGCCAGCTTCAAGTTAATGGCTTTATGGCTGGACTTTGAACTTTTAAAGCCGGTTTTGCCGGGAATAGGCAAAGGCTCCCAGGCACAAGTCACTATGCTGGGGAAATCGAAAGTAACTTTTAAGTGCGCTTTTGTAATAAAGCAGCTGCAGCAGTGACGCAGCAAGATTTAAAGCAGCATACATGACGCTGAAGGCTAATGCCAGAGTCATGATGGCCCTTCAGGATGCTTGTGGGATTCCTAAGCTCAACAAGAAAAATTACAGCGACTGGGTTCAGTATGCAGAGGCAATTCTGCGGAAAGAGGGTTTGTTTGAGGTGATTACAGGAACCCCCCCAGTGCCAGTCACAGATGCATGGAAAGCTAAGGATTCCAAAGCAAGGGGAACTCTTACATTGATAGTATCCCCAGAAGAGCTCTGTCTATTGCGTGATAAGACCTCAGCCAGAGAAATTTGGGACGCTCTGAGAGAGGCTCACTTAAGGACAGAAGCTGGATCCACTATGTTTTACTTTAACAAGCTGCATAATATGGCTCTTGCTGAAGGTGGAGATGTGCGTTTACATCTGATAGAGATGCAAAATCTGAGACATGAGCTGCAACAGAGAGGACTCAACTTTCCAGAGGCTGTGTATTCTTTCATGATACTACAATCTTTGGGTTCAGGTTGGGAGTCTGTTGCAACCCAGATTGCTGTGCAACCAACTGCTCAGCTGACAGTGGACTTTGTTACTGCCGTGATTTTAAATGAAGCAGATCGCCGGGGTGCTAGCTGCATGGGCAAGGGGAGTCTTCACAGACGTCATCCCATAGTGCAGTGGAACCACCAGATGGCGCCAAAGCTTTGAAGGCAGTGAAATGCTACTCGTGTGGACGTCTAGGCCATATGAAGAGGGAATGCAGACATCCCAGGGCCAAGACAGAGCAGCGCAGCGAAAGCTCATCGCGCGGAAAAGGCCGAGGCAAAGGCAAAGGTCCGGTGTCTAGGACAACGCAGCACAAGGCTATGGTTTCACGCTTCACTCCAAAGGTTGCAGAGGTCCAGAAGACGTCTAGATCTTTCTTCGTTGTTGATTCAGCGGCCACCCACCACATGTGCAACGATAAGAGACTGTTTGAGTCTTTTACACCGCAGGAAGGTGCGATTCACCAGGCGGATGACCACACTATTCCCAGTAAAGGCTACGGAACTGTTGTTCTTCACAGTTTGGACTTATCGATACAGAATGTGCTTTACGTGCCAGACGCCAAACATAATCTGCTCAGCGTTGGACAGCTGAATGAGCAGAACATTGACGTTTCCTTCAAGAACAAGAAGTGCATCATCACAAAGAAAAATGATTATGTATTGCATGCAGAATATGTTGATCATTTGTTTGTTTTGTATTATGATGATGTGGTGCAGGATGACACTTGTTGCATTGCAGGTTCTAACAAAAGTTTGCATGCAGAATGTATTCACGATTTTCATCGAAAATTTGGTCATTTGCATTTTGAGGCAGTATCTAAAATGCCTGCCTTGGTTGAAGGTATGACTGATTAAACCCTGCAAGTACCACATGAAGTGCAAAGCATGCGCAGCAAACAAGGTGAAAATGGCTGCGAAAGGTAAGGTGTCTAGTAGGAAAGCTACAGAACCATACCAGGTTGTTCATGCTGATTTGGTTGGACCACTAGCGCCCTCTTTGGGTGGAAATAGATACTTCATGGTTCTCATTGATGCATTTTCTAGATATATTTTTGTGTACAATCTCAAGCAGAAATCGGAGGCTTTTCCTAGGTTCAAGGAATTCTGTGCTTGGTTGGAAAATGTGCATGGTAAGAAGATAAAGACTCTTTTCAGTGATCGCGGGGAATTCACTTCTCAGCAGTTTGAAGCTTTTCTGACTGAGAAAGGAATTCAACACGATTTGTCTAGTCCTCGCTCGCCATGGCAGAATGGACTTGCGGAACGGGCAAATCAGACATTGCTTCAAGGCTTAAAAACCTTGCTGCATGATGCCAATCTTCCAGAGAGTTATTGGGCCGAATCTCTCTCGTGTTTTGTTTACAGTTACAATCGCAGGTTATCTTCAGCGATTGGTTGTACCTCTATGAGAAGATGTTTGGCAAGAAGCCATACATCAAACACATGAAGATTTTTGGTTCTGACATATGGGTTCGCTCACCACAAAACTCCAAGTTAGACAAGCGTGGATTGCATGGTATCTTTCTAGGTTATCAGAAAGGGTCTTACAGAATAATGATGACTGACTCTAAGACAATTAAGCTCACGAGAAGTGTCGAGTACAATGCAAAGTGGGGGAGAATGTGGGAATTTTCCAATGTTATCCTGATGACGGTGATGAGACTGAGGATAGTCAAAAGCAACCACAACAGCCCACACCCACTGATGAAGGTTCTGAGTCTGAATCTGAAACTGAATCGGGTGATTCAGAGGATTTCGAGAGTGCGAAAGCCTCTATGCGACCCTCTGAAAGCTCTGATCAAGAATTGGAGGAACCATTGTTCACAATAGGTCGTTTTCTCCTAAGAAGGAAGAGGAGAGTGTTGAAGACTTAAGGCTAATTCGTAGGTCACAGAGAGCCACAAAAGGCAAACCTCCAAAGAGATTTGCTGATGAGTTTGCTACGATAGCAGTAACAGCTGTTAAAAGCTCCAAGAAGGTATTTGAACCTTCAAGTTTCCAAGAAATCCAGGGTTTGGATTCGAAGGAAGCTGAGCCATGGTTAAATGCCATGAAGGCTGAGCTTGATTCCTTAGAAAGGAACAAAACATGGGAGCTAGTTCCAGTAGTTCCAGGAATGAAACTGCTTGGAAGCAAATGGGTCTTCAAAGCGAAGACAGATCAAAATGGCAAGATAGTCAGACACAAAGCCAGATTGGTAGCCAGAGGTTTTGCACAGGTACCAGGTGAAGACTATCACGAGACCTATTCACCCACAGTGAGATATGAAAGCATTAGGCTTATGCTTAAGCTAGCTGCAGAGGAAAATCTACACATTAGTCACCATGATATTAATACAGCTTTTCTGTACGGATCTCTAGATGAATCACTTTATATGCTTCCACCTGATGGCGTACAGGTAAAACAGGGATTTGTTTGTGCTCTGAAGAAATCCCTTTATGGTCTCAAACAAAGTGCACGGTGTTGGCACACAAAACTCACTGAAGTATTGTTTTCTCTAGGTTTTCAGCAAGGGAAAGCTGATCCATGTGTATTTGTCAAAGAGGAGGGGCAAAAGAAACTGTACTGTTTGTTTTATGTTGATGATTTATTATTCTTTTGGAAAGATGTTGCAATGTACAATAGCGCCCTAGCTCAACTGAAAGAGCACTTTGACATGAAAGATCTTGGTGAGGTAAACAACTACCTATCTCTGGAAATAGAGAAAGATCAAGATGGTAACATTCTAGTACACCAGTCACGGAAAATTGCTGATGTGTTAAGCAAACTAAATCTGATGGATGCTAACCCTGTAGACACACCGATGACAACAGGTTATCAGGTAGATGACACTGAAGAAGCATTTTCTGACACTACACTGTACAGGAGTGTGCTAGGCAAGCTAAACTTCATTGCCAGATGTTCAAGACCAGACATTGCTGTTAGCTGTAATTTGCTAAGCAGACAAGTCAACAATCCTAGTGTCAAGCATTGGAAAGCTCTGAAACGCATAGCGCGGTATTTGAAAGGCACTATGCATTACAGACTGAGATTTAACAATCAGAAGTCTGGTGGTCTTGAGATATTTGCAGATGCAAGTTTTGGAAGTGACACTACAGACAGGAAAAGTACGTCTGGAGTTTGCTACATGTACAATCAGAGTCTGTTTGATTGGTCATGCAAGAAGCAAACAACAGTTAGCTTAAGTACTTGTGAAGCCGAACTGAATGCACTGTCTTATTCACTTAAGGATTGTGAATGGTTAGTACAATTGTGCAAAGATATGAAAATTCCTGTCAAATGTCCAATCCAGGTTTACCAGGACAACAAAGCATGTTTGGCTTTGCTGAAGTCTGAAGGTTGTAAGCAAAGCACAAGCACTTACAATTAAAGTTGCAGCATGCTAGGGAATGTATTCAGAAGGGACTCGTAACGGTGTCCTATATGCCAGGTAATGAAATTCCTGCTGATGTATTGTCCAAGATTGTATCAAGGGATCAACACTGTACCTATGTGCAGAAGTTGGGTTTGTACTGATATTGTGCAAACACGCTGCCCAGTGATGTTCACAGAAAGGGGGAGGATGTTGGTTTCTGCTTTCCTTCACTGTGCAGCTCTGCTTGTCACGAGACAGGTGTTTACATTCCACAGTCTGTACTGTTGGAGTTTCTCACGGGAAAGGGAGACTGGATGTGACGTACACTGGTTTCCTGTTTTTCACTGTGTGATTCTCTCCGAGCTGTTGAGGAGAGAGGATGCATTTTCTGCTCCGGCAGAGGCAAGATGTCTTTCTGTAATATACCAGCTTTGAACTGTAAATAAAGCAATATAGAGTATGTAGCACGTATTCCTCATCCTTCCGCTGGGCACGAGACTCTGCTTTAAATCAACACGTTACCCTCCAATACTTCTCCAATGAAAACAGGGACATCCTAAGAAAAAGTGGGACACTCCAGGATCAAATCAGAAACTGAGATGGCTTCTCTGAATCAGGGACGTCCTTGGAAAATAGGGACACATGGTGCCCTTCAGATGTTGCTGGACTACAACTCCCATAATCTCTGACCATTGCCCATAAGCTAGGGCTTATGGGAGTTGTAGTTTAGCAATTTCTGGGGGATGCCACATTGACTACCCCTGACCTAGGGCAATACAGTGTCATAAAAAGGCAACATAACTACTCTGCTGTCTCCCATCCAAGTAGGCTTTTCTCTATACCAGTTCAGTGTCTCACACTAATTAGTATTAAGCAACTTTAGGATCCGGTTGGCCGCTGTGAGAACAGGACTAGATGGGCCATTGATCCAGGAGACTCTTCTGATGGATACTCAAAAATGTTGCAGCCCAAACTCTCACTCTGGGCAACCTATAAAGGATGGGGTTTGGGGTTTGTAGGAAGCAGGCAGGAATAGGCTGACAGCTGCCTCCTGTCATTGTGCTTCTGTCTTGCTTAATTAAAAATAATGCAAGTGTCAATGACAAGGCTTTAATAAACAAAGCTCATCCCACACACCTTTATAAGTGTCTGAGCGGAGAGCTGGTGGCTTTCGGAAAAATCGTGTCTCAGACTCAGGTGCAAATATAACCACCAGTTATTTGAAAACCCCGTCCAAGAAACCCAGGTGATAAAAATAACACAATAGGGTGATACTGCTTTCCAAAACAAGGATTCACAATTGCATTTCATGCTTTGTAGTTGCCAAGGAATTCTAACTTGTGCAGGTTTGAATGGTGGTGGTGAGGAGGTAGTGACTTTATGTATAATCAGGGCAATGGGAAGAGTGTACAGATAACCCCATCACTTTATTTTTTTTAGTGTTGGGAAAATTGGGTCAATTAGCTTTTGGTGAACAAAAACAGCCATTTAAGCGGATCCATAAATGGGGCTCAATTTGTTTACCCCTAGGTGGTCTGAACATCATGCTCAGAATTTGCTACTGTTGACCTGCCCTTGCACGAACATTTCCCGCTGGTGCTATCAGCAAAGTCATTTGGCAGCTTGTAGCACTGGTTTTAGCTTCCTCCATCTAGCTTGTAAGAGTGCTGTTATTCCCTTGCTAGTGGCAGCGCCTTCTCAGTATTCAGCACCACGGAGAGCTCAGGGTTGATAATGGGTAGTAAGAAATGTGTGAAGAAATTATCAGCAGAAGAGCAGACACTCTCATAGGGGATTAATTGAGACCACAAATTCAGAGTAGTTTGCCATTTTGGGTTGCTCCTTCAGGGTCATCATGAGAATGAGAGAGTCCCCTTTCGATTTGTTGTTCTTGGGGCATTATTGTTTTTTAAGGGAGATTTTTTTAAAAAAATTGATTGACTGGGATGCTCCCTGGGAAGTGGTGAGTGAAACTATGCTGGGGACTTCACCTGACTCACCACGGGACAAGAGTCTGTTGGTGGGAAAGTGTTTAATCTCCTTAGGTGGGAGATGGAAAGAGGGTTTTCTATTGCCCCAGGTGAGAGATGAGGAGGAAATGACCTCTCCTTCCGATGCTGTTCTTGGATTTTTCTTATTCAGAGGACTCCTTTTTCAGTACACAATGATTAATTAATTGAACGTTGAGTGTTTTGTTGAAGCAGGAATTGAATAGATGGAGTGATGCGGCTGAGTGATGTGATAGTTGAATGATAGTGTTAAATAGAGGTGGTGTAATCTGATTGGCTTTGTGTAGTGTGAATGTGTGTTTCAGGGCTGGGAAACCTTTGTTGTCGAACTACAGCTCCCATCAGCTCCAGCCAGCAAGCCAATAGTCATAGAGAATGGGAGTTGTAATCCAACAAACATATGGAAAGCCAAAAATTCCTCACCCCTGATGTACGTGAATGATTTTACTGATTGTATTATTATGCTATGTGCTTTTGTGTGATATTTATGACATTTTCTAGATGATACTATCATTATGTTGTGTTTTGATGTTGTATTTTGTATTTTGATGTTTCGTATATGATCTGCTTTTGCAGTTCTTATTTATTTTACTCGTGCACATTGTTTTGTGACATTTATTGGTTGCTTTATCATGTTGCTTTACTAAACTGTGGAATTATTAGTATGGTTTGGTTTTGAATGTTGATTTTGTATTTTATAGTTTTGTATTGATTATTTTATGCTGGCATGTGTAAACTGCTGAGAAATTTATGATGGAATATTTAGCAGCGTGCAACTTACTTAACTAGGCAACTGAATAGTAAATATATATTGAAGGAGGAGGTGAATCACCATTATCAGCAGAAGTTCCTAACCCTTCTGTACTTTGTGGCAAGGCAATGAAAATTCTGCAGAAATGTGATAAATTACAGAATATCCTGTTCCTCAGTACTTGGGAACTAACACTGTGATTAAAACAAAACTGCAGAGGGGTGGGTAATACATGAGAGAAAAAATATTTTAAGTGTACTGAACTTTGTTTTGCAGAATTTTCAGACAACACCAATGGATTTGGATGCCATTCCTGATATTTGAAACACTTGCAGGTTGCATTTGATGTCAAAAAATCATGCCAACTGAATATTGAGAGATCCTGAATGTGGAAGGTTTTCTTCCGCTCCTCAGCCATTCTTCCTAGTGTTGACCAGCGAGTCAGTAGTTTGCTGTGAGTGCTGGCCAGATCTAAAGTGGTCTTTAAAGCCTCTTTGGCTAACCATTAAACTGAACCGACCTTATGCGAATTGAAACAGAAGCACTGTAATGTTTATTTTTTTTAAAAAAAAGAGAGAAAAGTAGAAAATGGTGGGGAAGAAGAGTGAAAGATACAAAATTTATATAATTAATATAAATTTATATTGGTTCAGCACTAGTTTAACTGGCATGGCTCCTTGCTCCCTTGCCCCAAACCTAGGAACGGTAATTTGACTCAGATAATAAGGATTTTCTGCTAGAAATTGCTACCCCACCCAAAGAACTACCATCTGCAATAAGCTAGTAAGTTTGCAGTGCAGATATGCCCAGAGGAAGAAAAAGTGTGTGAGAGAAAACAATGAGACAAGAGAAGTGGGAACCTCTCTCTCTCTCTCTCTCTCTCTCTCTCTCTCTCTCTGTGTGTGTGTGTGTATGTGAGAGAGAGAGACCTGTGGGTTGTATTCAGTGTAGCACTAAGATTAATGATCTATCAGCACAATAATTTCTCTTTGTGCAATGACATGTTCTCCACCTCTCCTAACTTCCAAGAGTGCATTTGAGATCGTATTGGGGGGAGGAGAAAAGGAAAACCCCATTGTGCTTGTGCTAATCCTTGCACTAGGACGAATATTTTGTTGAACACCCCCCTATGATGCAGGTTGGATTTAAAAGCATGTCTTGGATCTGAAAACTTTGAAGACCTCTGAACTGGCTGAATAGTTCTGAAATAGCGAGAGAGGTGCGCATACCTGCCTTTGAGCCGCATTGTATGGTACACGTGTGTCTATACTGGTTATTAGAAGGCTGGTTCAGATGTTGATAGGCCTGGGGCAAGCTGAGGAGCAGGCAGGAGGTCAGATAGAGGAGGCAGTCAGGCAGAAATGAACAGAAGCTGTGTATCTTCCCCTGGAGACCAGCTGCTCAGATTGCAAAGCGGCAGAGCTTAGAGATGGAAGTGAAAGGTGGCTGGGAAAGTAGCTCAGTGGCAGAACATCTGCTTTGCATGCAGAAGGCCACAGGTTCAACCCCCAGCATCTCCAAGTAGGGCTGGTAGAAACTCCTGCCTTAAGCCCTGGAGACCCACTGCCAATTAGTGTAAGGAATACTGAATTAGATGGACCAGTGGTCTGATTCAAAGGTGGGTGGCTTCTTAGGTTCCTAAGGCTAAGAAAGCCAATTTTCCATTACAGAGAAAGCTCTCTGCATTTACAAGTGCATGCTCTGTATACTTCTTGCATTAAACAAGAGATAAAGCACAGGGAAGGGTGATGTATAGCTACTTCTGGCTGCATTGTGAGCAAGATCCTCTGCAGTCTTCATGCATACAGAAACGTTCTGCGAATGGGCCTTGGACTGCTGTTTTCTTTGTTTCCTCTTTCATTACCATGAGACTGTAGCTTGAAATTAGATACTTCCCACCCGAATGAACAGCCTCACTTCCATCCCAGGTACAGCTGGGAACATCTCCCAACTGAAACCCCAGTCAATGTAGACGAGACTGAGACAGATGGACCAGTGGTCTCCCTCAGCAGAAAGCAGCTTCTTGTGTTCTTATAGAATCATTGGATTGTAGAGTGGGAAGGGACCCAAGGGTCATCTAGTCCAACCCCCTGCAATGCAGGGATTTTTACTGTGGTTAGTTCACTCCTACCTAGGAGGCTTCTGTCATCATCAACAAACCTTTTATTGGCATCACATCCAAACATCCAAAACAAATCAATACAGAATTACCACTTCCCCAGTGGCACAAAACATTTGCTAAAAGAAAGGAGGCAGAGCAGTCTATTGTCACATCTCTAGGTCTCCAGGGAGATCAGGCGTCTGCAGTGTATTTCTACGACAAAAAACCAAATAGAGATATTAGTGAGCCCCAGTAATAGAAAATGTATGACCTCCAACTCTGGTTTCCATTTGGGGATGCAGAGTTGATCTAGAAATTGCTGATGGAGATCAGCAAATAGTTTACAGTTAAGAACCATATGTGTGAGGGTTTCCACCAGGTGGTCTTCACATGGGCAAGTTCTTTCTCCTTCCACCCTGCCTGAGACCCTTCCCCAAAGGAGGTTTGATGGATTTGAATTAAACCTGGCCAGCGATACTGCCCTTCTTTCTTGAGGGTTAAGCAGAAATTCAAGGTAATTGTGGTTAGTTACATGTGCCCAAGAAAGTTGAAAATAAAGAGGGAACACATTTTCTCTGCTGCTACTGTTAGTTCCTGGCGCTCAATATGGAGGGTTCTAGAGTGTGCAGTGTCTGCAGTTATCATCTCCACGCAGCTAGCTGTCTCCTGGCAGTTCAGACTAAAAGTAACCCACACTGGGCTCCAAAGTTTGTCTGGCAGTGCCACAGTGCGTTACAATTGACATAAGATGGAGCATCACACACACAGTCAGTGGTTTCCTGATACTGTTGTCCTAAGACAAGTGAGCTATTGGCTCGGGAAAGCTTTGCAAGTCTGTTCTGTGGTGTTCCTTCTTGGTAATGTTCCCTCCAAAAAAATTTATCCATCCTTCTGGCCTCCACAATTCTGGCCTCCTTCCTTCCTTCATTTCAGTGATTCATTACCTCTGAATCCTCCTGCTTTTGGATGTCTGGAAGTACAATCACAGATATACATTTCCTTTGGATTCGCCTTGCATGCACAAGAGAATTTGGAGGAGTTTCCCCACCCACGCTCTGCTAGGTATAGATCTGGTTGCCAAAAAGGACAGCAAGTAAAAGAACAGTCAGTTCTTCCTCAAGTGTATAATCTAATAAACCTAGAGGATGGAGCAAATTATAGATTAAAATATCTAGCTCTGTTAAGATATCCCCCCTCACTTTACTCATTAAAATGAACAGTTAATGTCAGCCAGGAATAAAGCCGATATCTGGTGTATTTATAGTCACGTACACTAAAAACAGCCCCGGGGTGCCTGATTTTTCATGGAACCTGCATACAGTGATTTGGCCTTTCTCATTCAGGCACATAACGACCCTGCTCTTTAAAACCATGTGACAAGTTTGGCCATTTCTCCATTCCACCCAGTTTTTTTTAGTAGGAGACTTTAAAAGAGGATCACACAATTTCAAGCGCTTTGTGTTTGTGGGAGGGGCAACAGTCAGGCAGGCAACAGTTGAACAACAAGTATTATTTACATATGCATAAATGAATGCAATGTGTTTCTCTCCCTTGAGCCCAAGAGAGGGTTTAGTAGCCCTTTTTCTTTCAAAACTCCTTTGCAGCAGAGGAACACTTTTGACTTTTGCGCAATTGGCTTCTTTGTTTGGTGAAAGTGAGCATGAAAATTTCAACATGAAAACTGAACATGAAAATTAACCAATTGACTTTAGTGTCTACTACTTCACACAAAAGCACATGTGCAGTTGCAGGCAGTTCTGATTAGTCCTCAACACTGTGTATGTGTGTGTCTGTCCATGCTTGCAAGGAGAAATGTAACTTGTTCACGGTCTGATCATGGATAGAGGAACAAAGCAAGCTGCTTTATACAGATTCAGACCACTGGTCCACCTAGCTCAGCATTACCCATACTGACTAGTAGCAGATCTCCAGAGTTTCATACCTGCCTTTCTTGAAGATGCCAAGGACTGAAACCAAGATCTTTTGCATGCTAAGCAGTTGCTCTGCTATTGAACCATAGCCCTTCCCAATACAACCACATGGGGGTGCGATGTAGTGGTTAGGGTGTCTGACTAGGAGACCAGGGTTGAAAATACCCACTCATCTGTGGAGCTCGCTGGGTGGTGTTGGGCCAATCACTCACTCTTGGCTTAAGCCACCTCACAGAGCTGTTGTGGGCATTAAACGAGGAGGGGAAGAACTAAGTAGGCAAGCCACCTTGAGCTCCTTGGAGAAAACGGTGGGATATAAATGCAATGAATGAATAAATAAATGTAGGTGAATTACTGCTACGTATATCTGCAATTCCAGAAGGCAGAGGGGACCTGGCTTGTTTATGTGTAACTTTTGAGCGCAGCTCCTTTGTTGTTGTTGTTGTTTAGTCGTTTAGTCGTGTCCGACTCTTCGTCACCCCATGAACCAGAGCACGCCAGGCACTTCTGTCTTCCACCGCCTCCCGCAGTTTGGTCAAACTCATGCTGGTAGCTTCGAGAACACTATCCAACCATCTCGTCCTCTGTCGTCCCCTTCTCCTTGTGCCCTCCATCTTTCCCAACATCAGGGTCTTTTCCAGGGAGTCTTCTCTTCTCATGAGGTGGCCAAAGTCTTGGAGCCTCAGCTTCAGGATCTGTCCTTCCAGTGAGCACTCAGGGCTGATTTCCTTCAGAATGGAGAGGTTTGATCTTCTTGCAGTCCATGGGACTCTCAAGAGTCTCCTCCAGCACCAGAATTCAAAAGCATCCATTCTTTGGCGATCAGCCTTCTTTATGGTCCAGCTCTCACTTCCATACATCACTACTGGGAAAACCATAGCTTTTACTATACGGACCTTTGTTGGGAGTTCCTTTAGGTGCTGTTTTTGGAATACTAGAGGGGGTCTATGAAATGGGAGAATCTGGAGATTGCACCAAGCACTATCTCCCTTCTCCAGCGAATTTAGCATTAACTGTTGACTCACATTTATATTTCCCCAAGTGAGGGCCTTCCTAGTGCTGGCTGTGCCAAATATTAGGTGTAAACTGCCTCATCAAACAGATCAAAGTGCTTTCTCTTTGCAGGTTAATTATGGGAAAAAACAACAACAATCCATGAATTTTCCTGTTAAGGCTGAGCTACTTTATCTTGAATTTCCAAGGGAATAAATCTTTCCTTTTGCAAACTGTTCTAAAATAAAAGAAGGGGAGTTATTTATAGTTCACGACCTCTCTTCTGGTGAAGCATCAAAGACTGTGTGCTTGTGTATGAACTACAATTATCCCAGGGGGATGAACAATGATTATAGGGCTCCCCCTAGAGGCTTCAAGGAGCGCAGTCATAGCTAAAGTAACCTGCAGGAACACCTGATTACAAAGAGGAGTATCTAACCAGGTGTGTGGCACGGTCCTGTTCAATTCAGTTGGTGAATCTGGGCTCGCACCCTCATCTGTATACTTTGGCTTTTTTTGCAATGAACAATGAATGAATGTGGTTCCAGGTACTCGAGCAAGCAGCCAGGATGCTATTTTTAAGAATTTGCAAGAGACTAAGTCACTCTGGGGGGATGCGGGTGGCACTGTGGGTTAAACCACAGAGCCTAGAACTTGCCGATCAGAAGGTAGGTGGTTCGAATCCCCGCGACGGGGTGAGCTCCCATTGCTCGGTCCCAGTTCGAAAGCACATCAAAGTGCTCTGCTTCGCCAGAAGTGGCTTAGTCATACTGGCCACATGACCTGGAAGCTGTACGCCAGCTCCCTCGGCCAATAAAGCGAGATGAGCGCCGCAACCCCAGAGTTGGTCACGACTGGACCTAATGGTCAGGGGTCCCTTTACCTTTACCTTTAAGTCACTCTGGCTAACTTGCATGTGGGAAAAGGACCAGGTAGAACTCTCATTATCTCCTTAAAGCTTTTAAGGAGGATCTGTTTTCACATCCAGCTGACAGTCATCTATAGCAATTAAATGTGAACAAATCATGTGATGCAAATCATTGCATGAACTGATTGTTAAGGAATGTGTAAACTTACTACTTTGTTTTTTTTTAAAGCAATTTATTGGGTTTTACAATAAAAATAAACATAGTAAACAATATAACATTTGTCTTAACATAGTTTCACATTTTCTTTGGACTTCCTCACATCCCCCGCTCCCACTTTCATCGTTATAACATTTTGTCAGCAATTTATCATCTTATTTAAATTCTTATATCTCTTCAATGTTTCATAATCTTATAGTTCTCATAAAGAGTTAAACTTTCACAGTCTTACTTATTTTCTTAAAAACTTCTAAGTTAAGTGGTGCTCAGTTATTTAGTCTAGCATCTTATTTAGCATTCACTCAAATCACAATATTTTTGTAGATAGTTCTTAAATTTCTTCCAATCCTCCTCGATTCTCTCTTCTCCCAGGTCACGGATTCTGCCGGTCATTTCAGCCAGTTCCATGTAGTCTATCAGTTGCATCTGCCATTCTTCCAGTGTGGGTAAATCTTGAGTTTTCCAATGTTTTGCAAGAAGTATCCTTGCTGCTGTTGTTGCATACATAAAAATGTCTGGTCCTTCTTTGCCACCCCTTGGCTGACAATACCCAGAAGGAAAGCCTCTGGTTTCTTGGTAAAGGTATATTTAAATACCTTTTTCAATTCATTATAAATCATTTCCCAGAACGCCTTCACTTTAGGGCAGGTCCACCAGAGGTGGAAGAACGTTCCCTCACACTCTTTACATTTCCAACACTTATTATCAGACAGGTGGTAAATTTTTGCAAGTTTAACTGGGGTCATATACCATCTATAAATCATTTTCATTACATTTTCTTTCAGAGCGTTACATGCAGTAAATTTCAATCCATTACTCCACAACTTTTCCCAGTCCTCAAACATAATATTATACCCAATGTCCTGTGCCCACCTTATCATAGCCGATTTAACCATTTCATCTTGTGTATTCCATTCCAACAGCAAGTTATACATCCTTGAAAGTACCTTAGTCTTTGGTTCTAACAATTCTGTTTCTAATTTCGATTTCTCCACCTGGAACCCTAGTTTCTTATCATTTTTAAAAACTTCTTTAATCTGAGCGTAATGTAACCAATCTCGCACTTTGTCTTTCATTTTCTCCAAACTCTGCAATTTCCAATTGTCTCCATCTTTTCTAGTATTTCCCAATATTTTGGCCATTTAGCCTCCATATTGGGTCTTTTCGGGCCTTAGCTTCCAAAGGTGAAAGCCACCTTGGTGTTTTATTTTCCAGCAAGTCTTTATATTTTGTCCAGACATTATACAATGATTTTCTGACAATATGGTTCTTGAAGGCCTTATTTGCTTTAACTTTGTCATACCATAAATATGCATGCCATCCAAAAACATTATTAAACCCTTCCAAGTCCAACACATCAGTGTCTTCAAGAAGTAGCCAGTCTTTTAGCCAGCAGAACGCTGCGGCTTCATAATACAACTTTAAGTCCGGCAGGGCAAAGCCCCCTCTTTGTTTTACATCAGTTAATATCTTAAACTTGATTCTGGGCTTTTGCCCTGCCAGACAAACTTCGAAATATCTCTCTGCCACTTCTGAAAGCACTCCGTTTTGTCCAAAACCTGAAGTGTTTGAAATAAAAACAACATCCTTGGCAATACATTCATCTTAATAGCAGCAATTCGGCCTAACAAAGAAAGTTTCAATTTTGACCAACTGTCTAAGTCTCTCTTAATTTCTGTCCAACATTTTTCATAGTTATCCTTAAATAGACTTAGATTTTTTGCTGTTATGTTTACCCCTAGGTATTTTACTTTTTAACCACATTAAGTTCCGTCTCATTCTGAAACCGTTCTGACTCTGTATCAGTCAAATTTTTCCCCAAAACCTTAGTTTTCTGTTTATTTAATTTAAATCCCGCCACCCGACCAAAATCATTAATCAATTGTAATACTCTTTTCGTACTGGGCTCTGGCTTCTGCAAGGTCAAAACCAGGTCATCTGCAAAAGCTTTTAGTTTATATTGTTTCTGACCAACCTGAATTCCTTCCACCAACCGATCCCCTCTAATCATGTTCAGTAGCACTTCCAGAACCGAAATAAATAACAAAGGGAAATAGGGCAACCTTGTCGTGTCCCTTTTTCAATTTTAAACTCTTCTGTAACCACATTATTAACTATCAGTTTAGCTTTCTGTTCTGAATATATCGCCTCAATCCCATTCTCAAAACCCCGTCCCACTCCCATCTCTTTTAAATTTCCCATCATAAATTTCCAGGAAATATTGTCAAAGGCCTTCTCCGCATCTATAAAAATTAAAACTGCTTTTGTATTTATATCTGTTTGCAGAAGTTCCAAGATGTCAATAATGTTCCTTGTGTTAGCAAACAGATGTCTACCTGGGAGAAAACCGGCCTGGTCCTTATGAATTACTTCATTTAATACTTTTTAAATCTACTTGCCAAAATGTCTGCAAATATTTTGTAATCCACATTTAAAAGAGAGATGGGACGGTAGTTCTTCAGTTGTGTCTTTTCAGCTTCTGACTTTGGTATTAATGTGATGAACGCTTCCTTCCACGAATCCGGTGCCCTCTTCCCCTCGATAATTTCATTGCTGACCTCCATCAAGGGTTGTATCAAATAGTCTTTTAATATCTTATAATACTTGGAGGTCAGCCCATCTGGCCCTGGAGATTTGCCAAGTTGCATGTTCTGAATAGCTTGTTCAATCTCCTGTCGTGTTATTTTAGAGTTCAGGATTGTCCTATTTTCTTGTGACAATTTAGATAGTCCATTTTTGCCAAAAATTGTTTAATCTCAACTTCGTCTTGCGGCCCTTGGGTGTATAATTTTTAAAATATCTCTGGAAACACTTTCTAATATCCACTGGATTCTGAATGTTTTTTCCATCAACCTCTAAATTTGTAACCGTGTTTAATCTTTGTCTTCTCTTCAACTGCCAAGCTAGCAGTTTTCCACATTTATTCGCCGACTCAAACGTTTTTGTTTCATTAATTTAACCTTCCATTCAATTTCCTGATTTATCAATTTAGAATATTGTGTTTGATAGAGTTTAATTTCTCTCAGAGTTGGCTGTGACTTTGGATTCGCTCTTAATTTCTTCTCTAATTCTTTTAATTTGTCCAAGATTTTATCTTTTTTCTCATTTTGTGTTCTTTTCTTTACTACATTCTGTTGTATCAAGAATCCCCTCATTACAGCTTTGCTTGCGTCCCAGACAATTCTTTTTTCCACCGAATTGTTCATATTTATCTCAAAATAGTCCTTCAAAACTTTTTGGGCCTTCTTGGTAATTTCCTGATCTCTAAACAAATTGTCATTCATCTTCCATCTAAAGGATCCAGTTGGTAGTAGTGTCATATCCATCTTTACTGCATTATGGTCAGAGCAGGTCTTTGGGCAGATTTCCACTTTTCTGACCTTAGGTGCCAGGCCTCTGGAAATCCATATTTGGTCGATTCTTGTCCAGGTCAGTTGGGCTTCAGAGAAGAATGTTCCTTCTCTACCTAGTGGGTTCTTTGTCCTCCAAATGTCAATCAAATCCATATTGTCAGTCATTTCAAAAAAAAGTTTTAGGTAGTCTGCCGTCTTTTGTAACATTTTGACTTTGTGACTTGTCCATGTTAGTTGACACGACGCCGTGCATGTCTCCCATCATTATGATGTTGTTGTAATCCAGATATTCCAGCATTGTCCCCTGCAGCTTCTTGTAAAATTCCGATTTCCCTTCGTTAGGTGCATAGATTCCTAATATCAACAGTTTCTCTCCTTGATATTGTATCTCAATGGCCAAAATTCTTCCATGTTCATCTTTAAATAAGAATTTAGGTGACAGGCTCTCTTTTGCATATATCACCACGCCTCTCTTCTTAACTTTATCCGACGAAACAAATTCCTGGCCCAATCTTTTATTTATTAACACTTTTCTGTGGAGCCTCGTCACATGTGTTTCTTGTAAACAGATGATGTCCAATTGTTCTTTTTTTAATATATGAAATATTTTCTTCCTTTTTCCGGAATGTTACAACCATTAATGTTCCAACTCAGCAATTGCAGAGACATCCTGGATCTATCTGGTTATTTCTCCAGGGGTGGTGTCTTCTCTGGGTCTTCAGGTTCCCCAGGTGCTGGTGTTGATACTGGCTTTGCCCCAGGCCCAGAAGGTAATTCAATTCCTTTTTGAAGGTCCTCTCCGTATGTAGCCAAAAATTTGTCTCTCTCTTCCAATGTTCTAACTTTGACCTTTCTCCCTTTAAAGGTAAAAGATATTCCTTGTGGAAATTCCCACCTAAATGGAATTGCGTTGCTCCTTAGTAGTTTAGCAAGTTCAGAATAGGCGGCTCTAAGATCCAGGTAAACTTACTACTTTGAAAAGGATAAAGTAACAGGAGAGGATTTGATAGTTCAATCAGTGCTCTGATAGGCCATTCATTCATGCAAGGAATCTAAGATATTCTGCTATAACTCCCATCATTGCTGACCATCAGCCATGCTGATTGGGACTAATGGGAGCAGGAGTCAAAATTATATGGAGAACCATAGGCTGCCATTGCTGCCTTAGAGTATTGTTGTTGTTTCTAAAAGTTGTCACCAGATGGTTTAAGTACATTGCAATTTACATTTCAGCGAACCTCTTATTCTGCAACTTTATTGGTACTGTTCTCAACTTCCATCCATGCTGTGGCAGCTTAATATAATAATAATTTAAAAAAACCAATGTGGACCATCCCATAAGAATTACCTTGCTGGCTTAGATCAAAGTCCCATTTAGTCCATCACTGTCTCCCAAATATGCCTCCAAGATGCTCACAAACAAGGCAAAGGCAATAATGCTGGTATCTATCTATCTATCTATCTATCTATCTATCTATCTATCTATCCCTTCTTGGTTTGTCTCCAGAATCTGGTAATGAAATACGTAGCACTTTTAAAGATGGAGTTTTAGCTGTTGGAGGAAATTGGATCTGATAACCTTCAAAACCCTCTTTGAAATTTGTCTATACAGAGTCATGAAGGCTATGGCTATTGATGGCTACTAGTCATGATGCTCCTGTGGTCAGAAGCATAGCTGTCAACTTTTCCCTTTTCTTGCAAGGAATCCTATTCGGAATAAGGGAATTTCCCTTAAAAAATGGGAAACATTGACAGCTATGGTCAGAAGCAGTACCACTTGCTGAAAAACACAAGTGGTGAGGGCTTCCTATAGGCTTCTGGCTGGCTACTGTGAGAACAGAACTTTGGACCAGATGGGACTTGGACCTCATCCAGCAGGACCTGTCTTATGTTCGTAAAAACCACCACCACCTGTAATAGTGGTGAATCTCCCAAGTTCATGTAATATTGGGTTGGATTCAGTCATGCTTAGAGCAGACCCCTGGAGACCAAAGCGACTTAGTATTGACTAAGTCCCATTGATTTCAAAGGATCTTCTCTAACCCTGACATAGGGATCAATCCTAAGTTCCAGCTGAGGAGCAGCAGAGTTGCAACTGCTCATCCAAGCTCATTCAACTGCTCATCCAAGCCACAGTGGGTGGGGCTAGGGAGTCATATATTTTGCTGAGCCAGCTCCAGGGTGGGGCAGCAGAGAGGCTCAGATCAGGCCCCTCCCCAGCTGGTGGATCAGCTTAGGATCTAGTTATTGTCTGCCAAAGTAGATTGTATGAATTAAGAAAGAAAGAAAGAAGAATGATGCCTTGCCTTTAGGCTAAAGAAAAACAAACCACACTGTGGAAGGGAAAGGCAGACAAAGGAGATGTTATATTTTGGGAGCGTGCAAGGGCTTTGTGTGTGGTCTGAATAACGAGGCAAATCAGGATGATTCAGGCCATGATCTCACATTCCTGAGTCAGATCAGACCATTAACAAGGTGCCTTAAGGCTGGCCAGGAAACCCCTAAGCTTCTGAGTCATTCTGCGGCTGTGATTTCCCCCCAGAAGTTAAATGTACAACCTACCCATCCCATTTCCTGAGAAATAAAACCAAACTGACTGGGAAAATGTCTAGAGTTCAGTAAGGAAGGTGGGTGAGAGGGGAGGGGATCTTTGGTATTGATGGGCAGGTCAAGATTTTCATAGAATCAAAGATTTGAAGAATTGGAAGGTACCCCATGGGGTCCTTCTAGTCCATCCACCTCCAGTGCAGGAATCATAGCTAAAGAATCCCTGACAGATGACCGGCCATCCAGGCTCTGTTTAGAAACCTCCTTCTGAGGGAGTCCATCCCACTGTTGAGCAGTTCTTACCACCAGAAAGTTATTCCTAATGTTTAGTTACAATCTTGAAACCATTGGTTTCCTGAACTACAAGTTTCATCAATCCTGACTCCACTATAAGAGCTCTTGACTATAAGAGCAGGCTGTGTGTGGTTGAGTTAGATTATTGATTGGCCTGCTTCTTTCCCAATCTTCAATTTTTTTAACTACAAATCACAGCTCTCTTCTCCATTGAGGGATTTCTGGAGGGGTGGTGGTGAATAAGAACTGCAACTTTTCCAGGCCTTTTTTTTTCCTCCAAAGAAGAAGGTAAAATCACCCAGCAGAATACCCTTCGGATCTGTTTGTCTGAACATTGGTTCAAGTTACCTCCCTCAAGTTACAAGTTCTCAAATTGATTTCCTTCAACAACAAAAAAGAAGAGAGGGAACATGATTTCTCTTACCCCACTCCAAAATGTTAAAGTCTGTGCTTGTGGAAGACCTATCTCCATGAATTTTGGCTGGTTTCATCCCTTCAGGACAAGTGAGCAATACCTGCAACTTACATGTAATTGTAGCAGCAAATAAAAGGTTAGAGACTAACCCCCCACAAAACCTACATGGAAACCCATGGATGGATTTGCCTGGATTTTGGCAGGTTTAGTCCACTCTGAGGGCCCATAAATTTTATCTGCTTCGGTGAAAATGGGGGGGGGGGGGAGGGATATTTGTAGATTCACCATTATAGTTAATGGGGGTGAAACAGAGCTTCAGATTTTAAAGATCAGATTTGGACCTGAATAACGAAGCAAACTGAATGATACTGAATGCACTGGAAACAGATCAGGAGGCTTCCAAATATTACAGATTTGGTAAAGACTCAGGAAAGGGCCACCAAATGAGGATGGAATGGCTTTCGTATAATGAAAGCTTGCAGCTTTTGGGACGTTTTAGCTTAGAGAAAAGGTGAGGAAAAGGGAACATTTAAAAAAATATATATATGCATGGCTTGGAGAAAGTAGATAGAACTTATGAATCTCCAATGAAGCTGAATGTTGGAAGACTTAGGACAGCTAAAAGAAAGCCCTTTTTCTTTTTCTTTCTTTTCTTTTACTTTTGCATTTGTACTTTTAGTGTTATATGGCATCACTGTTTCTCTCTCTCTCTTTTTGATTTTTTTTGATACAGCAAGAAAAGAAAAACAAGAGAAAACACAAATACCAAATTACACACAGGAAAAACAATAGATACTGAATTTTCTTAAGACATAAATTGACATAAATTGACATAATAAGACATAAATTGGCCTTAACACTAAAGACCCAACCTTCCGTCTATTCCATATTTTGATTTCATGTAACTTCTTGCCAGTACACACTTTTATCATTATTAAACTTTTTCTTAGTATATCTTAATTCTTATATCTGCCTTGCAACTATTACTGAAGTTCCTTGAATGCCCTTTTTCACATAGCACAGGGCCAAACTATGGAACTTGCTTCTCCGGGAGGCAGTGATTGCCACTGACTTGGATGGCTTTAAAAAGCAACTGGACAAATTCATGGAGGAGAGGGCTGTCAATGGCTACTAGCCATGATGACTATGTTCTACCTCTGCAGTTGGAGGTGGCAGAGCTTCTGAATGCTGGTTGATGGAAACCACAGAAGGGGAGAGGTCTCTTGTGCTTGAGGGCTGCTCATGAACTTCCCCTTGGGGGTTGGCTATTGTGACAACAGGATGCTGGGCTAGATGGGGCTTTGGCATGATCCTGCAGGCTATTCTTATCTTCTTACTATGTGCAGTTACAAGGGGAATCTTATGCAGAGTTGCCATATTTCAAGCACCGAATTTTTTGCAAAACCACATTAAAATGTGACGTTTTCGAGCTGTTTTTATGGAAAATTGGCATAAACGACACTGCCATGCATTGCCATACATCTAGATTTCCCTAGACTTCTTGCCGATTTTCGCCCGGACACTGCAACCAACTAAAACAGAGGTTTTTCACCTTTTTAAGTCGGCAACTCTCTTGACCAACTACATTCTTTCTGTGGTAACCCTGAGGGGCTCAGGAGCCCAGTTATGTCCTGGACTCCTTGGCTGGCTTTGAATAAACATTCACAAACTTTTAATTGATAATAATCAGCTAAATAGTTTGAGGATCTGTACAACTGTGTAACATGCATAAAACAGCATTCTTAGAGAAATCAAAGACTGGAACTGAGGGAAGCCGGGGGGTGGGGGTGGGTGGGCTTTGTGTGGGAGGGTGGGGGGAGGGAGGAAAAATGGGGGTGGGGGAAATAAGGATGATATGTTTCTGGATAATATGTTTTGTTTTAATTTCGAATTTAAAAAGTTTTTAAAAAAGAAAAGAAAAGAAAAGAAAGAAAGAAAGAAAGAAAGAAAGAAAGAAAGAAAGAAAGAAAGAGAGCCCAGTTATGTCACCCCTTGCTGGCAACCTCTCCCCCCTTTTCGAAGACCCTCCCTGGTGGAGTGTTCCCTCAGCCTCCTCTCCTCTCCCTTCTCCTCAGGAGTTCTCTGGGCAGCAGCCACTGCTTCTACCGTTGGTCTCTGAACTGCCCCCCTGCCCCAAAGACAAGTGCCTCCCTCGCACTGCCCCACAGAGGCCTTGGACTTGTCTGTCCATTTCCAACAGCAAGAGCTGGTGGACTGGCTGGGCTCCCTTGCCCGCTTGCTTGCTTATTCCAAGGCTGCCTCAGCTCCTGGCAACCAGCACCTCCTGGCCAGCCCCAGAGGCACAATTTGCCTTCCAGAGCTTGTAGCCAGGGCCACTGCAACAAACAGTTGTGCAAGCCTTTAGGAGGCAGAGATGTGAGAAGGCATCAGAGGAAGGAAGGAAGGAAGGAAGGAAGGAGGGAGGGACAGAGGACAGTGTTGTCCATGGCACCCCTGACTATCATTCAAGTCACCCCAGGGTGCCACAGCACACTGGTTGAAAACCGCTGAACTACAGTATTCCGGATATGCCCGGGAAATTTCGGACGTATGGAAACCCCATTATGGTTGAATGTAGGCATTTATATCCAGTTTGGGCTAGGTTGATCTTTCCTTGCTATCTGTTTGCTTGGACAGTGTTTTGTGGCTCTCTGCCCGACTTATGCTGATGAATGGGGTCAGGGTGTCATTTCCCCCTTCTTTCTGCAGTCTCAGAACAACCAGAAAATAAAGCAGATCACTAGGTTCAAACCGGCCAGAGGAAATATGTCTGTTGATTTTCTACATTCTTCAATACACATTAATATTTAAGGCCAAACAAAGAAACGGAAACCCCCGGCTGAGTTGCGATTACTTTGATTTTTATAGTTAAAATCCAGTTAAGTTAATCTTGTTTGTTGCATACAGCCCACACAAATTCTTAAAGCTCTTTTCTATGCAACTTTGCAGCTTTCATGATGTCAGCATTTTAATGAGAATTAAGCTTTGTTGCAGTATATGGAGATTATAGCCATTCATTCATTAGAAGACCTTGCAAAATTAACCTCTGTAATATGCATTTTCAGCTTTTAGGAGGAACATTTTAATACTGAAATGAAACAGACAAGACCGTTTATTATTGTTTATTTTTTAATTTTGCACAAATTAGGTCAGATTCAGCAACAAAAATGCCGATCAGAATTTCCTTCTATTCCTGTTATGCAAATACATGAAATCATGATGATTCCCGTATTGTAGGTTTTTTTTAATTTTTTTTTAGTAAGCATATCAATTCCCCACTCCTCACATCAGAGATGAATGAAATTATCTCATGCCATGGATCCCCTCATTTGAAGTATTCATGTGTTCATCAACAGACTCCTTCCCTTCCCTTTATGCCTTGATTTGACTATTCAGAGAATGTCACTGCAGAGTCTTAATCATAATGGAGATCATTCTACCACATGCCTGACAAGTTGAGAGTTTGGCGAGAAAAGATTACACAAATATCAATGACTGGTGTGGCATAAACATCAGGATTCCTCCTCTCATCTCAAGAGGGCCAAGATCTAGCAAAGTGTGATTAAAAGATAAAGGGGAATATATATATGGATTTAATAATGCATATTTATATGATAGCTCTTTCCTTACAGCCTGTATTCCATTTATTTAACAGATGGTCAAACACACACAGTTGCTTTAGACTTGATTTGTGGCCTGATCTAATGAGCTGCTGTGCTGGCAAAAAGTAGGCATGGTTGGGGAATTTGATATTTGCAAATCCTTATTCATGTTGACCAGATCTGCATCTCCTAGACCTAGACTAATGTGCAGGCTGGAATTTAGCTGTTCACAGGGTTTCACGTTTCCCCAACAGTCTGACAGTTCTCAGTTCAGACTGAAGGATCCTGTGGTCTCTGAAAGAACACTGGGGGAGCCATAAAAGCACTGAACATAAAGGTAAAGGGACCCCTGACCATTAGGTCCAGTCGTGGCCGACTCTAGGGTTGCGGCACTCATCTTGCTTTATTGGCCAAGGGAGCCGGCGTACAGCTTCCGGGTCATGTGGCCAGCATGACTAAGCCGCTTCTGGCGAACCAGAGCAGCGCACGGAAACGCCGTTTACCTTCCCGCCAGAGCGGTACCTATTTATCTATTTGCACTTTGACATGCTTTCGAACTGCTAGGTTGGCAGGAACAGGGACCGAGCAACGGGAGCTCACCCTGTCGCGGTGATTCGAACTGCCGACCTTCTGATTGGCAAGCCCTAGGCTCTGCGGTTTAGACCACAGAACCACCCGCGTCCCAGCACTGAACATAAGAACACCTGCTGGATCAGGTCAGTTGCCTATGTAGTCAAGCATCCTGTTCTCACAGTGACCAACCAGGTTCCTGTGGGAAACCAGGGAGCAGAACGCTCCCCACCTGTGGTTTACAGTAACTGGTATTTGGAAGCATCACTGGCTCAAACTGTGAAGGTAGATCATAGTCATCTTGGCTAGCAGTTGTCAATAATCCTCTCCTCTATGAATTTGTGTAACCTGCTCTTAAAACCATCCAACTTGGTGGCCACCACTGGCTCCTGGGGGAGTGAGGTCCATAGTTTCATTATGTGCTGCATGAAGAAGTATTTTATTTCATAGAATTGTAGAGTTGTAAGGGACCCTGGAAAAGACCCTGATGCTGGGAAAGATTGAGGGCACAAGGAGAAGGGGACGACAGAGGACGAGATGGTTGGACAGTGTTCTCGAAGCTACCAGCATGAGTTTGACCAAGCTGTGGGAGGCAGTGGAAGACAGGAGTGCCTGGCATGCTCTGGTCCATGGGGTCACAAAGAGTCGGACATGACTAAACGACTAAACAACAACAAGGGACCCCCAGGGTCATCTAATTCAACCCCTTGCAATGCAGGAATCTCAACTAAACCACCCATGACTGATGGCCATCTAACCTCTGCTTGAAACCCTCCAAGGAAGGAGAGTCCATTACCTTCTGAGGGAGTCCATTCTTACCATCAGAAAGTTCTTCCTGATGTTTAGTCAGAATCTCCCTTCTTGTAACCTGAATCCATTGGTTCAGGTCCTATTCTCTGGAGCAGCAGAAAACAGGCTTGCTCCATGTTCCTTGTGACAGCCCTTGAGATATTTGAAGATGGTGATCATATCTCATCTCAGTCTCCTCTTTTCCAGGCTAAACATTCTCAACTCCCTCAACCGTTCCTTATAAGGCTTGGCTTCCAGACCATTGATCATCTTGGTTTCCCTCCTCTGCACATGTTCCAACTTGTCAATATCCTTCTTAAATTGTGGTGCCCAGAATTGGACACAGTATTCCAGGTGTGGTCTGACCAAGGCAGAATAGAATGGTATTACTCCCCTCACGGCACTAAACTTCTGTTGATGCAGCCTAGAATAGCATTAGCTTTTTTTGCTGATGCATCTCACGGTTGACTCACAGAATCACAGAGTTGGAAGCGACCCCATGGGCCATCTAGTTCAACCCCCTGCAAGACAGGAATATGCACCTAAACAGGGATCAAACCCATAACTGTGGCATTATCAGCACCAACTGAGCTGTTAAGCTTGTGGTCTACTTAGACCCCTAGATCCTTTTCACATATACCACTGGCAAGTCAGGTGTCCCCCATCTCTCATTTGAACAGTTGTCTCTTCCTGCCTACCTTTGTCTGTATTGAAATGCATTTTTGTTAGTTTGGGCTGAATTTGCCCATCTGTTCAGGTCAATTTGAATACCCTTCTGACTGGCTATTGTTAGAAGCAGATTGATAGTCCAAGATGAGTGTTGGTTTGATTCAGGAGCCTAGTTATGATGCACCAAGACTCTCCAAATTCTTTCTCTTTGCCATATGACCGTCCTCATCTCAGCTTCCCCAGATACGCCTGTAATCTTGCAAGGTTCATTCAGTTCATATTTCTGCTACATTTTTGGGAGTGCAAAGTTGGATGCCAGTTGTTAACACAAGTCATGAATGAAAAACTCTAGCGGCAAAATCCATGTTTTTCTGGTAGAAGAATTGGCTAGTGGCAAATGATCTGATGTTCAAAAGCAGACCCATCCAAAGGTTTTGCTTAGCTTGGTCTTCTCAGAGGCCACATTGTTGTAATGTATTGCTCAACAAAAGCACTGAACGTACATCACCAAAGCCTCTGTTAACATGATGAACTTAGGTAGCACACAGAGTATGTTTTAATACTTTTTAGTTACAACACAATACTTACAACACAAACCAATAACTGTGCGAAGGCTCTGCTCTCAGCTCCAGCTCATCCTCCCATTTCATTTAATTTCTGCCAACAATTTCACTTAAAGCACAGTTCTTGGCTGTGCAATGGGAAAAAAGAGATATAGTCAAGCCTGAAAAATTGCAGAGAAAGAGTACAAAATTGATCGGGGGGGGGACTGAGTTTCACACAAAACTCAGCTAAAAAGATTAGGAGTCCTGGTTGGAAAAGAGAAGGCAAAAAGAGGAATATGATTGTCATATATGAAATTATAATTGGTTCAGAAAGTGGGAGCCTGGAATTTATACATTTGTTATTTCCCACAGTCCTCAACTCCGACACTTAATCTCTCAGAATGAAATGGAAGCCAAAGTTGCATCCTTCCTCCATTTTATAATTTTAAGTGTGGGGGAGAAGGCAGCAGTTATTCAGGGGTCTGGGAATACACTCTGCACACGATCATTACGATTTCTCCTTCTCCTTGTTTGAGTTCTAGACCTGATAGCTCTGACACTGTAGCTTGATTTCCTGGAGGATAAGCCTGGCAATGGCAACTAACCAAGATGGCTATGCCCTAGCTCCATGGGTAGAGTCAGATGCTGGGATTCATAAGTAGGGAGACTGCTGTGGAAGTCAGGTCTTGGTTTGTGAGCATCCCAGAGGCATTTGGTTGGGCACTGCTAGGATGCTTGACTAGAGACTTGGCCTGATCCTGTTGTGAACCGCTCTGATACCTACAGTTGTAGGGCAATATTCTTGTGATTCTGGAACCAAGTCCTTACAGTTGCCATTGAGCCATGTGAGATTGGTGTCCTTAAGGAAATTGCTAGAGGAGATATGTAGAAGTAGTGGCAAAGACGGAAATGAAAAAAAGAAGGCATGAGAGGAGAAGAATGATATTAGAGTAATGGCCTTAACTTAGCATGTCTTTGTATCTACAGGGAGATGTGGGAGAGAATACAATAGCCTGACTGAAGGGATATGGAACATCCTTATATTTTATATATGCATGTATATGATTGAAATTTCAATTTACTCTACGAGATGTACTATATATATGTAATGTATTGTAAGACTATTAATAAAGCTTGTTACATTGCAAAAAAGAAGAAGATATTTTATGTATGCCCCTGCATGTTTACGATATTTATTTTTGTGTTTTTATACCGTAAACTCCCCTGTGATCCTTGGATGCAAAGCAATATATAGATTTTATTTTATTATTACATTTCTATACCACCTTTGTCTTCCAAGGATCTCATCATCATCACCACTAGAATTAGAATTTATTAATTTGCTTTCAAAACCACCATCTCAAGGTGAGATAATTACCGGTACAGTGGTGCCTCTGGTTACGTACTTAATTTGTTCCAGAGGTCCGTTCTTAACCTGAAACTGTTCTTAACCTGAAGCACCACTTTAGCTAATGGGGTCTCCCGCTGCTGCTGCGCTGCCACCACGTGATTTCTGTTCTCATCTTGAAGCAAATTTCTTAACCCGAGGTACTATTTCTGGGTTAGCGGAGTCTGTAACCTGAAGCGTATGTAACCTGAAGCGTATGTAACCCAAGGTACCACTGTACAAACAGTTAAAAACCTATGGACAACAGATACATTTAAAATAATACTAAACCCCTGACAATACAGTGTTAAGACTTTGCCGGGATGGTGCTATTTTAGACTGCAAGTGGAAATCTGTTTGTTTGAATGTACTGACATGGAAATACATACGTAGGCCTGTGCATGTACACACCTTGCCTAGAAAAGAAACAAACCAGGGAAAAGACCCAGGCGAACTTATATGTACTGTTTTTCCATGTGTGGGACATGGAATTTTAACATTGATTCCCCCTCTGCAATCTGAAGTAGTACAGTCCAAGAGAAACTGTTCCATCTGATTCTGGTGGCTGTAGAAACTGGCCATCTGTCAGGTCGTTTCCTGGAGCTGCCGTGTAGTCATTTATGCTCAGGTTCCTGAAATTTGCTTCTTGGTCAAATTCAATGTCAAAAGCTCCTGCCATATGTGCAGATATTTCACTTCCACTGCCCCTCTTAATGTCTCTTGCAGTTCTTGCTTTGACAAGGTCTAGGAACAACTTTTCCGGGTAATGGATCTGTTCATTAATACTCTGTGGTGTTGCACGGGCATTAGAAAGCCATTGGGCATTTTTCTTCATTTGTGTTTTGCAAAGAGCTGGCTTTTTTTTTTTGCAAGAGCTGAGAAAAATGTTTCCATTAAATCATAATGGAACAGAGATGCTCCTAGGCAAAGTGTTAAGAATGGGAAAGCATCGTTCAGACTTGATTTGCCTGGAATTATTGAGCAGGACAGAACTAACTAACAGCCTTCTTATCAGAGGCAGAATGCTGTTTGCTGGGGTTCACAAGTGAAAGAGTGCATCCACTTGGGCTTCATGTAGACATCTGCTTGGCCACTGTGAGGATAGGATGCTGGAGTAGGTGGTCTTTGGGTCTTATTGGGGAGTCTTCTCTTCTTGTGAGCTCAGCTGATGTAGTTAGGGCTGTGCCAGTTCTCACTGTGGCCCATTCTCTTCTATGGGAGAAAGTAAGCCGTATCAACACTGGGGTGTAGTTTGGAGGGGACCTGACTGTCACTGCAGACCCCATGTGCTCACCATTGATGAGAACCACACAGAGATGTGATGTATTTCTGCATTGCAAGGGGTTGGACTAGTTAGAGTCTTGGGGTCCCTTCCAACTCAACGATTCCATGATTCTATGTTTTGAACCAGGCACTTTGTGTTTTGTTTTTGAGGGTAGGAACTCGCCTTTGCAGAACTATGCGCTCCAGTTTCGGTGCCCTCTTCAAGCATTAAAAGGAGCAGGAGTAAGCAACACAAACCCCCACAATTGCCTGACTGTGGATTAGTCAGGAATGGGAAATTAGGAGTCTGGACATTGTCCTCCACCCGTTCAAAACAGCAGTACATTTTACCTTCTTTGCAGCTCCAGCTGCAACCAGTAGAGCATGGGTAGGCAAACTAAGGCCCGGGGGCAGGATCTGGCCAAATCACCTTCTAAATCTGGCCTGCAGACAGTCTGGGAATCAGCGTGTTTTTACATGAGTAGAATGTGTCCTTTTATTTAAAATGCATCTCTGGGTTATTTGTGGGGCATAGGAATTGGTTCATTTTTTTCTTCTTCAAAATATAGTCCGGCTCCCCACAAGGTCTGAGGGACAGTGGACCGGTCCTCTGCTGAAAAAGTTTGCTGACCTCTGCAGTAGAGGGTAGTCCATTTAGGCAAATGGGGCATGGCCCTACCAATTTCAGTCTGCTCTTAGCACCCACCTACCTTTTGTCTAACTTTCATCCAGTCCAGCGGGTGGCAGTGCTTGTATCCAACTCAGCTTTCTCTTCCTACTAAATCTCAGTGTCGACCTTATTTAACGCAGCAAGTAGGAGGATGTGTTCAAAGCTAGGTTCTGGCGCCACCTACTGTTGACCTCCCTGCATTCCACCCTACCAGACCCAAAGGCTACCAGCCACAACTAGCCACAACAATTGATTTCCTCAATCTTGGAGTGAAGAGCACAGACTTCAGGGTTATCCATGGTCCCAGCCTACCTCTGACGATGGTGGGGATAGTATTCTTCAATAGATACATCAGCCATGGGCCAACGTTGGTCTGTGATGCCTTGACTAATGTGAATTTGCCGCGAGTAAATTCCACAGACAGCTTAGTTTACATTTAGCTAACTTCTCTGTACTTCTACAATTCCCACTCCAGTTTTAGTCTCTTCTTCTTCTTCTTTTTAATAAATGTAGGTTAGCCTGGGCTCTCTGTTAGAGTGCCTTTCTGCCAATACCTCTGGAAGACCTTTGACCATGTTATTGTCAGAACTGCTTAGGAAACAGAGGTCCAAACTTGTTTGAGTATTTGAGCATAAACAGATAATCTCGTGTTCTATTATTTAGCTGTACTTTCTCTTGCTCACTGTGAATAACAAAGGTGGGGAAATGTTTGTGATTCATTTAGTGGCTTATAATGAACATTCAAGGCTGCTACTCGGAGGTCAGAGAGAAATTTTCAGAAGCATGCAAGGTAACAAGTTTTCTCCTGAAAACTCAGCAGGTTTATCTGGATGGTTTAAATGAAAATCCCTCTCTTCTCCTCTGATTCATTTTACAGATGTTTCTTCCTCCTTTGACTTTTTTTTGGGGGGGGGCAAGTCATGCTGGCCACATGACCCAGAAGCTGTACGCCGGCTCCCTTGGCCAATAAAGCGAGATGAGTGCTGCAACCCCAGAGTCGGCCACGACTGGACCTAATGGTCAGGGGTCCCCTTTACCTTTACTTTATCACAAAAACACAGACACAGTGAAACAATCTTTATTATATAGGTAGAATTTCACGAGTTTTAGACTGGAGCTAAGCTCTCACAAACACAGAATCTAGGACATTGTATATGAGACCCATTAGGACTACTTGACATGGTATGAGAAAGATACATTCTCATTTCTTTGCAGTGAACATTGTAACCTAGAGAGGGGCAATGCATGCTTGGAAAGGGATGGTGAAGACACAAGGAGAAACCTGGGTTGTTTGCAATTCCTAAGCACTGGTTTACTATGTGAGTTTTGAGAAGCATTTCCCCCTCTGCACATACGGATTTCACTATGGAGACATGCAGAGAAAACTGTCTTTCAAAAGGTAACGTTCTAGTTAAAGGATTGAAAGACCATGGATGTTCACATGTTACATTGAACGCGTGTACAATCTGTCCACATGTGTACACATGCTCTGGTTTCTCTTCAGATCATATAAATCTTTTGCCTTTTACACATGTATACACAAATAGTTGAGCTGCACGCTTGTACAGTTATTCACAGGTAATGTTCAACAAGTGTAGAATTTGGGTGCATGTGCGCACAATGACCGAGTTGTATGAACAAATAAGTGCACATTCTTGCACGCAATCACTTGTACATGTGTAGAAACAACTTGTACCTGGGTTCAGTGTATTATGTGAACAAGTCTACTATCTCTTGGGGTGGAGGACCCGCCCTGTATCTGTAAGCAATGTGGATTGGGTAGAACACATGGTAAGTCCTCATGCTAGCACGTCAACTGCCCAAATGTAGTTTGGAGAGACACGTAAGTTATAGCTATGGTGTAGAGACACCATCAAATGGAACCAGGTTTTGTTTTTGTTTTTTAATGAAGCCAATCATACGGTGTTTATTATATGCCAGATTTGGTCTCTCAAGTGAGAATGCTGATGCTCGCTCACTATTTTATTTGACTACTCAAATATCTTCTGAATATTCGCTATCTTGTTCTTGACATCCTGTGGCAGCTGCTTGCCTGAATGGAAGACCAAGAGGAGTATGTGAGTATAAAATCCAGCCTTCCGTGTACCGTATTTTTTGCTCCATAAGACGTACTTTTTTCCCTCCTAAAAAGTAAGGAGAAATGTCTGTGCGTCTTATGGCGCGAATGTGTGGTCGATCTCTGGCTCCCTTTCTGGCCCCGGCCCCTTTCCCAGGCCTCCATTGTTGCATGTTCTGCAGAGGAGGCTATTTGTTTCCCCAGCGACATGTGACTGGCTGGTTAGATTATCTGTCTGGAAACTGTAGAAATGGCTCCCTTTCCTTTCCTAAAGAAGCTGCAGAACTGTGAGTTGAACCCCATAAAAATAGGATTTTTTCCCTTTGCAAAGTAAGCTCGACAACTTTGAGCTGATCCTCAAAAAAGGGACTTTTCCCATTTGCAAAAGAAGCTGCACAACTTTGAGCTGATCCCCCCAAAAAGGGGCTTTCCCTCTTTCCTCTTCTAAAAACTAGGTGCGTCTTATGGTCAGGTGCATCTTATGGAGCGAAAAATACAGCGACTTACACTTGTCACTAAGTCCAGGTTTGCCTCTGGTCCCTTCTACCCCTGGAACATGGCCCCTAGGAGGTTTCGAAGATGGGAACATGGACCTTGGGCTGCAAATGTTCCCCACTCCTGACTTAAAAGTTTGGTACCAGTGAATTAGGTTGTTTTGGTTTTAAATGCAAATTAAATATAGAATCACAGAATCAGAGAGTTGGAAAGGACCTTGAGGGTCATCTACAGCAGTGAAACCCCCTGGAATGAAGGAATAGCCAGCTGTCCCATATGGGAATTGAACCTGCGACCTTGGTGTTATCAGCACCCCACTCTAACCAACTGAGATATGTTTATCACCCAGTCATATGAACTTGCTTTCTGTTCCTACCTATGTCAGATACAAATGTTTTATGTTCAAAAGTTCAGTGTATGGAGCAAGGTGATCTACTGCTTTCAGGCTGGTTTGAAAGGTTTGATAACGTTCTTTCAGGGGACCTGCTGGAGAGGTTCACAAACCTCGCAGGGTGAGAGGTGAAACACAGTTATAGATTATTTTTTAAATTGTGCTTAAGAGGCAAGGAACAAATAATAGAAGGAACAGTTCAGTTCCCAGAATGTGAGGAGGTTAATAGAAAAACACCCACAGGGATCAGGGTAGTAAAGGCGAGGGAGGAACAAGTGGAACTCTGGAAGGGTTGAAGAAATCTCAGGAAATGCCAGCACAATGGCACAGTGATGGATTTCAGGGCAGGTAGTGTGAAGTCTAGATGAAACAACTTAAGCAAATCAAACATACAAAAGGGTTCTGAATGAGCTCTTAGTCCTCTGGCCTCTAAACTCCTGGCTGGCACCTCCTTGAAAATATCTTTTCAGCGCACACTTGAGAGGCGAAGAGGTGGAGACGTTGCTCTTTGAAGGTGATAGAGAAGGCAAGATAGAGTATGATCGTTGCCAAGGTACTCAGATTGCATTGAGGTTTGAACATCCTTGAGGGTGGATTTCTGGGCATGACATTGGGAAATAAAAATGAAAGGATACCAGTGACTATTGTTCATGTCCTGAAGAGGGAAAAATGAAGTTGACTTGGTGAGATGTTATAGAACGGACGAGTTTGTGACCAAGTTCATAAGCTTACTTCAGTGGGGTGGGGGGCAGGGATACATGTGATTCTGCCCACCAACTGATATCTTCTTTGGGTGCCCTTCTCTGGGTGCTCCCTACCTTCAAATATTGGGCAGGTGACTACAAGCAAAGTGGTTTATTAGCTAACCACTACATGACTTTATTAGGGACGCAGGTGGCGCTGTGGGTTAAACCACAGAGCCTAGGACTTGCTGATCAGAAGGTCGGCGGTTCGAATCCCTGTGACGGGGTGAGCTCCTGTTGCTCGGTCCCTGCTCCTGCCAACCTAGCAGTTCGAAAGCACGTCAAAGTGCAAGTAGATAAATAGGTACCACTCCGGCGGGAAGGTAAACGGTGTTTCCGTGCGCTGCTCTGGTTCGCCAGAAGCAGCTTAGTCGTGCTGGCCACATGACCCGAAAGCTGGACCTAACAACTGGACCTAACTGGACCTAATAGTCAGGGGTCCCTTTACCTTTACCTTACATGAGTTTATTAGCTAACCAGTGCCAGGATATCTGTGCTCTTGCAAATGATTTCCTGCCTCACTACACGTGTTAATACAATCATTGCATCAATCATCACTGCAGAAACTTCAAGGTGTGCTCCAATCCCTGACTTTAGTTTCTCCATCTCATAGCCGTTCAACGCCCATCTTGCAATTTCCTCCTTTGTATACCTGCTAAACAGGATTTCACTTCATGCCTCTGACGAAGCTGGTCTGAATCCCAAAAGCCACAATAAATTTGTTAGTCTTTAAGGTGCCACAAGACTCTTTGATTCTTAAAATATCTGAGAGACTTTTGAATTGTTTTAATTCAAGCTTTAATTGCCTTTAGATGCCTTGACTGTAATGAGCTGGTTTTGGTTCTTCCCATCTGCTGCTTTTATGAGGTTTTTATTATTATTATAAAAACACTCTTCTTAATTTTGTATTTTAGTTGGTTTTTAACTTTATTGCAAGACATTTTCAGGCTGTTAGGTGATGAGGCAGAGTAGAAATATTATATATACAGATACAGAGATTTTGCAGAGTGGAAAGAAACCATGGGGAAGCATATCATTCCCCTGCTGCTGTCGTTAATGTATGTTTCAGGCCTAGATGGAAATGGGATAAATGTATTTCTGGCAATGAATGGAGAATAAATAAAGCCACCATGTTATTTTGCTTCAGTGCCAGTTGTTTGTGAAAGCCAAAGAGTGGGGGGCATTTTTTCCCACTCTGAGGGCCACATTCCTTTTTAGAGAAACTTCTGAGGGCCACAGGCCAATGGTGGGTGTGGCCAGAGGCAAATGGGTGGAGCAAGAAATGCAAATTTCCCATTTGGGCAGTAGGCTAGTTTCTACTCTCACAAACCCCTCTGTGTCCTCTATCCAGGCAAACAAGATATCTTTTCAGAGTTGAATGAGGCATTCCAGCCAGGAAAAAAATGCTAAGCAGATGACACAAGACTAGTGAAGTATATGGCCTGAGGAACAAGGTGTAGGCTGAGGAGATTTCTGAGGGCCAAACAGAAAGTCCTGAAAGTCTGCATTCAGCCTCTGGGCTTGAGGTTCCCCACCCCTGGTATAAGGATACAAAAGTCAATCAAAGGAACGGCAGGAAAGATCTCTTTGTGTCTAGAAAAGCTTTCCTGATATAATCTCGCTGCCTGTACAAGCTGTCACTGAGATGGGCATGGGATAAGCAATGGTTCAGTGCATCCGCCTTCCATCTTCTGCTCTTCCGCTGCAATGTCTGAAGAGGAACCTGCGCATGGGACTTGCCAAAGATTCAGAAGAGCGCACGGCTTGCACAAGCTGTCTTCCCATCAGTGCCTTGAAAGACCCCAAAGCAGGAGCCAGGAGAAAGCCGTCCCTCACCTTGTCACGTCACATAAATGTCTCTCACGCAGATGAGTAGCCTCAACTCCTCAGCATTGCCTGGCCGGCCTTACAAGAGTGCAGGCATTTCATTCCTTGGGAGGTTTCTGAAGCACAATTCTGCTGAAGGATGGAGTGTGTTAACCCTTCATTGGCTGTTTTTGAGCAAAAATCTCCTGCCAAGTGACTTATAGGGATAGAAAGGAAGACATGCAGGAAGTGCGCTGTGACTTGATGACAGGCCCAATCCTTGATCGAAAAGCATTTTTTTTTAGAATGCCCTGCTCACCAGCTTGGATCAAGGAATGCATGTCACAAACAGAGCATATACGACCAATAGCTCAGTAAGAAGTGAGACCGATCACACTTTCTACTTTTTTGGAAAGTGATTGCAGAGATGCAAGGATGATTGAGGAGCAATTATCTTTTGGCGCTGGCTTTCTCAGTCAACGTCTCCATTTCCAGACAGAACTTGTATCCTTATTTCCAAAAGAATTCAGCAATAGCCCTTTTCAGCCTCACCTCAGCCCTTTCAGCTAGAGCACTGCGGAGAACAAAGAGCAGGGTATTTTAACTCAATTTTTGACCTTCTGACCGACTGAGGAGCCTTCAGTTTAATTGTTGCTAGGGTCTCCTTTCCCATGCCTCAAGATGTTATTAGGAATGGAGTCAAAGGTTACCTGAGGTAATAGGGGTGGGGGAGAAATGTCCCTGAAAATGAACAGCTGGTGCTGGCTAAGCAATGCGCGGGGAGAGGGCAGTGATGGTGTATTTAATCTCAGCAATGAGATTCCACTCTATTCTGTAAGTCACGCTGAAGTAATGCAATGAAGCAACTGGAGCTTGTAGGCAGTCCATGGTCTGCTCTACATACATCACAGCTCTCCGTCACCATCCTCTTTTCAAGAATTTCCTGCAGATCTGGCAGATACATATCCGAACTCTAATCCATGGGTAGGTAAACTAAGGCTCAGGGGCTGGATGCGGCCCAATCGCCTTCTCAATCCGGCCCGCGGACGGTCCAGGAATTAGCACGTTTTTACATGAGTAGAATGTGTCCTTTTATTTAAAATGCATCTCTGGGTTATTTGTGGTGCCTGCCTGATCTTTTTACTTGAGTAGAATGTGTGCTTTTATTTAAAAAGCATCTCTGAGTTATTTGTGGGGCATAGGAATTCGTTCAATTTTTTCTTCAAAATATAGTCTGGCCCACCACATGGTCCGAGGGACAGTGGACCGGCTCCCTGATGAAAAAGTTTGCTGACCCCTGCTCTAATCGAACTGAGATGATGGTGGATGCAGCTGAGCATTTGGAGTGCTGGGGTGCTTTGATGTGCCAGAGATCACCCTTGTATTTCTCATGCTGTTTAATATCTCTTTGAAGCCATTTGGAGTGTCCATTAGGAGATTTGGGACAAGGTGCCATCAGCATGCTGACGACACCTCTATTTCTCCATGGCATCTGAAGTAAGAGAGATTGTAAAGCCCCAAGTGGGATGGATAAGGGAAGATGGAGGCACTGTGGGTAAGTGGTTCCCCTGTCCAATAAAAACTGACCAATTGCTTGCCCTGGGTGGGATTTAACTGCTGCTGAAATATCAGTTACACAGTCTAGGATTTCTTCTGGGTCCAGCTTTGTCCCTGGAGGTCCTGATAACCTTGGTAGGGCTAGAAGCACTATTGACCAGCTTCAGTTGGTACAACAGCTGTGGCCATTCCTGGACTGGGAGACCACAGTAGTTCAGGCATTGCTAACTCCAAGACTGGATTACTGCAATGCACTCCACGTGAGCTTCCCTTGTACTTGGTCCAGAAAGTACGGTTAGTGCAGAATGCTGCAGAACGATTGCTGAAAGGAGACAGAGGCCACCAGCATATTGCAGCTCTGCTCAGAGATTTGCACCAGCTGCCAATTTGTCACCAGGCGAAATTCTAGGTGTTATTATTAATATTTAACAGCTTGGAGCCAGTCTACTTGAAGTAACTCCTTGCACCAGTTGGCTGCTTTGTTCTACAGAAATGGCACTTTGCAGGTGCCACATAATTCTCATTCTGTACTTGCAAGGAATTGATCCTTCATTGTGGCAGCCCCTGCACTTTGGAACTCCCTGCCCATTTATATTAACCAGGCACCTTTGTTGTATTTGCTTTCAAAGGTAAAGGGACCCCTGACCATTAGGTCCAGTCGTGACCGACTCTGGGGTTGCGGCGCTCATCTCGTCAACCGCTCATCTCGCCACCTGCGTCCCTTGTATTTGCTTTGGCTCCTGCTAAAAACCTTTTTTAGTTTAGGCAGGCCTACCCAGACATGAGAGACGTGGGTGGCACTGTGGGTTAAACCACAGAGCCTAGGACTTGCCGATCAGAAGGTTGGCGGTTCGAATCCCCACGATGGGGTAAACTCCCGTTGCTCGGTCCCTGCTCCTGCCAACCTAGCAGTTTGAAAACACGTCAAAGTGCAAGCAGATAAATAGGTACTGCTCTGACGGGAAGGTAAATGGCGTTTCCGTGCACTGCTCTGGTTCGCCAGAAGCGGCTTAGTCATGCTGGCCACATGACCCGGAAGCTGTATGCCGGCTCCCTCGGCCAATAAAGCAAGATGAGCACCACAACCCCATAGTCAGGCACGACTGCACCTAATGATCAGAGGTCCCTTTACCTTTACCTTTACCCAGACATGAAATTTTATTTTATTGTGTATACTTTTAACAAGTGCTTGTTTTATTTAGGTTAACTTGCTTTAAATATTCAATTTTCTCATTATTATTATTTTTTAAATCAACACTTTATATTCTATGTAAACTGCTTAGAGGTTGTGGGTGAATAAGTGTTAAAAATATCCTGTTAAATAAAGAGGTTAAGTTAGGAACATAGGAAAGCTGCCGTACACTGGCTAGCTTAGTATTGCCGACACTGGCTGAGAGTGGCTCTCCAGGGTTTCAGGTGAGGTCTCACTTAGCCCTGCCTGGAATTGAACTTAGGACTTTCTGCATGCACAAGAGAGGCTCTACACTAAACTAGGACTCTTCCACAAACTTATCCACCTGGTAAGCCAATTGTCAGCCTGTCTTATTACATGCTTCCTAAGCATTAGTTGCCATTCTCAGCTGGAGCCTCAATTGGCTCTCCATTCTCAACTGCTGGTTGGCATCTGTCTTGGGAAGAGTGTGCCTTTGTGGGTGAAGCCAAACCATTGGAGAGTTACAGCGCCTGCTGTGGATGTAGAGACCGATATGGGAGAGAGATGTTTTGCTGCAGCTGGGGCAGATGAAGGCGTCCAGTTGTGCTGCTGCAGATGCACCAGGACGTTTCTTCTCTCTGCGCTCCTCCCTGTGTAAAAGCTGGGGACAGCCCAAGGACAATTTCCTTCCTGAGGGACATGTTTGTTTCTGGGCCACCTTCTGGGTACCACATGCCACAAGACAAGCAAAAGCAAGCAGCGCAGTGCATGGAATTTCTACTTTTGTACAGTCGGCTAGTTGCTACACGCTCTCACACACCCCGTCTCTATACGCCCGCCAGATAAGCAAGAGGCATGATTAGAGTGCAGGGACATATTTTAGGCAGGCAAAAACCCTTGTGCCCAGGGGCGAAGGAAGGTTAACCAGCACCCGGTGCAGGGTGTCGGGGTGGGGCAAACAGCCTGGCAGCGCATGCATATGAACCGTATGTACAGCGCATGTGCGGTACCGCTACGTGCTGCGCATGTGCCAAAGGGCGGTTTGCCGAATGTGCCATACGGATGGCAGTGGAATCCTCTGCTCGCAGCTGCAGCTCTGAGAAAGCAAATGGCTAGTGGGTAGGCTTGCCTTGCGCACTGTTTTGCAGCTCCCCCCTTTCCCTGGCTCGCTGTAGGCTTGGGAGTCACGGGCGCGGGTGGGCAGAATGCCACCCCCATTAGGATGGCACCCGGAGTGCGCCGCACCCGCCGCACCCACCTTGCTCCACCTCTGCTTGTGGCATGCATGATGTGGGGCCAGTGTGGAATGTGGCCTAGGGAGAATTCTGAGGGCAAGAGCTTCTCCATCCCTACCAGATACCATGCAAGGGTCTGTCGTCCAACAGAATGGAAGTGCTAGTGGGCTTATAGAGAACAGCAAGAGGATATTGCCCTCCCCTCAATAAACTGAGTGCCCACTTTTCCCAATGGTAGGGCCAACCCTAGTAAAAGTTTCCATTCTACTGGCAAGTTCTGCGCTTGTCTGAGTGCGGCCGGAAGGGAGCGAGACATTGAAGAAAGGCATGGGCGATCTACAGTACAATCCTGGTTATAGTTCTCCAACGTTTTGGTTCACTTCTGAGGACAGGAGGAGCAGAGCCATCATCAAGCTGGCAAGAGATTAACTGTTCTCAGGGCCTGGGAACAGATGCAACAAGTATCTCCCTGAGAGGATGGTTCACTCAACCGGTAAGCCCCAAAGCACAACTTGCTATGTTAATGAAGCCCAGTGCTGATCAAGCAGATTGGGAGCGATTTGAAGCGATTTGTAGGTATGTGGGACAGTAAATGGGAAATGCTGTTTTAATGGGAACTGGCGTCGAATGATACAGCGGGGACAGCCAAGTGCGGTAAAATGCAGACATTTTCCTAAGCAGCTGTGCAGCCAGCCAGTTTAGGGGATTTATTGGCTATTTATGGCAGATTATACGATGAGAGGAGCATTCTGGCTTGGTGAGGATATCAGACATTAGTATTCTATCGCAAAACGGGTTGTAATTCTCCATGCTCCGTCACGTCCTTCCCTGCTCGCACAACGCTACCCTTTCCCTTGTTCAGCCTAAAGCTTTGACATGTCATGTCCTTATCTCATCATCTATTTAATAGAATGCGGGGAAAATTCACAGAACTTCAGTTCCCCCCTCTCTTTTATTTAGATTCACACCACAAAACAATATTGGCCTTCATAGGTCAGGGAGAAATTCATCCTGTGGTGCTTCATAATGATGGCTAGTTGTCAGATAAGATGGATTATGATTGTGTACAGAGTAGCTTCCACACAGCATTTCTGACAGAGGTTAGGATTGGCGCTGCACTGAATATTCACTAGTTTCAAATTTTTTTTGGGGGGGGGAAGGCAATTATGGTAGGCAATGCTATTTTTCTAGAGAAAGAGGTGCCAGAAAATCACCATGTTCTCTCTTTTTAATTTTTCTTTATTCAAAATTATAACAAGACACATTATCCAAAAACGTATCATCCTTATTCACCCCCATTTTTCCTCCCTCCCCCCCTCCCACACAAAACCCACCCACCCCCACCCCCCGACTTCCCTCAGTTCCAGTCTTTGGTTTCTCTAAGAATGCTGTTTTCTGCATGTTACAAAGTTGTATAGATCCTCAAACTATTTAGCTGATTATTATCAATAAAAGGTTTGTGAATGTTTATTCAAAACCTGCCAATGAGTCCAGTTCTCTTTGTTGCGTCTTCAGATACTTTGTAAAGGGTTCCCATTCATCCTTAAAGTCACAGTTATCCTTGTCCCGTAGCTTATATGTCAGTTTTGCCAGTTCTGCATAGTCCATCAATTTTTCTTGCCATGATTCTTTAGCTGGGGTTTCTTCAGTCTTCGGAACTCACCATGTTCTCTTAGCATTCTCTTAGCAATGGCGCCCACCTGAGAGGTGCTGGAACTGAGTTCCAGTGAGCTCTGACTGGAACAAAGCTCTGATGAAGAGAAGAGTTTGGATTTGATATCCCACTTTATCACTACCCTAAGGAGTCTCAAAGCGGCTAACATTCTCCTTTCACTTCCTCCCCCACAACCCTTGAGGTGAGTGAGGTTGAGAGACTTCAGAGAAGTGTGACTAGCCCAAGGTCACCCAGCAGCTGCATATGGAGGAGTGGGGAAGCGAACCCGGTTCACCAGATTACGAGTCCACTGCTTTTAACCACTACCACTACACTGGTAGGGTAGATTCTCCTTGCCACATGTGCCTGCCTGCCCATCTTTATCTATGTAGTCTCTTGTTGCCTCTAACTGGGTTTCCCAGGGTGTTGTTCTACCAGCTTTGGTTGGTTGCCCAGCTGCAGCGCTGTCCAGATGAAGATAACCTGGCTTTAGTGATCTATGACTTGCAGAAGGCTATCAATGGCTACTAGCCGTGATGCCTATGCCCTGTCTTCACTGTAAGTGGTAGTAATGCTTCTGAATATCAGTTGCTGGAAACCACAAGAGGGGAGACAGGCTCTTGTGCTTGGCTGCTGCTTGTGGGTTTCCCACCGGCATCTGGGTGGCCACTGTGAGAACAGGATGCTGGACTAGATGGGCCATTGGCCTGATCCAGCAGGCTCTTAAGTTCAGTGTTGAAGTAAGATGAACTCTTCGGCCAGTCAACATCTGTATACGGAGGGGTGTCATTCTTCCCACAAACAGCAAAATGTCTTTCGTCTGCCCTGTTAAGAGAGAGCAGTTCTGAGCATCTTTCCTTTCTCTAAAAACAATTCTTGCTTTGATTTTTTATATATACTACAAACACATTTGGACTAAGGGTGACTGACTTTTCTTACACAGCTGCTGCTGTTATTCCCCCCCTTTCTGTTTCACCCTCCTTTTTGCAGGTGTTTTGATCCCTCTCGTTGTTTCTGAGCGGGGATTGCAACCCTTGGTTGTAAAGGAACAACAGAATGAAGTCTGGGAATTTTACCAGGAAATGGTAATTGAGCTTTAACAGCTATGTTTAGGATACAAAAGAGCCTGTTGTTTCTCTTCCTTTCCTTAATTATCACAGTTTATTGACAAGGCAATAATCCTGATTGCTCTGTGACGTTTGTCAGGCATGATGGGTTTGGGCTCTGAGCCCGAACCATCGACTTCTGGTTAGTGCAGCAGATACTTGCTGCTGGTAATACTCATGGTCTTTCCCTCAGTAACATTACTCCTACTCCTGAATGTCAATACTACATCTCATGTTTAACCCGTAGCAGCTGCTGTTTTGACTTAGCTCCTATTGACATTTAACTGCTCAGTTTCAGACTCAGGCTGGTGGGTGTAAGAGACACCATAGCAGACACCAATTATGTTAGCCTGCTATTATTTAATCTTGATCGGTACTCAGTTTTGCTTCTGAGTCGAGATCAAAGTACCGGCTTCATTGGGACCTACAAGCCCTGGAAAGCTAGGGACTAGGATATTTGGAAGGCTGTCTGCTTTCATATGCTTCTGTCAGCCTATTCAGATCTTTGAGGAGAAACCCAGTTCCAAACCACTTTCCCCTGCCATCAGCAGTGTCGTTTATGGGAAGGGACCTTCTCTCTCGCTGCTCCCAGGCTGTGGATGAACTCCCTTCCCTTGGGAGACTCAGCTTGTCTCGACTTCACTGACATAAGAACATAGTCTAACATCCTGTTCTGCTTGCTGGGTTTCTCTATGGAAAACCAGCAAGCAGGTTTCAAGCACAAAGCACTGCCCTGCAACTGGTATTCAGAGCATCATTGACTCCAAGTGTGGAGACAGAGCACAGCCATCAGGCATGCTTCTTCCTTCCTTCCAGCTGCTCTGCCAGCTTTTATTACTGAACTTGCATATTGCCTCAACAGGAAAACAGCAGCAGCTTCCAGCCAGCCTAGATCCAGCTCCCTTTCACAGAGTGCAATTTTGGAATAAGATTTTGCTCCTCTTGAGTTAAGGGGATCTTAGTTCTATTTTTTTTTAAGAATAATTTTTTATTAACCGACCAATCACATCAAATCAAACCAAATTACATAAATTCCAAATTACACAGCCGAATTTTAAAATTTTGTTGGGGGTACCCATATTTCAAGTTCCGAAGGTGATCCAATCAACTTCTTGCTTCTTACTGCTGTTTTAATGTCCACAAATCTAACCTTATGATGTTCACAGTACTATCCAGTCCTTTCTTATTGTTTTTCCACATCTCTTGTTGTTATTTTCATATATTTTCCTTTCTCTTTGTGACCTCTGATAGTCTCCACAAGCTGGTTAGAACAGTTTGTAATCCTGCATGGATATTATTTTTTTTATCCAGTAGCCATATCCAGACGTTTTCCATATAACATCACTTCCATACATCAAAACAGTCTTAGCATCATTAATCTTCACCAATCTGCCTCCTTTCTCAAAACCTCTGAGGAGATTCACTAGGAATACAGTCTGAAAACAAGTCCGTTCTTCCTCCCGGCTATAAATCCTTTGGCAAGATGGCGACTCCGAATTAATTGCTGTGCCATTCCCAAAAGCTCTTATTGCTTCTCGATTTCCATAAAGCATACTTTTGGTTAAAGTTTATCAAGGGGATCTTAGTTCTAGACAGGGCAATGGAAGGGAAAGGAGGTCTCCTTCTGATGGTACTCAGTAGGTTCTGTTGCTGTGAACCAGGAGAAGACATAGAATGAGCAAAGTCTTGGGCAACCCCAGTGGGCGTAAAAACACAAGAACCCTGTTGGATTGGTTCCAGCTAGTCAACCACTCTGTTTCCCATACACTCCAACATGTTGCAGCAGGAAACTAGGGTGCCTGTTTTTCAGGGCGTGCATTTGCATGAGTCAGGTGAACCACACAAGAGCATGGTGCCCTAAAACATGTGCCTTTCAGGTTGCGATCTTACATGTTTTGGGGTGTCGCCCTCCCAAACAGGATGACCCAATTTAATCAGGCAGTTGCAGGATATGTGTTTCCCATGGTGATGTTCTATATCGTGTCTGCAACATACAGCTTTGCTGTGATAATCTAGCTTTTCTCAGACTGGTTTCCATTGTTACGCTAACATGAGGCACAGATACCTCACACTTCCTGTTGTTTGGCATCTCTGCAGTGGCTGAGGCAGAGCTTTCCTATATTCCAATGCTGGACAGCTCAAGGTAAGTTTCTGCTGTGTTTCCTTTCCAATGGTGTCATATACAAAACTCAAACTTGTGAGCATAACTTGAACAAGGCAAATAGACAGATACGGTGATGCAGCACCATAAATGTCCAAGGCAGAAGAACATTATATTAGAGTTTTTCCCCTCCCCCCTGTTTTCTCTGTCCCAACAAGCTTACAGCCTGAGTCACATGTATACAGTACTAGAACGATACTGCAGTTTTCCTGTGGAGGGGAGGGTATCAGTAGCAGGAGCAAGGCTCATCTATCAATGTTATGCCTTATCAACGGAGAACTACACACCAAGTAGTAAAGTTTCCATAGCTACAAAGCTTTACAGCTGTTCCTTTCTAAAAGAAATGGTGTCTGATCACATTCACGAGTTGTCTTTATTTCCCCCTCTTTCCGTCAACTGATTTTGTGTTCTCTTTTCTCACCCCTCCCCACCTCCTACCAACTGAAGCAACAATAGTTTCTTCAGTTTGGTCAGATTTACACTTCTCAGTTATAGCGGAGAATAAATCCATTTCACTATGAAGAGGATTTAATGCATTTGGGTTCCAGGCTGGGTCAAAATGACCCAAGATACATTCTAACTAACTAGGGAAGGGACTGTGGCTCATTAAGAAGAAGTTATATTGATGGTTGGCCTGTGGAAGCAATTCCCAGTCTTTCTCCCTTCTTTTTTAAGAGGGCAATGGAAAACACAGAAGCAATCCCAATGACAGACAGTAAAGTTTGTATGATGGATGGATCAGTTAGTCATCTGAGTCAGGCATGGCTCACTACTCTTACAGCCCAGACTAGGCAGCTGCTCTTAAATGTCATCAGATGCTATTTTTAATCCACAAAGTTAGGGTACCAGTCCATTTCATATCAGATCAGGGAGAAGACACTGTAGAATTCTCAACAAGGTTTAGAGACCTGCTCCTGAATATACCCAAGATTAAATGCCACAGAGCAGTGTATTTATTTTAGAGGTATGAGTTGTATCCAATATTAGTTCTACCCAGAATGGACACATTGAAATTCATGAACATGACTAACTAAGGTTCATTAATTTCATTGGATCTACTCTGAGTAAAACCTAGTTGGCTGCAATCCTATAGGCTGACCTTAGTTTCAATGCATACAATGTATGCCATACATAGTACGTCAAATATGTTCAAGCAGGTCAACATATTGCATTCCAGGTTTCTCAGCCATATTTAGGGAGGTGATGTTACAAACTTTTTTTTTTTTTGAAATAATTTTTATTAAAGTTTTAAACAAAGAAAAAAGAAAAAACAACACACACAGAAAAACAATACAAAATTTAACAATAAAAACACAAAACATAACAATTAAAAACAAACTCTCTTTTCCATTCCCAATTTTAAATTACTTATTTTCTGGACTTCCTCATACCTCCCTCTTTTGTATTCCAATCTACATTATTTGTCCAGCAGTTTCTTTTCCACTTTTTAAACCCAATCTTTAATTTAGTAAAATATTAAAATATATAGCTTCAACTTTTTAAACATAATCCTTGTTCTTAATGTCATATACCTTTAAATTTTTCCCTTTTATTATCAAATTTCCATTTCTTTAAACATCTTTAATCTTGATCTTTAATCTTAATCTATCCTTAACTTTAACCTGTACAGCTGGAAACCACTTATTTTCAATCCAACATCACTCTAACATTCCTTAATTTTGCAGTGTTTCTGAAGATAGTCTTTGAATTTCTTCCAGTCTTCCTCCATCGACTCTTCTCCCTGGTCACGGATTCTGCCAGTCATTTCCGCCAATTCCATATAGTCCATAAGTTTCATCTGCCATTCCTCCAGCGTGGGAAGTTCTTGTGTCTTCCAATACTTTGCGATGAGTATTCTTGCTGCTGTTGTTGCATACATAAAGAAAGTTCTATCCTTTTTAACACCATTTGGCCCACTATGCCCAGGAGAAAGGCCTCTGGTTTCTTGGGGAAGGTATACTTAAATACCTTTTTAATTCATTATATATCATTTCCCAGAAAACCTTAATCTTTGGGCACGTCCACCAAAGGTGAAAAAATGTACCTTCAGTTTCTTTACATTTCCAACATTTGTTATCGGGCAAGTGATAGATTTTCGCAAGCTTGACTGGGGTTATGTACCACCTGTATATCATTTTCATAATATTCTCTCTTAAGGCATTACATGCCGTAAATTTCATACCAGTGGTCCATAACTGTTCCCAGTCAGCAAACATAATGTTATGTCCTACGTCCTGTGCCCATTTAATCATAGCCGATTTTACCGTTTCATCTTGAGTATTCCATTTCAGCAGCAAGTTATACATTCTTGACAGATTCTTAGTATTGGGTTCTAACAATTCTGTTTCTAATTTTGATTTTTCCACCTGGAAGCCAATTTTCCTGTCTAATTTAAATGCCTCCATTATTTGATAATAATGGAGCCAGTCTCGCACTTTGTTTTTTAATTTTTCAAAACTCTGCAATTTCAGTCTATCTCCGTCTTGTTCCAAAATTTCCCAATATTTTGGCCATTTGACCTCCATATTGACCCTTTTCAAGGCTTTCGCTTCCATTGGTGACAGCCACCTTGGGGTTTTATTTTCTAGCAAATCCTTATATCTAATCCAAACATTGAATAACGCTTTCCTGACAATGTGGTTTTTAAATGCTTTGTGTGCTTTGACCTTATCATACCATAAATATGCATGCCATCCAAATACATTATTGAAACCTTCCAAATCCAAAATGTCAGTGTTTTCAAGAAGTAGCCATTCTTTCAACCAGCAAAAAGCTGCTGATTCATAATAAAGTTTGAGGTCTGGCAGGGCAAATCCACCTCTTTCCTTTGCATCTGTTAGTATTTTAAATTTTATTCTAGGTTTCTTGCCCTGCCAGACAAATTTAGAAATATCTTTCTGCCACCTCTTGAAACAGTCCATTTTGTCGACAATCTGCAAAGTTTGAAACAAAAACAACATTCTAGGCAATACATTCATTTTTATCGCAGCAATACGGCCTAGCAGTGAAAGCTTCAAATTTGACCAAATTTCTAAATCTTTTTCACTTCTGACCAACATTTTTCATAGTTATCTTTAAATAAATTCCCATTTTTTGCTGTCATGTTAATCCCCAGGTATTTAACTTTCTTAACCACTGTTAACCCTGTCTCATTCTGAAACCTCTCTCTTTCAAACGGTGTTAAATTTTTCTCTAAAACCTTGGTTTTAAATTTGTTCAATTTAAATCCTGCCACTTGACCAAATTCTTGAATCAGTTCTAAAACCCTTTTTGTACTAGATTCTGGCTCCTGTAACGTCAATACTAAGTCATCTGCAACAAACTTCTTAGGAAATGTGTGCTATCTTCTGATGATGGCTTCACAACCGTCACTTCATTTTAAAGAAAGTATTCTCCAGATTGATACAAGATTTATTATGGATGCCTTTTCCTAACCTGTAAATGACACACTGAAATGTTTTCTGCTATATAGTGTTGTTCTTAAATGAAAGATTACCAGTTTCTCACAGTAGTTTAAAGTGTTGTGGCTGCTACTGTATTTTACAAGAACAATAAGATTGCGTCTGTTTCTATGTGGCAAAATTCATTCACCATACACACACACACACACACACACAAACGTGTTAGTGTTTGTGTTTGTGTGTGTGTGTGTGTGTGTGTGTGTGTGTGGAAACAGTTGGTCCTGGCAAGTATTAACCACTGTCAATTGCAACCTGATAATTGCCACCTGCCCAGATTTTAACCTGTCTGAATTAATTTTAAGATGTATTTTAATTAAGTGATGTCTGTTTTTATGCATATTGTGTTGTTTTTATGATGTTAGCCTCTCTGAGCCCCGCCTTGGCCAGGGAGGATGGGATACAAATAAATTATTATTATTAATATTTATTTATTTGTTGTTGTTGTTGTTGTTGTTGTTGTTGTTGTTGTTATTATTAATACTATTACAAAACGAGGGAGTGGTGCCTGTAAGAATGCAGATCTGATTTTATAACGGTTTGGCATATATTCCAATTATAGTTGATATTAAAAGGCCTGTGCTGTTCTGACGTACAGGTCTGTGTCAGACCTAAAGCCAGGTGTTTCTGTCTGTCAAAGAACGGGGGGAAGCTTATAGCTCAGTCAGTAGAGCATGAGACTCTTAATCTCAGGGTTGTGAATTTGAGCCCTATGTTGGGCAGAAGATTCCTCCCATTCTCCTGCCTTAGCTTCTGCCTCTGATTTTGGACTTCTGTCTGCCACAGATTCTCCTAGCTCACTAAGCCCTGTTACCTCTTCTGCTTCTGACACCTATTCTTCCAGTCTGCTCCCTCGTCTTCCTCTGACCACTTATCATTGTCCCACCACCACTCCCTGGGCTCTGAGCCTTCTTCCCTTGGTTCCTTCCACCATTCTTCTGCATCCAACCAGTCCATGACAGTGAATCACATTTCGATGGACAGTAGATATAAATAATATAGATGACCAGTGTATCTTACACTTCACAGAAGGAATACAATAATAGGAAATGAGCTTTAAAAAGAAGGAAAAAATGGGATGTATAAAAAATATTTTAATGCCATCCAACTTGGTGGCTATTACTACCAATATCCAAGCTCTGGTGTTTTTTGTGTGTGAGAGAGAGACTGTCTTCATCCCCATTACTTCATCCTCTCCAAAAAAGCAACCTTATATTGAGAAAAGAGGAAGGGTTCACTGGGGAGAACTCAGTCACAGGAGAGACTTTGATGGTCTCCCCTTAATGTACTTGTGAAAGAAGAAAAAGTAACAATATGCATAACAGGTTATACAAACAGCAGTAAGTCATGCAAAATTCAACAGCATATCCAGTTTTCTTCTGTTGAAAGCCATTAAAATATATATTAGGTGGGATCCTTGGCCAATAGTTGAATTAAAAGATGCTGCAGATCATTAGGGGAAAAACAATAACGGATCTGACTAATGATCTTCAAGGCCTCATTTGCTGACCAGTTAATTAAGCAGGCTGCATGGATGACAGTGCTGTTAATAATACCGTTCAATTACTGGGAAGCAAATTATTATGAGGCATGGAAAGCCCCCTTTGCCTGCTGTTTGAGGAGGGGAACTGTAGAAGACTTGTTAGAGATTCGACAATGAATACATCATAGGAACGTATGAAGTTACCTTATAGCAAGTCAGATCACGGGTCTATCTAGTTCAGTAGTGCTGGCCTCTTCCTCATCACCAACACCTTAACTGGTTCAACCCCTCAGCATATCCATGTTGGGTGGGGAAAGGTCCCTGTCTAAAACCCTGGGCAGCTGCTGTCAGTCATTGTAGGCGATACTGACCTAGATGGAACAATGACCTGGCTCCGTATAAAACAGCTTCCTTTGTTCCTAGCATGCAAGGTCTGAATCCTCATGGAAGACAGGTAGCAATCGATCAGATTCAAAACTAATACTCAGATAATAGACTTCAACATCAAATAAGACACTTCTGCCACTAAGTCCAGTTTGGCACTATCTCAGGGATGGCAAGAAAGATTTATGTGCTGATGTGTGCTTTGTGCTGACTTCTGAATGAAAGCGGCAGTCAGATGTGCGTACAGTTCAGTAGACCTCCTTGTCTGAGAACAGCTGAGGTCAACAAAACCTCATTTAGCAAAGCAGGTAGTGGATGCATTTGGCTTAAATTTCCACTCTCTTAGATTGTGGATATATCTAAAGAAAAGAAAAAGAGGGCTGTCAGGACATGGTTTCATCTTGGCAATAAAAGCTGCATCAAACAAAATGTCTTCCCTTTCCAGGCATGAATATATGTGCATATATGTCCAAAAATATATGAGACAGGGGTGCAATTCAAATTCGTTTGCATTTTTATTAGCAACTACTCACTTTTCACGTCTCAAGCCAATAAGCGAACCACAATACTGTACGATGATCTTCCAAAATTCACATGTCTCCAAATTTTGCAATGCGTTTCTTCAACCATCCAGTGTGTGCAAAAAGTGCATTCAATATGGAAAGTGAGTGTAAATGTGCATATATATTTGTGAAAATAATACACCAAAATTGCATCCTGTTAGGAGAGATTCATGGGGCGTGGGTGGAGTTGTGGTCTAAACCACTGAGCCTCTTGGGCTTGCCAATCAGAAGGTCGGCGGTTCGAATCCCCACGACGGAGTGAGCTCCCGTTGCTCTGTCCCAGCTCCTGCCAACCTACCAGTTCAAAAGCATGCCAGTGCAAGTAGATAAATAGGTACCACTGTGGCAGGAAGGCAAATGGTGTTTCCGTGTGCTGCTCTGGTTTCGGTGTTCCGTTGTGCCAGAAGCAGCTTAGTCATGCTGGTCACATGACCCAGAAAAACTGTCTGTGAACAAACGCCAGCTCCATTAATCTGAAGCGAGATGAGTGCTACAACCCCAGAGTTGTCTGCGACTGGACTTAACTTAACTGTCAGGGGTCCTTTACCTTTACCTTTTTAGGAGAGATTCACACTGAAAGGCTGACAAAATTTACACAATGGTTTGTTTTAAGACTGCTAAAATTAGAAACTGGTGAAGAGGGAAACTCATGAAAAAAATATGTCCTAAAACTTCTGCATTCGGCCCTGTGTTTTTCAAGGCAATGGTACCTAAGGGAGATGAGATGCTAAAGAACATCCGATATTATAAGAATCCATTCCCATGGGAAAAGAGAAGCCAGGGAGATTACTTTGTTTCTCTCTCTTCAAAAAAGAGATGTTATAAAGCTTTCTGCCATTGATTAATGAAGTTCAAAGATTCCTTACTGGAACATCCCCCTGGACTACCAAGAGATGCTTTCATCCCAAGAGGTCTGTCAATGGTTTTCAGAAGGGATGCTTAGCAATGGCTCTCAGAATCTAGTATTTCATTTCTTGATCGTTCAGCATTGCCTTTTTACACCATTAACTCCATCACATATTAAGGCAGGGTATTAGAATTTCCTAGCATCCGAGTTTGGGTGGTGCTCCTCACATATGGTCCTTACACTATAGTGGCACTGTTGTGCCTTTGTGGAGGTTTGGAGGTCTCCTCTGAGTAAGAGCTGGAAGCAAATTTTGCTAGAATTGAAATTCTGAAAAAAAAGTGAGGGTTCTTGCTCAGGTGAGGAATGTCAAGAGAAGCAAAACAGTTTTTGGATAAAACTCATGAATTTTATATCGGAGCTCTGCCTCTTCTGAGGTTGCTACTGAATTTCTCACCAAGTGGTGAATTTTGAGATCTTGGCTTGGGTGAAAGATCAGTGGAATTGAAAGAGATCAAATGGAGGTTCACAGCGGAATCCTATAGAGGTCTTCTTAGAAGTAATTATTATTATTATTTATACGTACAGGTCTCAGGGTGGTAAGTCACACTGAGCTCAGTGAAGCTTATTCTTAGGTCAGTGGGAATAATAATAACAACAACAACAACAACAATTTTTTTATTTGTATCCTGCCTTCCCCAGCCAAGACCGGGCTCAGAGCAGATAACATTGTAACATTCCCATGGATTCCTAACACTCTGGACCCTGCTCAGCAGTGTCATAACCTTAGTGTAGGCTGGTGTCAACTTGGATAGGAAAAGTCAGGATGTTGATGGTGGAAGGGTCTCAGGCTGGTGTGAGCACAATCTAACTGGGTTCTAAATGAGGGGAAGTAATTTCCAAAGCCACTCTTCCCAAGCTTTGCCACCATCACCAAGTACTTGTATATGTGACACTGCTAGGTTTTTGGTTTTCAATTTGGGCTTTCTCAGTTTCTCTCCCCCCACCCGCTCTCACATTCGTGCAACAATTTCAAAATTCCTTAGCATTTGCTTTAGAAAGGTATATTTTTATTGGCATTTTCAATAAACAGAACAATCATTTTACAACAGCAGATTTATTATATTAAGCACATTTCAGTACGCAGTTTTGACTAATATGCACCAATATTGACTAATATTTCAATCCCTTTCCCCTAATATTTTTTTTTGTTAGCTTCACTAATGTATGCATCTTTATGTACTCTTACCCCCGATTTATGCATCTTTGTACACTTTGGCTGGAGAACTGCATTGCCAAATTCAGAGAAGTGTGCATTTCAAATGACAGCTGTCTTTTGGTTCATGTATAGCTTTGAGAAGTGCAAATTAGGTAGTTTCCCACTAAAATGCAAAGAATATCAAATTTCTCTCCCATCCTGGGACTGTGCTGTGTGCTGCACGATTAGGCAGACAGTGGACCTGATCCCTAGATGCACATGCACTGATAGTCTTCTAAGATCTCCCCTTTCACTGGACTGCTAACTTTACTCAACGCATTACAGCGCCTGGCAGGTGATTTGGCACATGGTGTAAGTGTCAGACAGCCATTTGCCTTGTGCACAGTATTTTAGCCAGTCTACCTCCCAGCTTGTCTCTTTATTGTCTTGACCTCAGGTCATAACATACAAACGAGAAATGCACAAGCATAACATTTTGTACATTGTCAAAGCAGTATGCTGACATAAATGGTCAGATACCTCAGGCAAAAGAAAATCAATTATCCTTAAAACTGTCAGCTGTCTGGTTTTCCAGTTGAAGGTTTCTGAATCTTTCTGCTACTAAAGCAAAGATCTTGCTGGACTACAGCTCTCATAATCTCTGACCACTGGCTGTACTGGCTCAGGCTAACAGAAGTCCCAACATCTGGAGGATCATGGGTTCCCCATCCCCTTAACTCGGGGGGGGGGCATAACTCAGTGGGAGAACATCTGCCTTGCATGCAGAAGGGCCCAGATTCAATCCCTGGCATCTCCAGGTATGGTGGGGAGAAACTCCTGCCTGAAGCTCTGGAGTCATTGACAGTCACTATAAACAATACTAAATTAGATGGACCAATGGTCTGACTCAATGTAAGGCAGTTTCCTATGTTTCCTATGAAACTCTCAGCTTTTGCAAATACATATCTGAACATTTGTTGCGTTGAACATGAGAGAAAGCACAGGGAAGAATGTGGTATATCTATCTATATCTATCATCTATCTATCTATCTATCATCTATCTATCTATCTATCTATCTATCTATCTATCTATCTATCTATATCTATCATCTATCTAATCTATCTAATCTATCTAATCTATCTATATCGATCTATCCATCATCTATCTATCATCTATCAATCTATATCTATCTATCATTTACCTATCTATCTAACTTTGGCTTCATTATATGTGCAAGGTCCTCTGAAGTGGTCATGCTGCATATAGAAAGCTTGTTTGGATTGGCACTAAATGGCTGTTTTCTTTCTTTTTTACCCATTATGATGATGCTGTGGCTTGGAATTGGACAATTCCTACCCAGAAAGAACATCCTCAGTTCAGAACTCCCTGAGTGCATTCTGTTCTGAAGTTCAGGCCAAGTACACCTGGCATCTTCATGCAACTGGTTCCCTCCTTCCCAAAATGTATGCATGTTAAGGAGGCAGGAGGACAGTCTGGATGTGGAGAGGGGAGGTCTCACTTACAATTTTGGATGTTTTCATGGAGCATCTATTAATGCTGAGGAGCACAGGAAATGTAGTTTCCCGTGGCTCCCAGCTCCATCCTTGTTAATGTTTTACAGATCTGGGGTGGCACCCAACTAAGTCTTACTAAGAATAGGCTCCCTGAAATCCATGGACTTAAGTTTGTCACATGGAAGTCCATCAGCTTCAGGAGGTCTCCTCTGAGTATGACTTAGATACAACCCTTGGTTAATAAGCTTATGTGCTTTGTTTTAAAGTTTTACAACCTGCCTTCAGCCCTCTAGAGAGGGTAGGATAGCAATCCAAATAATAAAAATGGAAGCACTGTGAAGTGTCAATTTTCCCTGAGGATGAGAAAATTTAAGCTGCTGGGCAGAGGCATCTGAATTCCCTTCCTACTTGTTAAGTGCAACCCTCGGCTTTCTGATTCCAACAGGAAGACAAATGGGAGCTTTTGTAGCCAACACATCCATTTCCTAATGGACTGAAAGCCTATGGTATTTAAGGGGCTTCCTTCTGGCACAATCTCTAAGTCCAAGGGATACGTTCTCATGGCAGAGGCTTGAGTCTTATTAGTGGACGTGCAGCGCTGAAGGCAGCTAATGACAGTTTGGGGCTAATGGTGCATGAATGCAGTAATTTTAGTTGGTCATTATCACCCCTAGAAAAGACATGGGTCGTGATCATAATTGCTTAAATAACAGGAAGAAAATGTATTTGAGATGGGCTCAGAGGCACAGGTGCTCAGGAATGCTATCTCTCCCTTGTTCTCTGGGAGATTGCATTGTAATGGAGTGTAGTTTGCATCAATGGTGTGTGAAGACTTCATGTATTTGGGCCAGCGGTGGGATTTTGAACTGTTCATTGCACATTATGACTTTAAAGGTCAAGCACTTTAATAGTTGGCGGTTAATTCATTTCTGCTCTCACATATACTTTAGCACTATCATTTACAACCATGATCCTTTTTATAATACTTTTCAATATGTACTTTAAGGAGTGTCGTAGAAAAACGGCTTTAAAATCGACAGTAACAGTGCTTGGGAACTTCATTATAAAAAGGAATAAATTCCAGTTCAAGTTCGCCGCCTCCAAAAAGGAACTAATTCTGTCCCAGTTCAGGTTACAATTCCATTCAAAATTCATTCAAGTAGTCCTTGGTACTTTTTTTTAGCCACTAGAATTTTACAAGCTGCTCTCCTCAAGAATAAAATATATTTAAGAAGACCAAGAAAGCATCAGAACATAACAACACAGTGTAATGTGAACAGTTGTTTTATTAATTTCCCCAAATAATGAAATGGCCACAATCAAACACAGAGTTAAGTGTGATGAAACATATACGAATTGCACATCACCCAGATGTTCCACTGCAAAAAGAACTTAATTCAGATTGAGTTCATCCCAAAATTATAGGTATAATTCAGAGATTTTTGAATTAATTCAATGGATTAGTTAATCTGAATTATTTCCTTCTAAGCAGTGGGCAGTGCCCATTGAGTCTGTTAGCACCACTGGTTGCAGGTACATCATCTGCAGCACTGAACAAGAAACAGGTGGGACCTGGAGCAAAATGATACAACATGGAATGCCTCTGTTCAGGTCTACAGGCACTCAATACTATTTCTTTTCCTCACTTCAGTTTTCCTTTTCCTCACCCCAGCAGCCACGTAGCATTCCATGCCGTCTGAGTATGCTCAGTCTTCATTTGGCTGTTTTCTGTTTCTTGGTTTTCTCCCTATATTCATTTTTTTGCACTTACGTAAATTGAGAATTGACAGAGCTATTTGCATCTATGAAACCAAGCCTTATGAGGAGTGGTTGAAGGAGCTGGGTGTATTAAGCCTGGAAAAGAGGAGACTGAGAGGAGATAGGATAGCCATCTTCAAATATCTCAGGGGGTGTCACATGGAAGAGGGCACAAGCTTGTTTTCTCCTGCTCTCGAGGGTGGGACTTGAACCAATGGTTTCAAATCACGAGAAAGGAGATTCCAACTAAAGATCAGGAAGATTCCAACTAAAGATCGTTTCCTGCTTGGCAGGGGGTTGGACTCGATGGCCCTTGTGGTCTCTTCCAACTCTATGATTCTATGATTCTATGATTCTAAGAACATTCTCGTGGTAAGAGCTGTTCAACAGTGGAACAGTCTCCCTCGGGAGGTAGAGGACTCTCACTCCTTTCTCACCAGCAGATGAAGGCTGTTCTAATCACAGAAGCAGACAGACATTACCCGAAGTGTTCAGACTGGTCCTAGACGATTGGCAACCATGGGCAGACTATATTTGGGTGCTATTGAAATTAATGCAACAAGTTAGTGTTAATTTCCATTGATTACAGGGAACTAAGTACAACAGTATTATTCTGGTTTTTTTTAATTATGAACTTTACAGTTTTATATTCCACACATTTGTCATGTAAAAGAAAAATAATAAAAGAATCAAAATATCCCCCCACACTATGACTTCCCTCAGCTTCCCCTTCTGGTTCATTAAATGTTTGCTGCTTCTGCTTAACTGTTATCTTTTGATTAAATGCTCTTATATTCTCATCATTTTTTTTTTATACCATATTTTCTTTCCAATTATGTCTTATCCTTAGTTAGTTTCCAAACTGTTGTTTCTTAATCTTTACATTTGTTTTCTTAATTGTAAGTGTTTACTCGAATCCTGCAACAGTCTTATTCTGGATCCAACTGCTTATTTCCTTCCCTGACTGTAATGATTCTGGGTTCAAAGGCAGACTAGAAGAATGAAGAATGGCTGGAAGCAATTTTTTTTTTTAGAGCTTGTGCAAGAACCTCTGGGCATTTGGAACTGCCTGAGCCATGTGACTTTAGGCTGAGTCCTAAAATTACCAACTTCTTAATACTTAAGGGTTTAAAATTTAGAGATATTCCCTGTCTTTGCTCTGATTGGAAGGCTCAGAAAATGTTTTCTTCCCCCTCCCTGCAACTACAGAATGGTTGGTAACTGGAAGCATGGTGTGGCTTGTCGGAAATCACTGCCATTTCTTTGTGTACCCTGATAAGCAGCTTCATCAAACAACTGCAAAACCCCTCCAAGGAAATTGAGTTTTGGAGGCAAATATAGCATGGTACAAACTGCACTAAGCCTGGAAGGGGAGCTTTTGATTTCAAAGCATGAAAGGAGGAAACATAATAATAAGCCACAAGAAGCAGAGAAAATTGCTGGCACACTTGGTGAACTGTGTTCTGAAGAGATGCAACCTCCACAGAACCATGCCCCTGGGCTGTTGCTTTCTTGGCTTTGTTTTCACAGTCCCTTTCAGATTATGCCAGCCTCCCTCAACCTGGTTTCCTCCAGATGTTCTTGGACTACAATGGCCATCAGCCCCAGTCAGTGTGGCCAATGGTAAGGAAAGATGGGAACTGTAGTCATAACCACATCTGGAGGGCTTCAGGTTGGAGATGGCTGGGATGTGGCGTGGCCATTGCAATGACTTGTTGTCACGGTCTGGTCTACTGGTGATCAAAGTCCTGGCTGAGGACGTTGGGACCAGGGGCAAGATGGCGGGGTGGGAGCAGGAACGAGAGTCCAGAAGTCAAGGGTCCGAGGGTTGAGAAGCAGGGAGTCAGGAAGCCGAGGTCCAAGGATCAGGAAGCAAGAAGTCAAATGCAGCAAGGCAGGAAATGTGTTGATGTGGCAAAGAGCCGAAGGGAAATGGTGACCTTATATACCTTCCTGGCTCTTGCCACCAGGTGCAGTGAGTTACCAAGCTGCCTCACCTGTGTGGCCGCGCCTTGCCTCTCCAGAACAAACTTAGGAAGGCCCCAGTCCTGCGAAGCCCTACTGGTCACAGGGCCTGGCTCCTGCACGCACTCCTGACACTTGCGGTGGTGGGGTTGTGCCATTCAATGTGTGGATGACACTGACACACTCAGAACCACCTTTAACCAGTTACGAGAACAAATATTTTGGCCTCCAGTGAAATATTGCAGGCTTCCTTTTGCAGGCTGGTGAAGAAGGGACTGAAACCATAGCTCAAACAGCCTACGTTGAATTTTTCTGCTCAAACAGAGCCACCTCATTCTAGTTTTGTCTCCATACTGCTCTCTGCTAAGTTCTACAAGGGCAGCGCTGATACTGAGGAGGAAGTGGACAGGTAGCATTGCCACCCTCTGGGCACTGTAATTTGTTTAGGGCTGTTGCAAATTGTAACTCTGTGTGGGGTGAATTACAGTGCCCAGATTTCTTTGAGGAAAGTGATGCGCTTCGAATGTGCTTTATAGTGTGTACATCAGGGATCAGCAAACTTACCGCACCTCTGGCCAGTGTCTCCAGCGCCAATTGCGTGGCAGGCCGGAGGGTGGGGCAGTGCGTGCCCATACGCGTGCGCACAAGCTATTTCTGGCGCACTTCCGGGTCGGAGGAGCACCAGAAATAGCTTGTGCGCATGTGCACGGGCCTCCTCCGACCTGGATGTGCACTGGAAATAACGCTTGCGCATGTGCAACTAACGCTTGCACATGCACACAAGCTATTTCTGGTGGTCCTCTGACCCGGAAGTGGGCAGCCGTGCGGCGCAGTGCCGGTAAGAGCGGGTGGCGGCAGTGGGGGTCGCCACGGGCCAGATAAACGAGTCCCTCGGGCCTTATCCAGCCCGTGGGCCTTAGTTTGGGGATCCCTGGTGTACAGAGCCTTTGACTTGTCCAGTGGATAGTGAGAAGCCAGGGATGGAAGAGTGAAAGTGATGTTTCCTTTCTGGAGATGGTCAATGTACTCCTCCCAGCTTCATCGATCACAATGTGGTAAGGCTGGCCTTGGGGGTGGCCTTTCCTCAGGGATCCACGCAAAGTTGTTGAAAGTGCTGGATCTTTCACACAGGCTCATATGTTGGGCCTCCAGTTCACAGGAAACAAAAATGATGGATCGCCCTGATTATGCATAATCAGAACGTTTAAGATGGGATGCCTAGCTCCACCGCCTCTTGTAAATTTACCGTGGGATGCATATGTCAGAATCTGGCATCGAGGAAGGTTGCTCTTTGTAAACAACAGAGAAATGGGCTTATTTTGTAGAAAACTGCAGCTGCCTATTGATGAGACAAATTGCTGTAAAAATGGCTAACTGGGATGGGTGGATCAATTTCCACAATTTAAACAAGACAGATTTACTTCCTTGGCCGCAGTGGCTTGGCTTGGTGCTTTCAGCATCCTCATCTTAGCCTCTTCCTGAGCAGGATTTCACAGATGCCTGTTCAGACCCTCAGTTGGTGATTGAAAAAAAATCCAAAAAGGCAGGAAAGGATTCAGGGAAGCCACTGTTGCTCAAGGGTGAAGACAGCAGGGTGTGTGAGGAAAGACTGAAGAGATTATTATTGTTTAGCCTAGAAGTGGGAGGGGGACACAACTGAACTGACACAGTTTTGCTCCTTTTAAGTTTTTCGCCCACCCCCAAAATGAAAACCCAGAAAAGGAATTTCTTCCCTTGAAATTTCATTGAAAATAGAGTTGCTCATCTTGCAGGAGATATGCAAGGTCCTATGAAGTGTAGTAGAGGGAAAGGATGAAAACTCTGCAGGATGGGAATTGCCAGAATGTGAGATAGCCTTAAATTACTGTGTCGGCAAATACTAATGTTATTCTTTGCTACATTACGACAAAGAGCTGTTGGTTGGTTGTACCACTTCAGATTGTAAATGGGGGGATTGCTTGGTTGAATACCTCCCCGTGAAAATGTGGGGCTCTGTGCATATGGAGCTCTGGATCAGTGCAGTGTGTAGAGCTGGGATGGAATGCTTTCTTTCCATTGGAAGGTGGGGGAAATGGGGTGGGAGCTTTCATAAGGTTTAGCTGGCCACAATGATGGGGATTCCTTTCTCCATTCCACTCCCTGTCTCCAACTTGTTTGACCACAACTTGCAGTGGATGAAGTCCTTGCAGAAATGTAGGAAACTGCTTTATACTGATTACAGGTAGGTAGCCGTGTTAGTCTGCCGTAGTCGAAACAAAATTAAAATATTCAGATACATATACAGTTACAGATATATATACGGGTCTGGTGACTTCTGTTTCAGTGTATCTGCAGAAGTGTGCATGCACATGAAAGCTCATACCAATAACAAACTTAGTTGGTCTCTAAGGTGCTACTGGAAGGATTTTTATTTTATTTTATACTGAGTTAGACCATTGGTCCATCTAACTTAGTATTGTCTACACTGACTGTGGGATGCGGGTGGCGCTGTGGGTAAAACCTCAGCACCTAGGACTTGCCGATCGCATGGTCAGCGGTTCGAATCCCCGCGGCGGGATGAGCTCCCATCGTTCGGTCCCAGCTCCTGCCCACCTAGCAGTTTGAAAGCACCCTTAAGTGCAAGTAGATAAATAGGTACCGCTTTATAGCGGGAAGGTAAACGGCATTTCCGTGTGCTGCTCTGGTGCCAGTTCGCCAGAGCAGCTTCATCACGCTGGCCACGTGACCCGGAAGGGTCTGCGGACAGTGCTGGCTCCCGGCCTCTAGAGTGAGATGAGCGCACTACCCTAGAGTCTGTCAAGACTGGCCCGTACGGGCAGGGGTACCTTTACCTTTACACTGACTGGCAGCAGCTCTATGGGGTTTCAGGCAGGAAGTCCTTTCGAACTCTACCTAGAGATGCCAGGCACTGAGCCTGGGACCTTTGCTTGCCTACTCAAATCCGTGGTTCTTCCTCATATGATGGCTGGCAGATGCCAGTTCTCCCCCCACTCTTGCCACCGCTGGTAATGATTCTCTTTCCCACAGCCTGAGATTTTGTAGGATTTGGCCATCACCCTTTCCGTCCTCAGTCTCAGAGCACCTGTTTGACCCAGGCCACTTTCCAAGCTGAGCCCTAGACCACGGAGCAGCTGTTCACACAAACCACCCTATGCAGAAATATTGCTGGCACAGCAGAATGGGCTGTAGCTAAGCGGCAGAATATCTCTTTTTAATGCAGCAGGTTCCAGGCTGAATCCCTGGAATCTCCAGATACGGCTTGTAAAGACTCTGCCTGAACCTTGGGAGAGCTGCTCCCAGCCAGTGTCAGCTGTTCTGCACTAGATGGACCAATAGTCTCACAGCTTTAAGGCAGCTTTCTATATTTTTTACGGATGCAACTGCTGGAGTAGGAGGCTTCTGCCTGAGGCAGGAGATAACGACTCTCTAACAGTGCTGGAAGAAGGTTTTTAATACCAAGAATGGAGAGACTCCGCAATGATGTAGGGGGTGTATAGCGAAGGGTAATGGGATGCAATTGAGCAGAGAAATTCAACGTAGGCTGTATGTAAGGAAAACTTCCTAATGGCAGGCTCTGCAAAGCTCTTTACAGATTTCCCCAGGGATTGCTGTGAGGAACCCTTCCACTCCCGGCATTTCAGTTCATATATAACATCAGGCTTTCAAACTGCGCTCCAGGGAATCTTGGGGATCCTTGAGGGCTCCTCAGGGGCTTCTCAAGGTGAACATCAGCAATGGGCAGAAGCAATGGGCAGAACAACATGATTGATGTTTGCCTGCCATGCCAACAGTACACTAGATTCAGGATGTGCAGGGGTAGGCAGATCTATCCAATCAGTTTCTTTTCATTTCTCATTTTCCCAATCTTAACTTCTCCACATTTCTACATCCATTTGCGAATTAAAGGTCCCAATGAAAGTGCACCAGTATTTTAGGATAACAGAAACATTATTGCATGCAACATTGCAACATTGACTACTACACAGGTTTGCAAGCAATTTCTCCCAATACAGTGCATTTTAAAAAATCATTTTCACTGATGCATTGATGCATGCTCAAAGCCTGCAAATTACGTGGTTGGAGAATGGCACTGCAAAGTTCATTCAAGTATGGATTTCGAAGGATAGTAGTGTTTCAATCTTCCGTCAACAATCCTTACATTGGCAAAGCAGCACAAATGGTGTATGAGAGGAGTGTCAGAGGTCTTGGGGGAACTTAAAGGATTGGAGATGCACAAAACAGCTTTGGGGAAAAAACACAAAGGGGACCCTCTCAGCCAGCCAAAAACCCAGCCCTTTGAGAACTGGGCATGCTCTGTGGAGAGGCAAAATGGAATGGGAAAAAAGCATGGATCACAGGCTGGAAACCTGAACAGGAACACTCCACACTGCAGCATTTTGTTGCTGGTCTCATTTGTGCAAACTGAATGTGCACTCTAAATGGTGGCCCCAAATCCTTTGCAATACGTTGGGGAATTTTGTGGCCCCAAAGAGGTTTCTTAGTAAAATGTTAGGAATCACAAGGCAGAGAAACCAGTAGGAGAACACTTCAATCTCCCAGGACATTCTATACAAGATCTCAAAGTAACTATCATATTACAAAATAATAGATTGGAAAGAGAAGTTGCTGAATTGCAACATTACCAAACTTAAAACCATGGAGAGACCTGGTCTAAATAGAGACACTGGATTCTTATCTCATTATACATGATAAAGCTATTTTTAGCCATCTCACCCCTTGCTTTTTCCTGTAAGGCCAACTGCAGTCGTTAACAGTCGTCAACAGGTTTACCACACCTATCAGCCAATCACCCATTCCCACCACCCTTCTGAGTAATACCCGTCCCCACCCTTTCACTATATAGAAGGGTGACTTCTGTTTTAGTGTATCTGAAGAAGTGTGCATGCACACGAAAGCTCATACGAATAGCAAACTTATTTGGTCTTTAAGGTGCTACTGGAAGGAATTTTTTTACTTAGTAAAATGCTTGATGTGAAAGCTGGATTAGGTTGGCATCCGTCTTGTCTTGAGAGTCAACAGAGGAGTGTGCCTTTGGGTGTGAAGTCAAAACAGTTGGAAGGTTTTTACTTCACCCCCAAAAGCTGTGGCTGTAGAGGTATGGGGGAGACATGTTTTCTTGCAGCTGGGGCTATATAGTAAAACTGCAAGGATGTCATCACGCTGCACTTTGTGTGGCCACCAGCAGGCAGCCACGAAAACTGCAGCACGGTGATGGAACAGCCTGCTGTCCTGCCTGTTCCTCTTCAGGTTTCCTGGGCTCAGGTTTCGGTGATCTGTAGGTGGAGGGGTGTGTGCACATTTGGGACAATCTATAAGAGGAAGGGGGATGCGGGTGGTGCTGTGGTCTAAACCACTGAGCCTAGGGCTTGCCGATCAGAAGGTTGGCGGTTTGAATCCCTGCGACGGGGTGAGCTCCTGTTGCTCAGTCCCCGCTCCTGCCAACCTAGCAGTTTGAAAGCACGTCAAAGTTCAAGTAGATAAATAGGCACCGCTCCAGCGGGAAGGTAAACGGCGTTTCCGTACGCTGCTCTGGTTTTGACAGAAGTGGCTTAGTCATGCTGGTCACATGACCTGGAAAAACTGTCTGCGGACAAATGCGGCTCCCTCGGCCAGTAAAGTGAGATGAGCGCCGCAACCCCAGAATTGTTCGCGACTGGACTTAGCTGTCATAAGAGGAAGGGGTTTCTGTAAGCTGCAAGGGGAGGGGTTGGAGAGTGAAGTGAGCAGTGTGTGTGTGTGTGTGTGTGTGTGTGTGTGTGTGTGTAATCCAAGGAGGCATGATTGGTTTAAACTAGAGAAGAGTTATTTCCTTCGGTCATCTCTGCTTGCCAGTTTGCCTTTTCAGGCTGCAGTCTTGTTCAAGGCATTATATGCCTTGTGATTTAATACTCTGGACAGTTTCTGAGGAGGGTTGGCAGAGGCAAATGGGGACAGAGGGGTGCCGCGAGGACACGCAGATTCCATCCCCTCAGCATGTGTAATAAGACATAAGGCTGGATGTGATGTGATAACTGTGTAGCAGAGCCCGCCGAGTTCTGAACCCTTTCCCCTCTAAAAGATAAGCCCAGATTCAGCAAATTCAGCAGGGAGGATGCAGGCAAGCGGACAAGTTCACCAGATGACTGAAAGCTGGCTGAAACTCTTCAGACTGCAGGTGGTGCTGGTGGAAGTATGAGATCTGATGCACATTCAATCATGCATTATTTCCTGTGCTTGCTCCCTGATGGTCTTGCGTGTGCAATATATATTGGCGAGCATTCAAATATTTAATCTTCCTCCCACTGCAGGCTGATGTGGAATCACCTGCAGATTTATCCTTTTGAGATCTCTTGATTTCCTTCAGTTCAAGCGGCAGAGCATTTGCTTTGAGTGCAGAAGGTCCCAGGTCCAATCCCCAGCAGTTGAGATCCCCACATTGCAGGGGGTTGGACTAGATGACCCTCGGGGTCCCTCCAGCTCTACATTTCTGTGATCTCCATGCAGGACTGGAAATGTGTCCTGTCTAAAACCTTGGCAGTCAGTGTAGATGATACTGATCTAGATAGAATAACTTAATATAAAGCGGACACTTACCTTCTTCCTAAGCACACTTCTTTGACATGGGCTACAATCCTGCACAAACAATGGGGGTGAGACTCATTGAACTCAATAGGACCTACTTCTGAGTAGATATGCCCCAAACCACACTGTTGTGGCCCAGTCCTATGCATGTTAACTTGGAAAGCCCACTGCACCCAGTGCAGCTTACTCCAAGGGAACAGCGCAAAAGATTGCTGTTCTAATTCTTCTCCACTACAGTCATACCTCGGGTTACAGCTGCTTCAGGTTGCATTTTTGGGGGTTGCGGACCGCCAAAACCCCAAAATACCGGAATGCTGAATCGCAGATGCACAGACGTGGGTTGTGAATGCTGTGGGTTGCGATCCCGCATCCCGCATGGATCACGTTCGTAACCCGAGCGTCCACTGTATTTTCTTAATCGTAGCATTTGGAGTAAAGCTTTTTTTGGAATGAGCTGGGATGGCCATAGCTCTCTCAAGTATTTGGAGTGCAGATGCATGTCCTGGATTGAGAACTGGGACCTTATGATGTCAGGGTGAATCATAATGTGGAAAGAAAGTCATGTCCCTTATACCGTTTCCCTCCTATGTGATTGCAAGGAGAAGCCAGCGCTCACCTCTCCACTGGGACAGGAATTTGCTGACTCTGTGACCATCTCCCCCTTCTCTTTCTTGGGTGACCCTTTCAACTCTGCCTCTTCACTGCCATCTGCTTGATTTGCTGACAGGCATTTAGCTAAGTCGACTTGATTTACTTGCAGACAAACCTGTGCCGGGGGTAACTTTTCAAGCTGAAGCCGCCATCCTTCTTCTGAGTCATGCTGTGCCGTGCTGCAGCCTGGCCTTCCACCCTTCAGAATTAAAAAAAGGGAAGACAGGCGCCTGACCTGATAGAGCTGATGAGAGAAGAAGAGGCCTGTGGCTCGTGCTGTTAATCTCTGGGAGGCGATTGTAGTCTCGGCTAGGGCAGGAGCACGATTCCTTTTACACTTATTTTAAACTTTATTCACATCTGCTGGTGTGGTCCAGTGCATAGCAATAAGGCTAGAGGCAGCCAGGCAACATTTTGGCTGCAGGAAATCGATCTGCTCTTTTTGGCTTTCAGCTGCTCCTTTTGCGGTTGCATATGCTCAAAATTAGCTTATTTATTGTTAACATTCACAGGTATCATATATTTCTGTGGATGCATATTGCTGCATGCCACCCCAATCTCTGAGTGGTGTGAGATTCCAGGGGTTCATGTTTCCTTTTGCAAATGAGGCACAGCAGAGACTATGGTCTCTTTACGGTAATATTGTTTATGTGCACATATATACAACCTGAGCCTGTGGTGGAGGGGTTCACAGCATTAACCCCCCAAAAGGATCTTCTTTTTCCCATAGGTGCAGCCTTGGATTCAAGCAGAAATCAATCATACTCCGACCTTCTTCCTAGCTTGCTGCCTTTATCAACCTGCAACCTTTCCCCCCTCTAGGTCACATCACAGCCAACTCTAAACATCTGCCTCAAACTCTGGCTTTGCCTTCTAACTAACTTCAAATTGAGGAGAGGTGTCACCAGTTTGCCATCTGGCACAGAGCCCCCTCTCCTTAGCTTTCTTAATGGGCCATCACCGTTCCTTTGTTTTCTTAATGGCTCACCTCTCATGAGGAAGCTTACCTGGTTTATATTTTAACACTCCAATCCTTGATTAAATTCTAACACTTACTAGGTCCAGGAATTTAGGGGAGTCTGGCACCCCCAAACTCATAACAATATTTTGGTCATAGTAACACTGTACCATGGAGTTTGTAGTCTTGAGGCTCCACCAAGTATTGTGACAGTCAAGAAAGCCCCCACTTAATAAGCGGCAAATGCCATGAGGATTTTACCAAGTAGTCAACAATGCTGTATAACAGATTTGAGCTTATTTTTGGATGCTGTTGCTGCAGTTCTGTAACACTCCTCCAGGTATATCTTGTGGGGCCCTTCTTTCAAAATTTGCCTCGCATTTTTGTTCTGTAGCAGTCTTTTTCAGTGTTCATTTTGTTGATTGACCTTTGTTGTTTTTACTGATTTTAACTGTATGCTGCTTTGGGTGCAGATGCGTAGAAAAGTGGTCTGTAAACAATATGAAATAAACATAAATGATAGTAGCTATTCAGCAGTAACAGATCCCCTACTCGCAAAGTCAGTTTTAGAAAAGATTTGATGACAACCTTCATTATTTCCACTCATGGAAAGAGAAGTTAATGGGGAGTGGAGTCATTTTCTGGGTGTGTATATAATACGCCGAACTCTAATTTAGAGAACTGGATGCACTGTTTGCCGTATTTACTAATGGGATTACTTAGGCCTAATCTGTCAATTTTGGTTTCTTCCAGTTTCTAATTTTCCCAGCCTTACTTTTATTTTTCCACCTTTCTACATCACTGCGTGGATTTTTTTAAGTCGTGAAAATTCACCAGCATTTTAGTGTGAATTTTCTCCAATATACACATTTTTTTATTTAAAAAAATGCAGCTTTGCCTAATACAACAATTGTTGCAAACCATTTGACCTAATACAATGCATAAACCACAAATCAATGCAGAAATGAGATTAACTGAAGACTGGCAAAAGGAGAAACAGAAAGAAACCCAAACTGACATGTTCATTCCTACCTCCGACCATGACAGTATTAGCTGCTACTGAAAGGGCTTGTCTGCTACCATGACTGAAGATGATGGGGCAACCTGAGTCAAGAGCAGCTTAAATGCTTCAGATACACAGTCTACGTACAATGGCCTTTAAGCATCTAGTACAACTGAGCTAAGGAAAATTCAGCATGCCGAAAGGATTACTGGAGTTATTCCTAAAATCTACGTCACTCTTTGCCACCATTTCCCTGGAGGAAAAGCAGTTTGTGTGTTACCTCAGTCATGACCATACCCTCCCCCTCCTAATACGTCTGTTTTAAGTTTCAGATGCAATTATTCCTCTGTCGTTATCTGCCATCTCAGGCTGCAGCCAGCATAAGAAATGTCTGAGTCATGAGGGTTTGGCATAGTTCACCCCCCTCCACCCCCAGCTTTATGCTGTTGTCAAAAGGAGAGATTGCCCCAAGAAGGAAGGTGAATTTCCATTACCATGGAATGACGATGAAGAATGCTTGTGAAGCTTCTTCCATTCCGGTTTTGAATAGCAGTGTGGGTCCCATATTGCCTGAAAAAGTGAATTCAAAGGGAAGCGAAATCAGCAGCACACAATTTGCATTCAGATCCTGCAAATGGAGGAGGAGGAGATCTTGGCATGGATTTATTGCTGCAGCTGCTGTTGCTACCATTAGTTAACAGATCACTTTTCACTACTATTGCTGTGATATAGCAATATCATATTGCTATGATACAGCAATATCAGGCAGGTGGTTCTTGCCTGTTTGAAGGAGGCAGTGATAAGACCACTTCTCAAGAAACCATCCATAGATCCTGAGAACCTAAGTAATTACTGGTCAGCTGCCAACCTCCCTTTTGGGGGTAAGGTACTTGAGTGGGTGGCCGTTGACCAGATCCAGGTGCTCTTGGAGGAGATTGATCTTCTAGATCCATTTCAATCGGGGTTTCAGCCTGGCTTTGGCACAGAAACGGTCATGGTCACCTTATATGATGATCTCTGTCAGAAGAGAGACGGGGCAATGTGTCCCTGTTAATCTTCCTTGACCTCTAAGTGGCTTTCAATACCATCAACAATGGTATACTTCTGGAGCAGCTGTCCGAGTTGGGGGTGAGCAGAACTGTTTTGCAGTGGTTCCAGTTCTACTTGGATGGTTGTCTTCAGTGGGTGATGCTTGGGGAGTGTTTTTGGGTGCCATGAGACTTTCAGCGATGACACACAGCTCTATTTCTCCTTTCTAGTAGACAAATGTAGGGCATTTGGAATGGGTACAGAGGAAGATTTAGGGCAGGGCGACTTGTTCCACCGTGCTGGGCGTTGAACCTAGTGGGGAACAGCAGGGCATTGCAACTATGACGTAGTGAATTGAACCGAACAGAAGGCGAGAAGTAGAGTATGTGAGCTGATTTTTGGGCTTGCACAGCGTGCTACTGAAATGTGAAAGATCAAAGTCCACCTGTGATGGGTAGCTCCACCTAGGAGCAGCCACCCCACCTTCCCTCCCTCCCTGGTCACTCACCTGTTTTTGTCTTTTGCTTCTCCAGGTTATGGGCATGCTGCCCCAGGAACAAATGCTGGAAAGGCTTTCTGCATGTGCTACGCTGCCCTGGGCATCCCGTTGACCCTGGTCATGTTCCAGAGCCTTGGCGAACGCATGAACACCTTTGTCAAGTACCTCTTGCAGCGGATGAAAAGGTGCTGCAGGATGAGGAGCACTGATGTCTCCATGGAGAACATGGTGGCCGTCGGATTCTTTTCGTGCATAGGGACCCTCTGCATAGGAGCAGCGGCCTTCTCCCACTGCGAGGAGTGGAGCTTTTTCCAGGCCTTCTACTACTGCTTTATAACATTGACTACAATAGGGTTTGGGGACTACGTGGCCCTTCAGACGAAAGGAGCCCTCCAGAGGAAGCCGCTCTACGTGGCCTTTAGCTTTATGTACATCCTAGTAGGCTTGACAGTCATTGGGGCATTCCTCAATCTGGTTGTTCTCAGGTTGTTCATGAACATTGAGGAAGAGAGGCGGGAGGCTGAGGAACGTGCCTCCCAGGCAGGGAACCATAACAGCATGATCATCCACATCCAAGAAGATTCCCAGCATGGGCGGCCGAGATACAAAGCCGAGGTGACGGACCTCCAGTCGGATTGCTCCTGCATGTGCTACAGGTCCCACGAATACACCAGCCGGGTTGTGTCCCACCAAAACTCCTTCAGCTCCAAGTTGAACCTCCAGTACTTTCACTCTATCTCCTACAAGATAGAGGAGATCTCGCCAAGCACATTAAAAAACAGCCTTTTCCCATCCCCTGTGAGCTCCATCTCTCCTGGCTTGAACAGCTTCACAGACAGCCACAGGCTGATGAGACGGCGGAAGTCCATCTGAAGTCCTTTGTCCTTGGGGTTTTTGATCTTTTATTCCTAAGATTGGTTTTGGTTTTTCTTTTTTTTAAAGGAATTCCTCGTGTAAGTCAGAGCGAGGCTAAGATTAATCAAGGAAATCAAGCAAAGGAAGAGACATCCTTCCTCTGAGACTCAGCTCTGGAGCAAAGTATGCCTTACATTTATGTCCCCGCCCCTCGGTAGTCTGAAGATTCGAGGTGATGGGAAGTGGGTATCCAAATTCCAAAGTTGCACATATTAGCTGGGAGCTTTCAATGTGCCCTCGGGCACTTTTTGACCTAATGAACTCTTTTCCTTCACAAGCAGGTCACTCTGTGTGTGTGTGTGAGTGAGAGAGCACGAGTGTGCCTGTGTGTGGAGTGTCTGGGTTAGGGTATAGGTGCACACGCACAATTCCACTACCAGTGCCATGTGACTAACAAAGTATATATCAAAGCATCAGGTATTGGTTTTGTTTTCTTTCGATTCTTCCTTTGAAGAACTTGTATTCTGGCCTGCTTTTTGGCTTCCAAAACATGGCAGGGGCTGCGGAAACGGGAAAAAGCTGCTATTCTCTTTTGTTCCGTTTGCTGAGTCAAGCATGCACCATAAATGGTCAATATACCAAGCGTATCATGGTGATTTTTAATTTTTTTTTAATGCTAGATTTTATTAGATGTTTTGTTTCCAGAAAGGTTCAAGGCAGGAAGGAAGGATTGCTTTTGCTTGCCAGATCAAATCCCTACAAAAAAACAAACCCCAAACATATATTTTTTAAAAAATCTACAGCATGCATTTTGTAGAACTGGTATGCATTAAGACAATACAAGAGGAAAACAAAACCCTTGAAAAGATAGGATTAATACTCTAAAGCAAATAATATGGTTTTAAAATCAGTTTCTTTTAATTCTTTGTTATTGTTCCAACTATATGCCACAACACAGAGGGTTTTTCTTTTCTGAGGGGGGAATCGTTGGAACTGAAGAGTATCTATTTTATCATTTCTTATTTATACAGTTTTCTATAAAATTAAATTTTATGTTATCATGTGCTTGTGTGTGTGTGTGTGTGTGTGTGAGTGAGAGAGCCTGAATGTGTGTACGTGTGCAGAATCAGATGCATGCATAGGAATTATATTTTTGGGAATGCTTGGACAAGGATGGTATACAGAGGTGGGTGTTTTCTTATATAAAAAAACAGGGCATTCCTTGTTTTAAATTATTGTTATAATAAAAGATAGTCTCTAAATGCTTTTGATTTGTAAATAACGGAAAACCTTGGCTGGCCTCAGGAAGGATTCAAGAGAGAGTGTCTCATGCTTTGACCTTCTGGGAACGTTTAAACCCTGACAATCTTTTGCTGAGTGAATGTGTTCAATTGAGGCAACTGCGGGTGTCAATACTTGCTCTGCTTTGACCCTTTGAATGATTGCACCGGAATTGAGTTGCTTTAGCGACTTGAGAGCAGCTCTTCGAACCATTTTGTTCAAGGAATACAAGATCTAGGAAGCACTGGCTTAATGGTGAGGCGTACTTGCAGTCCAGAAATTCCAAAACAGTTGACAACAGCTAGGGTTATCCAGAGAAATGGGATCAATTAGAATGGAAAAGCTTATTTGAGCGCTAAGTACCCCATGACATGAAGATGCTTGCCTTGTTGCTGTCTCTCCAGGAGTCCCTGTTCTGGCTTGGCTTCCTTCCAGCCAATCAACCTCATTTTTGTGAGATGGCAATTCTGCTGTATGTCTGCATTGGGTCTGCGAAGGGATCATTCAGCTGCTGCCAACGCAACTATGCTTTTCATCAGCCCAATGGCCATTCTGTGTTTTGTGCCTGTGTTTGAACCATTATGTAACAATCCAGTTTATCCTATTGTATTACATATCAGCACCAGAGCGAGGGAGGGAGGGATTTAGTTTGCTCAGGGCATGGTTAAAATGTTTTTGACAGAGCAAGCTGCAAAGCAGGGATGAGACATGCCCTAATGAAGCAAGGCAAGCAGAAGGCTAATATGATGCTGTGATTTTCTGAGGGTTGCAATGGCCTCAGCAAAAGGCTTTCACAAGGCTTCAGGGTCTGGAGTTTTCTATATTGGTTCATCTTTCTCACTTGGTAAATATAGAGATCTGAAGGCCTAGTATTCATCCCTTCCATTTCTTGTACCCTCTGGCCCAGTGTAAGGGGAAATTGTAAAATTGCAGAATGAGGGGTGAAGTGAAATAAACAGTACACTTATGATGACATGTTTATTTTTGAGAATGGGGAAACTATCTTCATTGTACAATATCAGGGCCGAGGAACTGTTGGCCACAGGGACCTTGACTGCAGACAGTTAGAGTTCAATTATACTTTAAAAAAACAGCCTCCATTGGTGTCAGCGGAAGCTGATTTTTAAGCCTATTTGCCAGGCAGGAGGGAAATTTGTTTGATGGGAAGGGAGACACAGCTGAGGAGGGAATAGGTAACCTGTGTTCTGTTGTCACTCCCCACCCACACCCCCAAATTACTTCACCACCACACATCTTACAAAACAGCTTGGTGGCTGAGGACCTGTAAGCACATGCAAGAGTTGTTGCTGTTATTTTCTAGGCAGGAAAAGTGCTTTATTCTGGTGAACTTACTTCCGAATTTAATGCAATTGCTTGCACATTCTCTTTTTAAAAAAAAATAATAATTTTTTTTTGAGTTTTTAAGTTGGTTATTCATATACATATTCCATTTGTTCTTCAACGTGTATTTTCTTATACACAAATATAAACCAAAAATATAACAATTATTCTTCGCATGTGACTTCCCTCCACCTCATTTCGACTCCTTACTTCTTCCTTATCTTTTAACTGTGTTGTTTTTCCTTGAAAGAGTTATTATTATGGAGCCTAAACATTATTTATTTATTTATATATGACTTAATTGCCAAAGTGGCTTGTAAGTGGTTTTAGAAATATAAAACCACTTACAGAATATAAGCGCGCAGAATGGAGACAAGCAATAAAACAATGCCCCATCAAAACATTAAATTACACATCCCACAATTAAAACGTGCAATAAACAAGCCCTTTGAAACAGCACAACAGTTAAAACAGCAATTAAGGTCAGGAGATCAGGGGGATGTGACAACAAGTGCGTTTGCAAGAGCCCGCGGAATGCCAATGCGGATAGGACCCCTTGCGTTTCAGCAGGGTGAGCATTCCACAACACTGGGGCCACCAGCGCTACCAAGTGTTGTTTATCTGAGGTGAAAATAGCTGTCTTTCCTGCAGGTTCTGCCCTCTGACACACCAGCTTCTTTTCAGTTGTAGCTTAATGTCAACCAGTAGCACCAAAAATGATGCATGAAGTGCAATATTGGCCAGAACAAAGTCATTAACTATAATAATAGTAAACATAATACTGCTACAGTCGTACCTCGGGTTAAATATGCTTCAGGCTGAGTGTTTTTGGGTTGCGCTCCACAACGATCCGGAAGTAACGGAATGCATTACTTCTGGGTTTCGCCGCTAGCGCATGCGCTCAAAATGACATCACGCGCATGCACAGAAGCGGCGAATCACGACTCGCGCACGTGCAGACGCGGGTTATGTTCACTTCAGGATGCAAATGAGTCTCCGGAAGGGATCCCGTTCGCATCCAGAGGTGTGGCAATCACACAGGGTCCCCGGACAATTGACGGTCTATTGATCGCTGTGCCACCACTGTGATTAGCTTCCCCGCTACCACCAACCCGTTTCCCTCGGGTACACACGGAGTCCAGACAGTTGTTAACATTAAACCAAATAAACAAGTTTATTTTATAAGCATTAATAAGTTTATGGTTTCAGATAATTTTTCTTGTCAGTTTCTTAATCTTAGTTTCTTTACCGGCCTATACCTTCCTAATAACTTCTGATTATCCCAACTGTCTATCTGACTCCTTTTAACAGATTCTCTCACTTTCTCACATCAAACTAGCCCAACCCACAGACTTATCCTCTCTCTCTCTTCTCTAACACCCGACTGACTCCTCAACAACACTAACTCAAACTCTAACTCCTCCCCTTGGGTTCCCACTTGCCAATCACTTCACACTCATTTAACCCTTTCCTTATGACCCAGCATGATGTCACCTAGGAGGGCAAATGCCGCAAGAGGTACCACTGTATTTTTAATTTGATTGAATGAGATATATTTTATTATATTTATTTAACAAAATTTATAAACAGCTTAATTTTTTTTAAAAAACCCCATTTAACTATTTTATGTAAAATAATACAAAACATTCATAAGAAAATATGAATTTTGTGGTAGACATGTGAAAAATCCCTGCTTGAATGATGATGTAGCTATGGCCATGGCGATGACTCAATTGACCCGCCCCTGCCCTGCCGCTGTGATATCTCTTGTGAATCACCAGTTTTTCTAGGAATGCTTTGTATTCTTCTAGAAAGAGAGCAGGAGCCACAGGTGCCTATAAGAGGGAACTGGCCTTGCACCTGGCCCAGGTTTCTGGGTTACCTTCTACCAGAATCCCAGTAATGCAGAAAACAGCTGATGTTACTTATTTATGTTATGTTATTTATAAAATTTCTATACTGCCCTTCATCTGAGAATCACTGGGTAGTATACAATATAAAAATACAAAAATGCATAACATAATAACAAGCATGAACAATACCCACCCAAGGTTGAAAAGGCCATAGATTGTTTAATCAACCAACGGCTTGGTTGAAGAGGAATGTTTTCACTTGGTGCCTAAAGATATGTAATGAATGCGTTAGGCAAGTCTCCCTGGGGAGAGCATCCCACAAACGAGGAACCACCACAGAAGAGATCCATTCTTGTGTTGCCATCCTCCATAGCTCTCACAGAGGGGGCACATGAAGAAGGACCAGAGATTATGATTTCAGGGTCCAGGTTAATTGATGTGGGGAGAGGCGGTTCTTGAGGAATTGTGATCCTGAGATACCTTTATAGGTCAAAACTAGCACTTTGAATTGGGCTTAGAAACTAATTGGCAGCCAGTGAAGTTGGGTCAGGATCTCTGTCTTGCCCTGGTGAGCAACCTGGCCACTGAATTCTGCACCAGCTGAAGTTTCCGAACTGTCTTCAGAGGCAGCCCCATGTATAACACATTGCAGTAATCTAACCTAGAGGATATCACTGTATGAGTGCATAGGCTCAAGGAGCCATATCCCTTGTGCACAGGTTTACACATGCATGTAGTTAGCTTGCCTGCCTTCAGTTTTCTTGTGTGAGTTGGCAATAATGGATGGTATTCATCTAGAACGTGTCCTCCCTAGAAATCTGTGTGGAGGTTTGAGGGAACTCTTAGAAGAGCTGTAAGGGGTACACAGGGGGGAAAGGTTCATTATGCAGGAGTAAATCCTTGCACTGATGCAACATGCTAGCTGGATGCCAACTTTGACCACCAAGTTTCACTGCGACCATGGCTATATTTCAATCTCATGTCTTAGTGAAACTTAGTTGTTCTAGTCCGATTCTTCTTTTCACTCATTCCTGCGTGGGCACAACATCCAAGATATTTTGCTGCAGGAAGTAAAGGATAATACAGTGTCCATTCTATATACAGTGGTATCTCGGTTTTTGAACGTAATCCATTCTGGAAGACCGTATGACTTCCGAAACGTTCAAAAACCGAAGCATTTACTTCTGAAAAACTCAATACAAAAGCTGTGTAGCACGTTCAACTTCAAAAAAGCATTTGAAAACCGAAGCAGTTACTTCCAGGTTTTTGGTGTTCGAAAACTGAAACGTTTGAAATGTTCGAAAACTGAGGTACATTGTATCGAAGCTGTGGAATAGGATGATGTCTTCTACCACTCTTGGAGAAATCAGACTGTTTTAAGGGGTGCACACTATGTGTACTTCAACAGAAGGGGACAGCAGAGCAGGGGAAAGGATAGTGTTGTACCTCATAAGCCCTCATGATCTTCTGCCTGAAGTAACTGCCTCATTATGTCTAATGGTAGGGTGGGATCAGAAATCACAAGGCTGCCCTTTCAAGAATGCTGAATTGCACATCATGACCTAGCTAACTATATATTTGGTAGCTGGAAACATGTGAGATGAGACTGGTTAAGCTTAAAAGAAAGATCAATGAAAGGAACAAGAGATTTAAAAAAGGAAACATTTTCCAACTATTAAAAGCATGGAGGCCAGAGGAAGAATTATGAAGGAAATAGACCAGATTTGAGGTTTATGGCATAATTTTACTTTGTGCAATGTTCTTGCTAATATCCAGGGTCTAATTAAGATATTCATTTAAAGCCCTTTACTAGGGAAATGCAAATAGAAAGGGTCGCTGTAATCTGTCCATTGCACTAATGTTATGGACTTTTTAATGTAGATTTTAATGAGGTTCTGTTGCTGACTGGGATATTACACAAATTTAAATCCAAGTGTTGCTAATTTCAACAATGTGGAGCACAATGTCATTTCAAGATTTGAAAAGGAAAAGAAACACAGAAGAGGAACTGCCCATTTTAACAGCATCCTTTAAAATATCAACATTCTTACTGGAAAATGAGAGGATATAGCGCTCTAGGAACAGGGTAACAGAGGACAGCAACAGAGATGAGCCGTAGAAAAATTGACTGAAGTTTGAATTCACTATGGAAATCTTTTCTCACTTAGTTTGATTTTTCACAACTAAATTAAAGTCCCCTTCCTCCGAATAGAAGCTGCAAATAATTAAAGTGCAGATAATTAAGACGGATGTGGAATATCCACTGCAAGATGGTAGCAGGGACACAAAACCTGATTGTGAATGCAAATGCATGAAATTTGATCAGAAATATTGCTTTGAATGAGCCAATAAGTATTTCATCTCGACTCATTATTCCAATCAGGTATTCTGGTTTACAGCATAACCCAATGAAATATGAAACCATCAGATTACAGAGGATCCATTTGCATTTAAAAACAAACCATATTCCCAGTCCTTGTGGATGTAGTGAAAACTCAGAAATAGCTTTGGGGCTGAATTTGCAAATGGTCTAACAGTGTACTAAAAATAAACAAATGCTTGGTGGATCAAACCAAAGGCCCATTTAGTCTAGCATCCTGTTCTCACAGTGGCTAACCAATGTCCATGGGATATTCGCAAGCAGGACATGTGCACATAGGTTAGGGAGGAAGTGATAGAGCACATTCTTGGAATGCGGCAGACCCCATATTCAAGACCCTCCCCTGAGTTGCTAGAGCACTGTTGCCTCTCTGAGGAGACAATACCAAAGATGGATAAGCAGCCCGACCTGCTACAAGTCAGGTTCTGATAATGGTGCTAATCAAAGCATTATTTTACTGACCCTGTATTGGTTGCATTGGACCAACACCATTGCTTGTTTGTTAATCGGCTTGTCATGGTTTGTTACAGCTGGGTGCCGCAGCTCCTGTATGCAAAGAGCATTCCTCCAGTCATTTCAATAGAGTTGATCTCTGAATCATTGAATTGTAGAGTTGGAAGGGGACACGTATTCCTTTGTCTGAATGGATTCGCTGAATCCATGGAAATGAGTGAGGAAGACCACAAGTGCAGCAGCTCCGCATGAAAATTTGGCAGAATGAGGTGGATATGTGCGGCACCTAATTGCAACTGTTCATTTTCAGTGGTGTTACCTAGACTTCAGGTCAGGGGTGGGGAACCTGTGCCCCTCCAGAAGTTGTTGGATTCCAACGAGCATCAGCCTCAACCAGCATGGAGAGTAGTCAGGGATTATGGGAGTTGTGACCCAACCATAGCTGGAGGGTCACAGGTCCCCATTCATGCTTTTGAACCAGAATTGGATTGGTTTATTATATTTATATCCGAGCTCTTTTTCCAAAGAGTTCAAAGACAGCATATAAATCCATGCCTTTTCATCTTTACAACAACTCACTTAGGTAGTTTAGACTGAGAGCAAGCAAGCGACTGTGTCAAGACCACTCTGTGAGTTTTATAGTTTAGTGGGTATCTGAATTTAGGTCATCGCTGGCCTAATCCAGTACTCTAATCCAGGGTGTAGTCAATATCGTGCCCTCCAGATGTTGAGAACTATAGCTGCCATCATCCATGACCATTGACCATGCTGGCTGGAGCTAATGGGAGTTGTAATCCAAAACATCTGGAGGTATTACAGTGGTGACCCTTGCTCTAACCAGCAGGACACAGGGGCTCTCAATAATAATTGGAAACATATTTTATGAGCCTACGTCCAGATCCAAGCCTTCCTTCCTCCCTCTCCTCTCCCTCCCTTTTATGGTTGTGATGAATGGATATTGTAATTAACAAAGATCTCACCCCTAGCGCATTTCATTTTTACTTAATTGTCTTGTCAACCTTTCCCCACCTTGCCTACTGATCATGTATGGCACTGTGCTATATGTCAACACCCACAACAGCTTTGCCCCCCACCCCCAAGAAAGGAGAAGACTCCAAACCAAGATTAATAGGTGCAGTCTTTTGGGTAATTAATATTCATCGCTGCAAGCCATGTTGTCTGGGCTCCGTTTGAAAAAGCAGAACCCATCCTGCAGAGTGACGGGATTTATCATTTGCTGGTTCTTTCTGTGAGCAGATTGAGTCGCGGCTCCAGTAATTGAAAATGTGCTCTGAAATGCATCTTTTCCTCCCCTAACTTCTGATTATACTAGTTTGGTGGCTTTGATAAATACCCTGTTCAGTGTGCAGAAGAGCTTGTGGAAGGGTGTCTACCAGGATCACAGCATCCCAGAAGGGCAGAAGGCAGATTCCTTGTTAAAGAGCTGGTGTCGCTTGTTTCATGCTTGGCTATTCTTCACCCCTGTTTGTTATCCCCGCCGCGCTTTCGAACTGATGCCTTAGCTTGCCCTTTCAGAGGCACATTCAATCAGATGGAGCCATTACTGTGTAGCGCTTCTCCCTCTCATTGCGCATTAATGAAGAGCATGATGTTGTGGGAAAGAACCCTGGGGAAAGAAAATAGTGCCACTAATTACTGCTGGCAATAGGAATGTGCGGATTGATTTAAAGACAAGAGAGGGAGAGGGGGAACTAAAGTGGAAAGACAATTTGCTCAAAAGGTTGCATGTCCCAGGTTCCTTGTCTCTAAATCAGAGGCTAACCAGAGGCCCAAGTCAGGATTTGTCCAGCTTTCTCCTCCCTTCTTAGAAGCAGTTTGTCTCTGAATACCAGTTTCTGGAATCACAAGTGGGGAGAGTGCAGCCAGGCTCTGGCTCTCCACTGGGGAATCTGGTTGGCCACTGTGAGAGTAGGATCCTGGACCTGTGGCTTGATCCAGCAGGGACCTTATGCTTCATTTCTTTCAGTTTTTAAATATTATTTTCTGGAGTCTAATCCAGAATGAGGATTGGTTTGTGAGAAAGGGTTTGCATTTCCCCACCCTGTCTCCAGCTCCCCCATGGCTTCAGCAGACCCTCCAAGTGTCCCTATTTTCCAGGGACAGTCCCAGATTTACAGAAGCTCTTCCAGTTTCTGATTTGATCATGGAATGTTCCATTGTTGTTGTTTAGTCATTTAGTCGTGTCCGACTCTTCATGACCCCATGGACCAGAGCACGCCAGGCACTCCTGTCTTCCACTGCCTCCTGCAGTTTGGTCAAACTCATGCTGGTAGCTTCGAGAACACTATCCAACCATCTCGTCCTCTGTTGTCCCCTTCTCCTTGTGCTCTCCATCTTTCCCAACATCAGGGTCTTTTCCAGGAAGTCTTCTCTTCTCATGAGGTGGCCAAAGTATTGGAGCCTCAGCTTCACGATCTGTCCTTCCAGTGAGCACTCATTAGGGTGTCCCTATTTTCATCAGAGCTATGTTGGTAGGACATTCCTATTTTCATTAGAGGGTATGGAGCTATTCGGCCTCCAAGCTAAGGAGATAAATAACTATACAATTGTTAGAAGACATCTGAAGGCAGCCCTGTATAGGGAAATTAAAAAAAAAAAAGTTTAATATTTTATTACGTTTTTATATATGTTGGAAGCCACCCAGAGTGGCTGGAGCAACCCAGTCAGATGGGTGTGGGGTATAAATAATAAAAGTATTGTTGTGGTTGAATAGGATGTCCCTATTTTCATCGTACAGATGTTGGAGGGTATGCCTCAGCTTTCCCTATTAGTCTAAGCTTAAATCTGATATAAACATGATGTCCCTAGCATGGGTGTTTCCCAGCAACTGCCATTCAGAAACATACCTCCACTAGTCACTGGGTATTAGGTGAGCAGTTTCCCAACTTTCTGCCTTCAGGGAATTCTTGTGCATGCCGAAGAGGCCTTTGCAGGAGGTCTCAGTTTAGCTTCAGGTTAATATCTACCACCCCCATCCACATCCAAAAGAGAGAGCATATTGATGGACAAGCTATCTTTTAAGGAAGCTTGTCCACCATGTATGATCTTCTCACTGAAGAGTAGTAACAGGCAGAAGAAGCTTGTCATTCCTTGGAACACAATTTAAACATACTTAGGGTACCTTTGCATGGCGAGTCCTTTTATCATAGATAATTCCAGTTCATAAACTGGATTACAGATAGTCAGTTCGATATATTATGGGGAAAATGGGTCCTTGTGATTGCCGTTCCCAGCAAGTCAAAAAGCATGGAGAGACTGTCTCTTTAAGGTGCAATTTCTTCTTTCAGCTTACTGTTGTATCTACGAGAAGCAGGGATAAAAAGTGTTCAAATTGTGTCCCAGTGGCTTTTATACAGAAGTTCTTGGATTTCTTCCAAAGCAAACGCACGAAAGGTGTTCAACCGGGTTGAGAGCCTGCAATTATTGTGTGTGTGTGTGTGAGTGTGCGCGCATGGGTGTGCGTTGATGCTGTCTCTCCTGACACTTCGGTTGCATTTTTGTACTTTTTGCACGATGTACACAGGACAGGGGTGAGGCACCTGGAGCCCTTCTGATGTTGCTGGACTATGACTTGACTCCCGCCATCCCTGACGATTGGTCATGCTGGTTAGGGCTGAAGGGTGTTAGGAGCTCCACAGCATCTCAGGTTCCCCATTCCTGGAGTGGAAAGAAGACAAAGCAGCATTTTCCAGTGGCATTATCAAAAAGAAAATGTCCTTAATCTGAGTGGTATATTTTCTGTGCAGAGCATAGAAGAGAAATGGTAGGGGAAAGAGGGACAAGAATTAAAGTCCATGGACTAGAGACAGACAGTGTGGTGCCCTTCAGATGTTGCTGGACTACAATTCCCATAATTCCTGACCATTGGCCACACTCACCAGGGCTGATGGGAGTCATAAGCCAATAACATCTGAAGGTCACCAGGTTGACTACCTCCACCATGGACTATGCTGAAACTCTGTCCCAAGGAACAAATTATGGATGAGTAGCCATGGCAGAGCTGAGTGGGTGCCATGGAAATGACATCCCTTTGGATCATTCTTCCCCTTACTGCAGCAGCACCCAGGAAGGTACATTTATTGCATGGGTCAAAGCCATCACCTGATGATCAACAACAATGACAAGGAGCAAGAGTTGGGCAAACCACAGTATGATGGCCCTGATCTGTGTGGTGGTGGATCTTCCTAGATGATATCTTGGGGAGGGGAGATCTTACCTCAAGGGTGCCGTTCACAATGCAATTCCTCTGGAGATTAACAGCTTCTAGCCAGCTTCTAGCCCGCACAGCAGATGTGGCAAAGAAAATAATCCCATGGTACCTAAAAGACTATCATATTCATTGTGACAGGAGCTATTCACATTGCATTTATTTATTATGTTAGTGTGATTATATTGTAAGGTGCTTTTGCCTACAAATACAGGATATAAGTGCTTAAATTAGCATTGCGCACTAAAGGCAAGAATTGAAGCAGGCTCTAGAGTGGCCAGTCTCAAGGTGAGGTTGCTGTTCCTGCTCAAGCAAGGTTTTTCCTGCACAGGTAAAACATCTGAAGAAATTTAAGGAATAATAATAATAATGAAATTGCTAAGGAATGGTATCCCTGGTTGGCCATTGACTTTTCCCTGAAATGACATTTCTAGGCAAATCTGAAGGTTCTTGATTCATATGGAACATTCAAAGAAGGGGAGAAAACCTCACATTTCAGAGGACTAGTAAAATTCTTGAGGAGGATTCCACATACCCCTCTATCCCATGGAAGCTCAATGCACAATGAATTTATTTGTCTTTAAGGTACCATAGTGCTCTTGGTTGAGTTTTTGCTCCCAAGGAAAAGACCCATATGGAGAAAGAAGTCCAGTGCTTTGCATTTCAAAACAGAATGTCAAGAGGAAGAACAGCAGGTCAGAAGCAACAAGTTGAATCGTGTTAGTATGTGAATTAAATTAAATGACAGTTGTGTCTCAATTTCATTTTTTTTACTGGCCTTCTCCATGTTGGGAGAGGTAGACCTCACACATGGCCTTCAAATGCCGTACTTGATTCAGCAGAGTGGCTTAACAGTTGGATGAGCAGAAAAAAAAATGATGTATTGCAGCTTACCTAAAGAATGAAAACTGTACCACACCAATGTTTACAAGTCCAAGTAGACAGCGAACCCCTGTAAAATATATGTAATTTATGCAAGGGATTGCATCTTTCTTTTTGTAATGAATGCACTAAGCAACCCTGTATATATTTTACAATGTCTTTACAAAACAAGAGGAAAAAAAATACAGAGAGAGAATCATTTACTGTAGTGTTGTAAAATAAATGCACTTTTTCTAATTTTTTCATTAAAAATCCTATGGCACGTTTTCAAATGCATATGGCTTCTTTTATATAACACGGGGATGGGGAACCTTTTGCAGCCTAGAGGCTGATTCCTTCATGGAAATCACGTCAGTGGTGGTTGGGGCTAGAGGGAAAGCGGCCAGAGCAATGGACATGATACTTATCTGTGTATAGTTGGCTACATTCAAGCCACGCAAAGTCCAGAGGTTTCTGCACCCACTTGCACCTTTCCTTCCTCCTTACAGGAAAGAAAGAGACACTGTCATCATTCAAGGACATGTTCCAGCCAGACAAAAGCACCTGAGGGTGCAAAACAAGCGTAGAGGGTTTGTGGCCTGGGTAGAGCTCCAAAGTCTGGAAAGCAAAACCTGGGAGGCCACATTTGGACATTCAATTTGGGGTTATTTGGCATGCCCTACAACCAAAATGTGCTCAAGTCCCTTCATATGTGCTCAAGTCCCTTCCATTCTATTTTTGCATTCAGTCGAGGTAGTCGATGTGATGCTCTGTAGATGTTTTGGACAGTCATTCCCATCAGCTCCAGCCAGCATGGTGGGGATGATGGGTTCTGTAGTCCACAACATCTTCAGGGCACCACATTGGCCACCCTTGGCATACAGGTACAGGGCACCATCCAATAGGTGTCTTACGGGTACCCAAACCATCACAGCCTCTTGCTCTGTATGAGAATGGAACATTTTAAACTGTTGGAAGGCCTGCAGTGATTAATTAGGCAGGTAAGAGAAACACTCAGATTCCATAGTCCCAGAATGAGAATAAGCCCTTCTGAGCTAAGCAAAGCCCCAAGAGTTCTACCAGCCCATCTATTCCTTTTCCTAGTGCATCACTGGTGGGAGCTTGTCATGTTCACCCACATGTGCCTGCGTCCCACTGGGATTCATCCATTTTGCCTGCCACAGTTTGCCTGCGGCGCTGGAGCCTCCTAGGGAGCATTATACTTTGCCTCTTGTAAGCACAGATAGACATTAATCATTCAAGATTGCCAAGTGACAGATGACGGAGCACACAGCACATTTCCTGGGATTTTGTTCTCGCAGAAGCCAGCGATAAGTGCTTGCCATGGTGGTAAGGACATGTTGATTATTAGTGCTGCTGTCTGATTACCTGATTACAAGAGAAACAATGATATGCAGCACATTTTGCAAAGGCATCCAGATACATCAAAAGCCTGTTTATTGAGAAACAGGCAGTGAAGTTGTGTGGTGCTTCTGGCTTTGGGGCAGATGGAGACATAGAGGACCCAGAGGAAGTTAGTTGCATTTGGGACCCTTTGAATTCAATAGGACAAGTTAGTCATCTATGGAGTTCAAGTTCAACTAACTCTCGGTATTATTTAACTAACCTGTCCTCTCAGTGCAACAGGAGTTTCCCTCCTTCTTCCCCCTGTGGTCTCCCCAAATCTGCTCTGAAGGGTTGGGTGAACACCCTAGAACAGATTTAAGGGGTTCATGGAATGGAGAGTGGGCGAATATTCCATTGCCCAAGCAGAAATCTTTGTATTGACAGAACATTCATTTTGTTCTGTGTGGGATTCCATCCTCAGTCTGCATCCAACCCACAGAGTAGTAAACCAAGAAGAGGCCATCAATCTCAATCCCTTGACCTTGTGCAATACTGATGGCATCTAAGGACCAGAATACCAATTCAATCATAGGGCTGCTTTCCTAGGGGGGACTTGGAGGTCCTCACTCACTCCTGAGCATTGAAATGAGGTCGTCCACAATATCAATGGTTTTTTTTTGGGATCAGAATGGCAATGCAATCATGAAGTTGCAGAGCTAGAAAGCCCTTCAAGATGATACAGGCTGAACTGTTGATTGGAGGCTGGAGCTGCGTTCATTTCATTCTTGAGGTCAATGGGAGAAGATTGAGTGGATGAGACCAACGGTGGGTCCAACCATCAAAAAGGCAGCTTCTGCGTGTCTTGTAGAGGGAAGCAAGGGGCAGATGGGGCTTGTCAACCTGGGAAGGTAGCTCGACTAGGAGAAGGAAAATTCTGATCCTAAACCTCCACTGTCTTTAGGGATATCTTTGGAAGAAGGAAAGGTTAAGGGGCAAACCCTACACAAATCCAGAGTGGAGCCCCTAAGGTAGTTGGACGGCCCCTTGTACACCTCCTTCGGGCAACTTCTTTAGCCAAGCTGGTGCCAAACATATTGCTTTCCTTTCCTTTGGACCACCTCATCAAGTCTGAGAGGGAGATCTTAACTGGGCAGCCCAGAATACCCAGACACACTGCCCAGGCTCATGCCCAGGGAAGGTCACTTCAGCGCTGCTAATGCAGCAGTTTGACTTCACCCATGGAGACACACTCCATTGTCTCTCAAGACAGACAGATGTCAACAGCAATATGCTACCCATAGAGCTCCTAGATGACTCAAGCACATAAGCTATGCTACACTATAAAAGGAAAGGAGAAAGAAAATAAAAGCATCACCAGCAACTGACCCTTGGTAATGATCCCCTTGTGAGATAAGATGGCGCCCGGCACACTTCCCCTGTGCCTTTGGACGCTTGTGCCGATAGAAAACCTGAGCTCTTTGTAGCTCTTAGCAGAGTTCTTAGCAGCGGTAGAAAGTGTTGCCTTGTGTGTGGATAATAAATCAAACTGAACGAAGACTTCTTGCTAATCTCTAACAGCCTTTAATGAGAAGAAAAACATCATAAATCAGTCCCGGCGAGAGAGCGGACACTCTTTCGTCTCTCAGCCAAAAACGAAAGGAAAACTTACACACAAAGAAAGAGTCCCGTATGTGAACCAAACCACGCCTCAGAATGTGAGACGTCACACAGAATTGTTTAACCCTGTAAGTTCTGATTCTCCTCACACCCCTTTCCTCCTCCAGTCACCAACTTGCTTTTGCCAACCCCCCCTAGAAGTGTGTGGGGGGGGTTCTTAAGGAGTGGTCTTACCATTGCCTCCTTAAAGCAGACAGGGACCACCCATCTCAAAAAAGTCACCAATCACTTCCCAGCCGGCTCTCCCCTCCCTGCCCGTTTTCCTCAGCCATGAGGCTCAAGGGTCAAGTACACAGGTGGTTGTCCAGACCAAACCAAATGTTCTCCCACATCCTCAAGCCTTAATAACTGAAACTCATCTAGCACAAGAAGACTAGACAGTGTTCTGGACACCTCTTGAGATTCAGCTGCTTACATTTCTATGAGTACATATTAAAACCTCATATGGTTGGAGGATGTGCATGCATTGCACATTGACTTGAGAGGCACTGTGGTATAGTGGTTACAGTGCAAAAATTCAGGTCCAAACCCTGCAGGCTTGATGTGAGGATAAAAAGGGTAGAGGAGAACAATATGTGTGAGCTTTGAGCTCATGGGAGGAGGAAAGCAGGGGTAGAAATGCAATTATGAATGATAAATTGATGCCACAATTCCAAACGCAGCTAAACCTTTTGGTAAAGTAGGATGGAGGCAGTAAATAATCTTGTGGAACAAGTCGATGGGTGAGAGTTTCTTAGTGCTTCTATGAATGCACCCCTCCCAAACCAAAAATAAGAAAAAACAACTTTGATTTCCAGATTACCACTGTTTCCATGGCAATGTCCCAGTGGTGTACCAAGAATAGATGCCGGAGAAAGAAATATTAACTAGTTTCTTTGGAGAAATGAAGATGTTACGACAAGATCTACATAACAAAGCTAAAGAAAGCATATTGGGGTGAAGGGAGGGAGAAAGATGCCCTTCCCCAGTGGCTCAGCACAAATTATTCACAGCATAAGAGGTTTAGGAAGAACAAGGTCTCTAGCATATTTAGACAATCCGTCCATTATTTCTGCTGTAAGCAGATCAGACACAGGAGGTTCTCTGCTGCCAACACAAAGAGAGGGATCAGATTAACATAAGAAGCTGCCTTATACTGAGTGAGATTTGATGTCTCGTGAATCTACTCATGGCTATAAGCCATGACACCTAAGCGAAACTAGGACCCATGTACCCATGGGACCGCCTCTCCTGGTATGTCCAACAGAGGACCTTAAGGTCCACAAATGACAATATTTTGGAGGTCCCAAGTTACAAGGTGGTTAGATTGGTCTCAACCAGGGCCAGGGCCTTTTCAGTACTGGCCCCGACTTGGTGGAACACTCTGTCACAAGAGACTAGGGCTCTGTGGGACTTGACATCTTTCCGCAGGGCCTGCAAGACAGAGCTGTTCCGCCTGGCCTTTGGTTTGGACTCAGTCTGACCCTTATGCTTCCCTCCCCTTATGGTTTTGATCTATGGGCTACTTTTAAAATGAGGCTGCATTTTAAATTGCATTTTAATCTGTATTTTAAATTAGCCTGCCCCCTTATGTTTTTACTGTAATTTTTACTGTTGTTAGCCGCCCTGAGCTCAGCTCTGGCCGGAGAGGGCGGCGTATAAATAAAATGTATTATTATTATTATTATTATTATTATTATTATTATTAAATCATATCCCACCCTCCTCCCAAAGGAGTCCAGGGTGGCAGCTACATCTGGCCTAAAGACTAAACCTAGAAACCCCATTTCTGTTGGCTCTCTGATCCACACTCCACTGCTCTCAAAACCTCCCTTGCCTGTCCCTGTATTATTTTTGGATGTTGCTCAACTAAGGTTTACTCAGAATAGACCCACTGAAATTAATGAGCACAGTAAAGTTACTTTCAGTAATTTCAACAGGTCTAGTCTTTCACTGAATACCACTGACCATTGTTGTGATTTCTGCTTATTAGTTGCTTGCTACAAAAGGAGTCTCAGCCACTGGTCTTCAAGTGGTGGGTTGGGACTTACTAGTGGGTTGTGGTCTGATCCAAGGTGAGTCACCACAGGAGCACTACCACCATGCAGATATATGGTAAGCGGTTAAGAAATGGGTCCCCAATGCTTGTCTGGGCTAAAAATGGGTCCTGAGTCTGGAAAGGTTCAAGATAGTCTAAGCAATGCCCAAACTTTTAAGAGCATCAGCATAGCACAAAATAAGAAAAAAGCAATATATTACAGCAAAAGTAGTGTAAAAATCCATAG